ATGAAGCCGAATTGGTCCTCGAGACTGTCACCTCCGACGAGGAGGCAGGCCTTGAGATCGGTGCCGCGGGAGAGCTCCTTGACGACCTTGAGTGTCTGCAGAGCCAGTTCACGGGAGGGTGAGAGGATGATTGCTCTTGCGCCGACCTGGGTAGTTTAGTATACAATTGCATATATGTAGAACTGAGTATAACTATAGTAGGCACACCTTAACACTATGCGCCTTCAACTTCTCAATCATGGGAATAACAAAAGCCGCAGTCTTTCCAGATCCCGTCCTGGCCATTCCCACAACATCCATTCCCTCCAGCACCAACGGAATCGTCTTCCTCTGAATTGGAGTCGGCACCGAGAAACCCTTCCTACTAATCGCCTTCAAAATCCCAATATTCAATCCTACACTCCCCCCCCCAATTAGCTCACTTCTCCCCACTAGATACTACTCCCCTCCCCCCCCCCACTATCTCCCCCACAAAAAGACCAAAATCACACATACCCATCTGCTGAAACCCACCACCCTTCTTCACCGTATTCTTCCCCTTCAAATTGCTCCCCTTGCGATTACTCGCCGCCTGCTGCGCCGCAATAAACGCCTCATCACCATCGTCGTCGTCGTCCTCCTCGCCCAAGATCTCGTTGACACTCTTCTCGGCGTGCAGTCGCCGCGGGTTGTAGGCTTCGGTCTCGCTGTCGCTGTCGGCGGCGCCGAGGGCTGCGGAAATGTCGTACTCGAATTCGCTCCCCGTGGGGGAGGCTGCGCGGCCGGGCATTGCTTTGGAGCGTAGTTGGTTTTTGGGAGCTTGGGTTTTTTGCGGAACTGGAATTATTTTTTTTCGTTTGGTGGGTTGCGTTGCAGGGGTGTGTGGAACCCTGGCCCTGGGGGAGGTAGGGTAACCGGGGGTTGGGTCATGGAGGATCACTCGCCCGGTGGGTGGGTTGCGAGGGGCCGTTTTGGGCGTTTATTCATAGGGGGTTCGCTTTGGAAAAGTAAAAGTGCGTACAGCTTAACGGCTTTCAGGAAGTGTTGAAGTGTCGAAGCCGATGCTCAATAAGTACGGAATTATGCGAAGGGGCCCGGTGCTCTAACAGCATTTAGATTTGCCAGCTGGTCAGGTCCTTTAAGATACGTTGCAATGCGCTTAGGGCCGGCCTGTTCGGTTGACACTGAATTGGTTGCAATCCAATGCAGTACGGCTACTCGTCAATGATTTGGAACGCAACTTCTGAACATTACCTTGGCTTACCTCGTACCCAGACTTTATATTAGATACAGCTTGGCACGAGCTCGTGCCTCGCAGTGTTTCTTCTGATATAGATCCAGATATGTAATTATTTGTAAAAAAAGCTCCGTACAAAAAGAGCTATCTACAAAAACCTACAAAGAACCCTAACCCACCGTGGATTGCTCCAACCGTAGCTTGTCCCCGTCTCCAGAAATTTGAAACGGGAAACCGGGATTGGAGCAATGCTCCCAGTTCAAAAGATTAGAGACTGGGAGATCAGGGATTCATGAGAGATTCTGTGTGCTGCTGAGGAGTAGCTGGGACTAACCCAAAACTAAAAGTAGTACTATGGGGTTTTAGAGAGGTGGGGGAGACTGTGGATTTATAGCAAATAGATCTTTCTAAGACGATTTATTTGGGCGCCAGGTTATTTTGGCCACTCTGTTATCAGGATAAGCTACAGTACTAAAAAGGTTACTGTAACTAGCAATACGGAATGTGCAAAAATTTCGAATTAAATCGGAATCTTAACCATTATACCACAGCAATACAGTAACCTTGCCAGATAGGGTACTGAATCCACCCGCTTTTTGGGCACTGTAGTATATAATAACACTTTGGATCTTAGTGCATTATCCACATACTCTAGAGGACAGTTATAGATAACCTCGTAAGATTATATTACTCATGAAACATTGCTTATTAGATCGTATAATCCGCAGGAATTGTTTGAGATATTCGCTGGCGTGGCAAGTGTTCCCCGCCCTAAGTTTCCCCGGATTTTGTGTAGGGAGCTATGCAGAACCACACAAAGGCGAATGGATAGATCAATTGGCCCTCTTAATATATACATGTGTCCTCCAGTGAAGTTTCGCTCATAAGGACCGCACGCTTAATGGGGTGAAGGGTTGCAATGGTCTAGCTCAACCAGCAACTAGCCGGTTATGATTGTTCATACTATATCACTCGCTCTTGGCGCCCACATGCCCACACACCTACACGACCACAACCCATACAACCACACCCCACACAAACACAAACCCAAACAACCACAAACCCACAGGCACGGATACTACAGTTGTCACTAACATCGCAGTCATCACTAACATCACAGCATCACTAACATCGCAGCTATCACTACATCCCAGTTATCACTAACATCCCAGTTATCACCAATGTCGCAGCTATCACTAGAATCACAGTCATCAATTACCATCCTCATCTTATACCTAATAGCCGCCGAATCTTGGGTAATACGGCTTCGTGATAATTACACACCTCAAGCTATCGCCGCCAAAAGTAGCGAACGATGGTACATGGTAGACAGGATCTATCTTCCTGATCATGGCTTTCTTCATCTGATGCTTGAGCGCTTCCGAAGCTTTGAGAAAAGATTTAAAGTTTAAATCTTTCAACCCATACAGCAGATACAATATATCATCATCGAGTCGCCGAGGAGTTTTCCTTCTTAACAATGAGGTTAAGCTTACAAGGCCGGGATCAATCCTTGACTGCCTCCTCCATCATGGACGAGGTCTCCCTCTCGCTCCACACTCCAAAAACAGGACTTTGTCATCTATAACGATGAGTAGTCTGACCGGCAGCGGAGTCAGAGTTATCCAAGCGAAGTATGGTCTAACACGCTGTTCGGAGGCGCTACGCACTATATGTACCATGGCAGCAAGACGATTTTACTGAAGGGCGAAACAACCCTCTTGCACACATTGAAATTGAGACTCATATGGAAAGAGAACACTAACCACTAACTAGCCCTCTTACAGTAGGAGACAAGTCTTAGACGGCGTGCTTATTCTCTGCCTGTAAACGTCGAGCTACTCCATTTCGTGTGAGAGGCAACTTAGGCCCTGCTATTCGCCCAGGTCTTGACTTAATTCCGGGGTCGCATACACGGTAGTCATGGCCTTCGCCTTAGCTAAAGATCTCGAGACCACATCGTGCTTCATGGGTTGGATAGACTGACTTCCTTTTCAATTAGCGGATGGTTGAGGAGCGGGCGACTTTATTCAAAATCTCGGCCTTGGCGTCATCGAGTGACTCACCATGACTTGCAGCCTACCACTACTTTTCAACTAATAGCCAGAAAGACCATGGTATTAGTAGGAGCTTTAGAGTCAAACTTGCCTAAGTTATTATCGGGATGGTACGGATAGCATTAAAACGCCATCTTTCGATAATTCTTGGCATGACGCCAGTATTCGATAATATATGGAGCAACAATTACCATACTAGGCTGACTCCGAAAGGTGTTTCTACTGAAACATAAAGACGCAAGGAGCTCAGTAATTCATTCATAAGTAGCTACATGTAGGTACAGTAACTCTACTAGTAGTCAATTGGGGCCAAGGACCGAAGGGTTACACGACGATTTAAACAGGGATGTTCACCGGGCCGAATGGTGCACGCTGTGGTATTGGCCTGAGTCCTAGGCCCCTGATCGGCCGGAAATCGCCCTTTTATCGTAGACTACCTTCACGATTTCGGAACCGTACATGATCAAGTGCTGCACGTGGATTAGATTCACTTTGAAGACTATGTATTCGTGTGACAACCCGTGTATATCCGGCAGCTGCACGGGTTTAAAAAGTTGTCACACCCTTAAAAAGAACCACAAACGTCCGAGGAAGGACCAAATTCTATCAATTCTCTTCTCCGCCTCGGGCAGCTACTAAAAGCACAAGATAAATAGGAAGCAAACAAAACAAGTACTAAAAAACATCCTGCGCCATAGAGAGGTATGTATGTAAAAGATTAACCAAAGACCTGTCCATTCCATTCCATCCCGTCAAAAGAAACCGTATACGATAATTCAAGTTATTACACCAGCTCGGGTCCCAGTAGAAAGACAGCCAACAAATCTACGATAACTGAATCGACGATCGCTGTCGACTATGGAGCCATGCCTGCCCTGAGCAGAATACGAGGAAACCCTAGATTAAGAACTACGGTTAGCTTGCATCAAATGTATAGAGGAGAGAAAGTGGCACGAACAATGTAGACAATAACAGCGCCAAATATGGTGGCAGCAACGCTCTTGCCGTCTTTGGGGTCATTGGTAGAGCCCATCATCGATTCATGTCTACAAAAACGGAGTTAGTAAACGTCGCTTTATATTCCAAGGGGCAATGCGGTGGAGTCGTACCCAGACTTGAAAAGCGTCCCAAGGGCGCTAAGAATGACGATGGCGAATGCGGAAATGACGATGCTAGTGAAATAGTTAGTCAATCCGGGCTGGCAAGACCTTTCTGCGACTACACGAGAGCGTGAGGGAGAGAAGTAGTTACCATGACCAGGCAGTGAATCTATGTACGTACGTTAGCATTCTTCCAGGAGAGGTTTTGGGAGGGCTCAAGGTGTAGCAGAGCAAGGAAGGAGGCATACGCAGAAAAGAGAGGCTTCATGGTGAGGTATTAATGTTCTATTATCCGGGGAGAAGTGTCTTAAAAGCGTAGAAGTGGTACTGGAGCTACTTGTTATTCCGTTGGTGTTATTTGGTCCCGGTCGCGCTGGTGACGAGTGAGGTCGATACCAAAGGCTTGGCGCGATATTCGCATTACATAACCAGCATGGCGGCTGAGGGATCCTGTTTGGCGTCACGTCAGGCAGATCAGTATTCGGACAAGTCCTAACAATCACCCGCTCACTCATCTCCAGAACAGAACTCTACCATCGCCACCACCACCACACCAACCTACGACTTGTTTAAATACAACACTTGAACCTTCGCTAATCTTCTCTCCGCAGTATCTCCCATCGCATCATGGCGTCTCCAGCTTCTACTGCTGTCGCTGCAGGCCCAAATGATGCTCCTCGGCCAGTAGCTCGCAGAAGACCTGTAAACGACAACCCTCTGGTGCAGCGCCAGAAGCGTCCACGGCCAGCTCCCGGTATCCGTCCCTCTGCTGCTGCCATAGCAGGCGGGGCAACTGCCATCGCTCCTCGTCACGCATCGACCTCGATGCCGACACCTCCAACCGCCCCAGTTGCTGTTGTTCCTGCTGCGTCTGCATCTACCGCCACTACAACTGCTGCCCCCGTCAAGCAGGAAGAAGAGGTCCAATGGCAGGAATACAAGCTCACAACCACAAAGGCCTCCCTCATGAAGGACCTCCGTTACCACGTAATGCGCATGCAGTCGAAGCGCATCGTTAACCCTCTCGACAGCCAGGAATTCACAAGACCCATAAAGCTTCATCGACGGGATCCAAGGGCCCCACTTCAGGGTGCGAAGGAGGAGGCTGCTGCAAACGCAGTTGCCGCTGCCCACAAAGCTGCGGAGGAGGAGGAAAAGGCGAAGAATCAGGCTGAACAGGACAAGAAGGACGCCGATAAAGCCGCTGCTCTGGAGAAGATCGCGCCCTATGGCGGTGCGCAGAAGCAGAAGAAGAACGCGTTCCAGAAGAAGACCCAACAAGTCTACAAATCTAATGATGCCGAGAAAAAGCTACGCTACGAGGAATTCTTTCCATGGTTTATTGAAGATTTTGATAATAAGAACACGTGGGTTGGGCAACTTGAGAGTTCACTTAGCAAGGGAGTATTCGCAATGTTTGTGCTGGATGACGGTGCCTTTAAGATGGTGCCTATTGAGAAGTGGTATAAGTTTACGGAGAAGAACAAGTTCAAGACCATGACGTCAGAGGAGGCGGAGGTCGTAATGAAACAAAATGCAAAACCACCAAGATGGTTGATGAATCGAACAGAGGAGAAAGAGCGAGAGCGAAGAACTCTCGAAGAAAATGCGAGGGCGACAAAAAAGCTCTTTACTCGGAAGGGTGATAGATTGCCAAAAGCAGAAACAGATGCAGATGACCTTGACTTTGACGATGACCAATTCGCCGATGATGAAGAAGCTCCCATCATGGAAGGTGAGGAGCATGAAAACAAAGAAATCGAGGTAATATCAGTTATGCGCTCTTTGCTTTATCTAAAATACAGTTACTCAAAAAAGTTACTCCCCTACAGAATCGTATCAAAAAGGAACAACTGTCTGCGAACTTCTTTGACGCCCGTGGCGAACGTGAATACGAGGAAGAAGAAAAGGAGAAGAAAAAGCTTGAGGCCGTCCGTCGTAAGCATGGTAAAAAGGTCAAGAAAGCCCTCATGAACCGTGAGGGTAACTACACATACGAAACGGACTCCGACGCAGATCCATATGCTTCAACTGTATGTCATTCCGTCCAATATAATTTGATACAGAACTTCTGCACTCAATTGTACTGTTACTAACCCCCGGCTCGGTTATAGGACGACGATTCCGATGACGAAGAGGAGGAAGCGCGTAAACAAGAAGAAGCCAAGAAGGCTGAGGAAGCTAGAAAGGTCGAGGCAGCTGAGAAAGAAGCACTCGAGAAATTGGTTGCTGAAAAGGCTGCCGAGAAGGCCGCAGCCGCAGCTGCAGCAAAAGCTGCCACAACCACTCCCGCTGCCGCTGCTGCTGCCGCTCCTTCTACTCCCGCTGCTGCTCCTTCTGATCTAAAAACAGCTAAACCTGTTGTATCTAAGAAAGCAACACAAGCACCTGGTACATCCACCCCTCTCCCCACCGCTGGGTCGAAGCTCAAGCGTTCAGGGTCCCCAAACCTTTCTGGGATCGAATCCGGGGCCGAGTCGAGGAAGAAGCCGAAGAAGAGCCAAGCGCCGAAGCTGGGCACAAGCACATTGCCCGTAGGAACAGACAAGAAGAGTATCGTAAAGCTCAAGGTCCCCCCCGAGAATCTCCAGCAAATCTCGTCTTCTGAGCCTTCTCCGTCCCCTCCCTCAGTCGCGGGTATGAGCGCAAAGAAACGCAAGAACGATGGTAATGCGACTGCAGACGAGAAGTCAGGGGAAACGAGCGATGGACCAGGAAGCAAGAAGCAGAGGATCAAGCTTCTGTCCGGTGGACGATCATTATCGCCAAGTGCAGCTGCGAGTAGGCAGGGAAGCCCTGCGCCTCCTGCACCAGCTGGAGGTGACGGTATGTTCCTCCATTTCATGCTATATGAGACGACGGTGGGCCATTTGGTCTGCTAAACTACCTTTGGTTGGAGGCGGGATACCTTCATCAAATTTAATTTAGCTGACCTAATGGCCGGTGATTGGCGCGCCCCCCCCCCCCCCCCCCCCAAATAAAAAATCTTGGAAGTGGGTGTTGACTAACGGTTGAAGCAGCGTTCATCACGGACGAGGAAATCAAGAGCCTCTTGTCAAGCAACCCTGGGGGTGTAACATTGAAGTTTATCGCAGACAAATTTAAATCGAGGGTCAGAAACGACGAGGTTAAGGCGAGACTTGTGTCGAGTATCAAGAGATTGACCGTCACGAATGACAAAAAGACTTATCATCTGAAAAAGGATGTTTGACGGCACGTGGGGAAATTTATATCTCTTCCTTTCTCATTTGGCTATTAATTTTTCTCCCACCCATGTTTCCCCCATGTTTTTTTTTCAGTTATTTCGTTATGACACGAAGGTATGGCTAAATTGGTATGAGGGTCGATGGCGGAGCATGTACTCATAGTTGCGGCTCTTTCTAGTATCTTATTTCTCATTGGTTCATTAGTCACTAAACATAAGGACAGAAATCACAGAATAGACGACAAGTTAGTCGAGTAGTGCAATACAGAACTTATCACTATTTCTTCCCATTGGGGAGTTATCCGTGCAGTATACCAATGCCATACAGGCAGACTTCGTAGTAATAATAGAAGGAGTATTGTTATGGATGAAACCATTACAAAGGTATAACTATCTAAATGACTATATGTGGTAACCTGTGATAGTCTTTTTTCAATTGTTTTTTTGGGGTCTACAGACATCATCTCAGGTTCGGCCAATAAAGGTCATAAGATAGCATAGTGTTATCAATTCAGTGCAAAATAAGGAATAAATTAAACAAAGCGATCTCAATAGCCAACAAAAAATTCCAGGACAACTTATGAAAAGATAGGAAGGCGAGATCCAATCCCTCCGACAACCTTTTTAACGCCATCGAGTGCTCCAGTTCCTACATCCTCCAAAAATGTTTCGGCGCTCTCTAATCCAACCTCAACAGCTTCTATCACTTTCATCTGCAGGCTTCCCATTGAGATGTCCTTTGGCGACCAGTCTTTCTCGGAGAGCATAGATTTGATCCTCGAATGCATCGCTTTCTGTTTGTTAAGGGTGGCAAGTGTATACCACGTACAGGCAAGCTGGAGAGCAACTGTATTCAAGGGTTGAGCAATTGCACCCAACGGTTGACGGATCTGGGTATGGTTGAAAGCACGAGCCATAATAATGATGGTATCAAGCATACACATTAAAATCAGGTCACCCGGGATGTCCTTATCCCACAAGTTTGCTGGGTAACTGTCAAGGTCCCGCCACGATTTACTGAGTAGGGACTGAATCAGAACATCATCGCCGGGGAAACGCATATTAAAGCTATCAAGAACGGGCCTCATGAGCAGTCGAAAGAGTTTTGGCTCATCTTTGGCATCGCGGAGAAAGTCGATCTTTTCTCCATCAAACTTAGACTTTTTCCAAATCGCATAGGCGCGAATACTTTCAGCGGTAGCCAGAGCAACCTTGGGTTTAACTGAAACTCTCTGGGCTTTGAGTTGAGTGAGCTGAGCAGCTGTATCGACAAGGTTTCGAGATGTTTCTGAAAGAAGTGTCTTGATTGTGTTGACACCTGCAAAACGGATTTTAGATATTGATATCAATCATGAAAAGTCTAGGTCAAAAACTTACTGCTTCCAATAGATACCCAGCTCCGAGGAGAGAGTTTCGCCAGTTCTGCTTTTTTCTTCTCAATTATTTGGTTAAAGCGTTCCTCAACCTGCTTCTCGTCGGCTGCACGCCTTCCAGACAATTCTTTGCGAATCTTGGTTTTCAACTCTTCTTCTTTCATTAAAACGACAACTACTGGAATCTTTCCAAAGTCCAAATTGAAGAATGCTTTCTCCGAAGCATTGGTTTCGTCCTCAGTGCAATCGATACAGTACCTAAATATTTTATATGTGAGATAAACTCTTGAATCGACTTTTATATGGAAATGGTCTACTTACCAGATAGCATGAAGCTTATCCTCTGGATTTGTTCTCCCCCGGTACTGGGTCAAGAACTGATCGACAACTTCAAAACTGTCGCTGCCACCAGGCCCAAAGCCATCTGAGTAATGCACACGAACCAGGTCGTTTTCGGGAATCAATATTGGCGTCCCAATGTCCGAACAAATCGATTTATCAATCTCCGAAACCTAATAGACTATAAGCATGGATGTATGGCCTTAGAGATCAAGAGAATTCTTACCACTGCTCCAGCCACTGGCGCTGCTCCCGAACTAGGGTCTGACTTGACCCACTTTCCAAAGGTTCTGCTGATAAGAGAGGATTTTCCAATTGCCGGCCGACCATAAATTAAAAGGCGCATGTGCTTAACAGATGAAGCTTCTTTCAGAATACTTTCTACCGTTTGGTTTTCCCACCATGGCAACACATTCTCTGGAATTACCAAGTGCCTATCGCGGATAAAATTGCGGAAGAACCTCCACTCGTAGAGTTGAATGCGAAGGGACAAACTGATGTCAAAGACCAAGTATGTTGACGGGTGTAAAAACACTCTGGCCTTGGTGTGTTGGACATACGGCGCTTTTGTGAGATATTCTAGGTAATTTCGAGGCGTGTCCAAAAGCCCCCAGCTAGATTCATTCAGATACAGCTTAAACATCTCACCGGCCTTAGATGTATGATAGTGTATCATGTCTGTCATCTTCATTGCCATATCTGAGGCATGGGCTGACTCAAAGACATTCCCCTCTCCCGAGAAAAGAACGTTATATCGTTCCTTCTCGGTGTCGAGTACCAATCCTTTGTCCATTGCAGCGCGCAACATCCATTGCAAGGGCCACAGGCCTAAACCTTGACGCTCAGAGCCTCCACCAATATCATGATGAAAACCTAAAAACCAGGCTTCTTCATAACTGCTGTCTGCCAACTTCACATCAGATTTCCAAAGGGTTGGGCTAAAAAGAGGTCTTCCCTCATTCAGTGCTAGTGCATGCCGGAAATGGCCGACGAGGTGAGGTGCATCTTGCTCGAAATCGATTATTGGGACACCGTTCTTAAGCGTGTTGTGGACTGGAAGTTGAAATACGGCTTTGACGGTATCGAAAACTCCAATAAACCGAACGCGAGGGGATGGTTGGCAGTAAGATCTTTATAACTTAAGTGAGTTAAGATTCATGGAAGAAAAATGTCGATATTTGTATTTTGCTTACGTCAAATCTTTAGGACGATCAGACTATATATATATTCATGCTCATGTTAGTGAACGAAGGAAAAATACAACTCAAATATTCATAAAACGCGGATTCAAGGTACTACTTACCCGACCTAAGAACTGCGCCTTTTTTGTAAGTTCATAATACTTTCTTATGAGATCATAAAACCGAGTATCAAAATCCGCATCCGTTTTCATATGTTCTGGTTTAATCACTCCAACATATTGTAGGAAGGATGCAAGTGCACGGACAATAACTGTGAAGCAGGCCGTCAGATTTCGTCTTGTTTATACCAAGGCTTTGGCTTTTTTTGCTTTCTTACAAGCTCCACGACTGAAACCAAACATAAATATCTCATCATTCTCCCACTGTTGTAGCTCTGAACAGCAGACCTAGGTTTGCATATCAGATATTTATTTCCAAGACAGTTACATCTTCTAGGATCTAGCTCACCTTGTAAGCCTTTTTGAGGATATCCAGGTAGCCTATATATCCGTTGGTTAAGTTTTTGTCCCGAGTAAATACTTCAGAGGGGGTTAATTCGATGGATACCTTCTCCAGTTGCTCCTTGGAAGGTGGAAGTTGCTCTTACAACCAAGTGCATTCCAGGGTAATCGACGTTGGCCGGCCTGGCACTCTCCTCGGTCCCAACTCCCTGAAAATAATGTGCACGCTGAAATTATTGGGATACTCAAATTAGTTTATCAAATTCGTATATATACCGAAGAATATAATATATCCTGTTTCCTACCTGGTCATAAGTCTTGCCAGATGTGTCCCCAACGGCTCCACTTTTTACCATATCATTGATTGACTTTACATTGTCCGCAGCCCCGCTTAAAGCACCTATAAATATAGTTAAGGATAGAAATTAGCATTTACCAACAACATCACGACCAATGACTAGAAGTTTGGGTACATGCCTTTAATTGCATCGTAAGAGCCCTCAGACGTATCCCAGGTCCCGTCAACACATATAATCAAACGTACAGGCGAAGTAGCAGTTCCTCCAGACATGATTACTGATTCGAGTAGTTCTGGTTATTGAAACTACTTAGACTCGACTTGAGAATTTAGGCCCTTTAAATACAAATTTCAGGCTCGGTGGCATGTAGCGAAACATACTAAGCCCTGGGTGAAACCTTAAACCCCGCACCAAATATTTAGGGCATTCGGCAATCTTTCCAAGCCTAGTATCATGACATTGTGAGATGTGTCCTAAAAGATTTCCCTTTACAATCATCTTTGCAGGCGGAACTAGAGGTACCTAGAGCTAGTTGCCGTGGCCACATGAGCAAATATCTACCGATCCAAATGGCTACCTGAACTTAAACTGAGGAACTCCAAACTTATGAGAACCTGCAGATAAACATCGTGGGAGATCAATTTGATGCAATGCGGATGGTTTATGATCGCCCCCTAGGTACCTACTCAGCTAGCTTGGTACGATCGCGATGAACAAACCAACATCTTCCCCGCACCTAGCCATCAAAATACCGCAAAGGATTGACTGATTTACTAGACATCCCGCTCGTTTTCTCACGATCATTTGTGCATTACTCGTAAAGATTGCCGACTATGCAGATCTTCAGCTACTAAACGCCAGGATTCGGTCTTGGCCGACATATGCATGTGCCGAAATAAGTAAACGGAGTCTAACTACTACCCTAGCTGTTTCTAAAACCAGAATCAGTACCTACATGCAACTTTGTTACCGGACACCCTGTTTCGAGCCTCCTCTGAATAGACATTGCTAGAAACAGAATATACAATCTTAGTTAGATAAACATTCATCTGCGTCCTTATATGTCTTTATTCTACCATGTTTGGTAAACGGTTAAATCTGTGGGAAGCGGATTCAAGCTCCTTGGGCATATATGCATGTTTCACTCAATTGACTCTGTTGCAGTATCCTTGTTTGGCGAATGTCTTGAACACAGTTATTTGAACTTATGTATGGTTAACCGGCACCGCCAGCTTTTTCGCTAAACTCCGATTCTAAATAGCATGTCGCAATCTTATTCGTATGAAACCAAAGAGGTTATTCACGAATGCCGTGGGACCTATCTTCTATTCAACCCGAGTATCCCCGAATATAGCGGCAATTCGGTGCTATATTGATCTTTATAGGTGATACACATTAACGACAGTGCCCCATGCATACCTCCCGTAGATGTGCAACAAATTATAAATTTCGTGATCAATCCAAATCATGTTTCCACCTAAAATTTGATGAGATTAAGGTGATGCCGTCTCTATATAGCTATAAAAGAAGATAACTGTAATAGCTTCAGAAACTACTGCGAGGCCCCCTTATGATATCAATTCAGCGTTCACATGATATATTCACCTGACCCTTTCTCTGGAGGAGCTGTAAATTTTTGAGATTGTCAGCCGGAATTATCTGGGCTATAGGTTAGTATATATATAGCCGGTGAAGCCTCGTGTCTCTCCCTAATGTTCCAAGAGATATTTGATATTAAACGAAACTTTTATTGCTGTCCACATAGAGTCTTCGGAGTATAATGATGGCTCGGTGAGAGTCAGCAGTATGGAGGAGGTAAGGAGACTATGGTGTGCCGCGGGGTTTTCATTATAGCTATAAGAGCCCAGCTGGACTCAAATATACGAGTCCAGATATTCATCCTTCATTTTTGTAACTGCAAAGCTACCTTTGATTATCAAGGGCGCATCATGGAACCTTCTATCTAAAATTCTCATCTACTGTAAATGCATTTATTTCAGTTATATATTGGGTATCTTTGAGAGACTGCATCGTAAGTACTTTTAGCTGGCTGGCGTTGCTGTCCACATGCACAGCATATCAAAATGCAAATCATAATTTTGACCGGGAACTCTGTCAGTCAAGATCACGCCAGATATTTACCTTAGACTAAAGAGAATAAAAGACCATGAGTGAGTAGGGTCCCTCTCTTTTGATTGCAATATTACCTAAACTATCAGTGAGGTTGAGTACATTAATCACCACCCAGAATCCCAATACAAACTCCTGCACGGTCCCATGTGTACTCCAGTCTGTTTTTGCACGAGTTTTTACAGCTAGCTGGTTTCATCGATAACAGCTGAGATAATCTCGCTTTTTATGTTTCCCGCCCGTTGCTATGCGACCTACCGGTGGGAAAACGTTGTCGTTCAGCGGCGTTTCCCTATCATAGGTAAATACATGTAGTAGCTATTACTTGTACGAATACCAACTAGGCTTAGCTAAATACAATGCCAAGTAAATATTAACCCCCTAACCCTATTGCTACTTACAATATTACTGACCCTTAAAGAACTCAATTGAACCCACATTTTCTACAAGAAGTTTTGTCAAGGGCCATTGATTACTCCAAACATATCTCGATCCCAATATTTTCCTCTTCGCCATAGCTCCCATGCCTGGCATACGTAAACCCTGCTGTTGTCTCAAACCGCTTCCTTCTTATAATTGTATATCGCGTTTGGGTGGTCGATTCTGCCTTGGGTTCTGCCCTTAGGCCCTATGATCCTCCAGCTGTTTTTACATACGACAATTTGTAAAGCTGGCAGGAACGCATAAATATTCTAGAACAATAACTACCTGGCTACCTGTCTGCGTAAACTACGTTGAATTTTTTGATAGGTGGGGGATGAGCTTATACCCTGGTCCAGTGGGTAAGAAATAATAATATCTATGACGGTGATCGGCTGTGTAGGAATACTGAGTGATGTTGTAATCGTGCACAGACCAGATCTAATCGGTCCCTGACGCTGGCAGTAGAACGATCCCATGTGGGCGGCACATGTCATATTTTTAGCCGGGAGACCCTTGATAATGACATTGTCATTGACAGCGACCACATCGATGGCCGGGTACCTAAGTCATCTACATATCTCTACCGAGAGAATCACAAGGATCAAAGATAAGATAACAAACAAAGCAAGCTGAGCTAACTATCAATTTAAATATTCCCACAAAAAAACTGCAACTTATATTATCGCCCAAACTCCGGATCCCTAGTAATATACAGTAAAGCAATGAAGATATTAAGTATAGTGGATATGCAGTAAAAAGAGGAGCGCATATTAAATTTTCGAGCTGCCCCTCTGCGCAAGGAGCTTTCTGTAAAACTCTTTCTTGCCGCTCCTTTTGCTGCTTGTGATCTCTTCGTACTTTTTTTTGAACCTTTTGCGGTTCCCTTCATCAGCCATGATTTCCTCTGCAATGGTCCGTTTTCTGTCCTTCTTAGTGATCCTCGAGGAAAAGAACTCCGTGTTGCCCTCAATGATCGTTCCGACCTGAGAATACTCTGGAAGAGCAGAATTATCCTTTTTGTAATGACGGTGCGGGTCTAAGACATTACGCATCTTGATGAGCTGTAGGTCTCGCTTGAGCTGTGGAGTCAAGTCTGTCCTTGGCATATCGAACCAGTTTGCTCCGGCAGTTTTTTCCTTATCCTGGCATTTTGTTAGTCCTCATTGAACAAAAATCTCCGAAGAGATGCGATAGGACGCGAAAACAAAAGCAAAACAGGTGTTTCGGAGGGGAGCCTCAGAGTAACTATGATGTAAAAGACATCAGGATGTGCAAGACAGGCACCCAAGACGGGGCCTGATTTCGCTCAGGGTCTAAATGGGAATTTTTCCTCATAGGCAAATCCGAAACATAGGGGTGAAAGTAAAAATCAATGGAAGTAAGAAAAAGGCGACAAACTTCTTTGGTCTTCTTCTTGGATGCAGCCCGATCCACACGCGAAATCCCCCCTGCAGCTGCTGAGGTGTCCGCCAGCTCGCGATCAGATGAGGATACCAGCATAGAAGGATCCGATATTCTAGAAACAGAACCCTGGGATTTGATGGGTGCGTTTGCCAAAGCAGAGCCAGGGTCGAGCTTAGGGAATCTAGTGCAGGTACACGTATCAGCCCGCAGTAGTTTATTTAAGGGAAACAACCAAATAATGCATGGCGGGGCACACTGCCTCCCACACACACAGGGGAAAAAGATAATTCGAAAGGAAAAGGTGTGATTAAAGGAAGGGATGTGCATACTTCGTCATAGAGATTTTGTTAACGACTGTGGATGAATTCAAGAGTGCAGACGAGACTCTCATTCTTTCCTCGGCCTCGCGGAGAAGGCGGTTGATGGTTTCATCCGACAATTCGGCGTCATCACCTTCTACCACACCACCAGACGGCGAGGAAAGAGAGACGGTGGAAGCCTTGACCACGTCATGGATGTTTCTCCCTTTCTCTGCTCCTACTGCTGTTTGTAAGAGTTCAAGGGGTTCTTCTGTTGGCATTGCGGGGTAGGAGTGGGAGAAGAGAAGAAAGAGAAAAGATACCAACACGAGAGGAAAATTTGAGAGAGTGAAGGGGAAGGACGAAAAAGAAAAAAGCAGTCAAGAAATGTCTGGGCATGGACAGTCGGTAAAAAGATTTGAAGAAAAAAAAAAACCGAGGTGTGGCTGAACGTTTCACCGCCCGAGGGGCATGAGGCTGAAAACCGCGTGGGGATGTGTTTGTGTGATGATGGGCGGTGGCTAGGCAGATTCTGAGGCTGAGAGGAAACCGCAGATGAACTAACCGCACATGAGCTAGCGCGTGCGCTTTCTGCAGCGACACCTCATTCCTGCCGCGAGAAGCAGACGAGATCGAGTGAGAGACCGAGCGACAGCGTCAGAGTAACGAGAGAGGCATTGAGGCCGAGCAGCAGTGATAGCTACGAGTTAGAATATGTGCCTACAATAACGGAAAGACGATAATTGAGAATGGGAGATAGACTGGTAAAGGAAGACAAAACGGGAAGAAGAATTAGATATTGAGAAGGGCCCAGGAAATGTTCTACACGCCCACCGTTTTTACCAGTGAACCAGTCAGTGGGGTGTGCGCTTGCCTGCTGCTGCTTCCTGCTGCTGCTGCTGTTTCTGCAACTCCTGCCTCGCCAGCTCCTCCGCATCCACATAGAGCACCTATCCATCCATCCATTCAATTTTTACCTTTACCCAGTCACAGTTTTTTGTTGGTCGACGTTGTCGGCCAACCTGGTTCGTCACTCGTCCTGCCCAGAAATCTGTCCTGCGCCATCAAGTGTAGTCCCAAGTCTCTTCCTGTGCAGCACAACCACCAATAGTTGTCACCCTCCCCCACTAACTGGACCCCATTTTATTACCACAACCCCAGTTAATATCAAAGCACCAAAGCACAAGGCCACTCCCTCCCGGCCCCCCCGACCTACATCCCCCCGGTCTCTCACGTCACAGTCTTGTGTTTCGCTGCTGCAGTTGCTTGGTTGTGTGTGTGGTTGTGTGTGTGTGTGTGTGTTTTTACGTCCCCAACGGCATAAGCATACTACTTACATAGACTACTACTACTCGTCGTACTCTGGAATACATACATAATCTTCGAACTTTCCGCTTCTTCCCCAGTTTCATCTATTTCTTCCGCCATTCGTCCCGCCATTCACCCTCGCGCCACTAGAGTATCATTCAATCCAAAGTGCCTTCTTACTATTGTTCCAACAGCGTTCATTGTTTTGTCGATAGAATAGAATGGATCCGCAATTCCCCTCTGCGGGCTCAAGGCACGATCCTTCGCAGTCGCAACACCAGCAGCCCAATGTCCCTCCTTACGACATCTCCGTGATGGGCCATGTCAGTCTACCTTTCCTTTTGAAACAATCACCCCGTTTCGATTCTTTTTTAAGAATTATCTGGATTTTTATCTCGACCCCCCAGGTGATGGATGATGTGTTGCGCGCAGAATGCTGACTTCCGGTTCGGGATGGATTCAACAGTATGGAGCCAGCGCGGCGCTCGTAGCATCTTCATCAGTGCCAGCTCCAGATATATACAGCGGCGCATTCGCAAATGTATTCTAACTCCATCCTTCTCACCATTACCGACTTCTCCCTCCATCACATTTGAGCAAAATATTGATGGATTCGCAGGTTTCTCAAGGTTTGCACGGTCATTACCGCGATATCCTTACAACGTACTGGCAACAGACCATAAATCAATTAGAAAATGAAGAACATGATTACAAGCTTCATCAATTGCCATTGGCAAGGATAAAGAAAGTCATGAAGGCAGATCCAGAGGTCAAGATGATTTCCGCAGAGGCACCTATACTTTTTGCAAAAGGGTGTGACATATTCATCACGGAACTCACAATGCGCGCCTGGATCCACGCCGAGGAGAATAAACGCCGTACCCTGCAACGTTCCGATATTGCGTCGGCATTGGCGAAGAGCGACATGTTTGATTTCCTTATTGATATTGTCCCACGGGAGGAAGCATCGCATACCAAACGGTCCGGAGGTGGTGCAAGTCATCAACAACAACAACCACAGCAACCTCCACAGCAACCACCACAGCAGCAGCAGCCTCAACAACAGGTTCCCCCCCAGCAGCAACCTCAGATTCCCGCTGGGCAAGATTACCTTAACCATCCTGCAATGGCTCAAGATCCGGAACGGTATAATCAGCCAAACATTTATGGTGGAGGGGTCCCACAGCAGGGAAACTATCCATCGCATCCGATTTACCAAGAGAGCTTAGAGGGGATGTATGGATATCCACCAATGCCACACCAGCCTCATGTAAGACCCTCCTATCACCGACCATCCTCCCATGTTTCCCCCGCTTTCCCATTTGTTTCACACCCTGGAGCACGGGACCATTTGCCAATACCTAATTCTGTTCCATTGGCTCATGATCAACAGATGTATCAACTGCCCAACCAACGTGGCCATTTACAAGATCCCCAAGGCGCAGGGGGTAGCAACGAACAAGGCGAAGTCGGTGATGCAGATGCTGAGGGCGAACGAGATTACGACGTCGCCTAATCCAGGGACCATTCTTGACGCCTAAACTTTTGGTTCCTTTCCTTTTATTTTTTTTTATTTTTTTTTGGATTACTCACACTGTCTTTTTCCCCTGCCTCTCGCTTTTTTCCGGATTGAATTTCAATTGGTTTGAAGCATGGGTTGCATGCATATTTTCTCGCATGGGTTTTACCTATTATTTTCATTTTTTGAGGTACTGTTTTTGTGCTGGGACCGTTTTTTGACGTTTTACGTTTTTTATGGGATACGTTTCGACCAAGGGAATTTGAGGAGTTGGAAGTCGTTTTTTTCACTTAGCCCGTTTGGCTAATGGCTTCGCATTTTTTTTGTGTCTTTGTTTTCAGTTTTTTTTGTTGGTTGGACATGGACGTTTTAACATGAGTGATGTCAAGATTGGGCGAGACAGGGGTTGGTTGGATTGGATACCAGACAGGATATTTTTCCGAGGCACCTTTTTTTTTATTTTTTTATTTATTGTTGCAAATCATTTTCTTTTCGAAGCAATTGTATTAGTTATATGTTACCCTTGGGCTATTATTGCCAACCCTTTTCTCTGTCATCATTGTCCTGTTCTGGTTTCAATCATACATGAGTATATAAATATGCTTCTACCCCCCCATCTCCCCCCTTCTTATTTACAATATGGAACTAGAATGAGGTTGGTAATGATCAAAGTTGTACTCAAAGTAGTTTTACATGCCTCCTTAATTACCTATCTTGTGTACTGATATACATGGTACGGCACTACATATATGTAGGCTGAGGAATCATAGCCCGTTAGACGGTTGGGGGCGGACAAGTCACAGATGAGAATCCACATTGAAACTCCGGAACACCAGGTGATCGGACAGCATATGAACCTCCACTGAAGTGAACAAAGCCCATGTATGTATGTGAACGGAAGATATAAATACATGTCTATCAACAATCTCTACGCGGTCTTGTGACCAGCACGGACTATGATTGTGAAGAAGATAGGTAGAGTACGCACATGAGTACATATTGTACTGCACTTATGTTTATTCGTGCCGCTTTCTTTCTTTTCTTTCTTTGTAATTAATTTCGTGCCGCTAATCTGCCGACTTTATTCTTTTTTTTCGGCCCAGGGTCTCACGATTACGTCTGTACCTACCGATAACTTCCGAAATGCCCTACCCAAAACCTGGTAAGGATGAGGTTGGTGTTGAGAACTATTCGCTTGTTACTGCTACTCTACTACTACTACTAATATAATATTCCGTGTTGGAACTGTTTTGCATCTGTTTGCAGCTACCGGGACCGGGATTGAGGCCGGGTAGGTTAGGGGCGAAGCCTTTCACTCTCCTCGCGGTCATTCTCGGGCATAGCGATATGCATTCGTTCGTTACTGTGAACTGCATGTTCCAAGACCGTGATGGGTGTTGCTTGCTTGCTTGCCCGCCCTACCGATAAAAGTGCTACGTGCATATGCGGAGGTTTCAACACCGTAACTGGGGAGCATTACTACTGATACTACTCTATTCACAGACATTATGACGTTTTTGGAGAATAGGCTCGAGCTTTAGAACATGTCTTTTGTCTTTCTCTCTTGCTTCTTCTCTTTCAGTATCCGCTGAGAAAGTACCCTACATACAGTACATACCGTGACCATGCCAGCCAGGAAGGCAAACTTGCAGCAAGGCAGTGAGTGAGTGAATGAGTAAGGTAGAGTACAAAGCTAGGTGTGTAGAGTAGAGGACAGCTTTACTCTATACTCGGAATTCTCTATTTCTTTCCTTGACATTGCCATGGATGCAGAGGGCTAACTTGTTTTGAGGAGTTCTCGCTAATAGACACCTGTAATGAGTGCGATGAGCAGATGGATCATGATCCCAAACCTTTTTTTTTCTCGGTACGCCGGGTGACGCGAGAGCCTGAAGAAGCTTGAGGGCAGGGACTGCGGATTTCGGAATGGCGCAGAAATAAGATGCGATGCTTCCCCCACCCTTCCCTCTCCCCCCCTCGTATCCATGTCTACTGTTGGGTTGGACGTTGTGGTGACGAGGTGAAATTCGAAAGCCTTAACTCACATATAAGATGGCAACCAAGGCAACCCATGACAATTATACAAGGTGGACAACTTGATTTCATCGCATGGACGTACCTCTGGGATGAATTGAGGACAGATAGATATGATGGGTGCTCAGATCAAAAAGCACGTTTCAAAGCACGCGTCTATCTGTGCTCTATCGAATGCTGCACTTGGGGTACATATCGTTTTTGCGCAATCAGCGTCGAAACGGGATGACGGATAGACCTGTGTGGGATTGAGAATACCGTGTATATCCTATACATATATCGATATATGACTCGACGTCAAACATCTGTATTAAGCAGACGGGGTGCGCACAACTTCGTATCTTTGAACCCATCGGGAACTCACCAGCCGGCCCAAGAACACAACATACATATTTCTTATATATCCCATGATCCCAACATCTCTTCCGGATAATATTTGCTTAGATCTTCCGTCTTGTTGGGATTTCCAGCTCCTCCATTTGACATCGGATATGGTATCTCGAACACCCCCCGTTAGATAACACCACTGGCGCAATCTCCAAAATCCGTCACTTCCTCGTCTCCGTGGATTTTCTCCTCCCACGTGCTCTGACTTCCAAGGAATTCCTAGAGCACGATCTGTGAGACCTCTACCCCGCAGCAGTACTACCGGCTTGCCCTTGTACATAAGCCGGCACAGACGACCTCACAGGATCAAAGGCAATCAACGCCAGCCCGGGTCCATCCTTGGACCCCCGTGCAGGACTTGGTTATAACAAAACCACGGCGTCAATTCTTCATCCCCGGTGGAGTCAGCATCATCATGACCATCGTGATGAACATCTTGTGCCATCAACCTCGAGGAGGCAGTCGTAGGCTGCGCACGCCGTCTGTGGACCTGTATACAGCTCATCGCTTGATGTTACCGATAGTGTTAGATTATACTTATGAAAGTACTATACTGCATGTCCGCATCTCTGACGATAGACCGGCCTGGATCATACCCCACCCTAGGCTCGGTTTTGAGTATTTGGAAGATATGCGGATTTTTTTTTTCAACTTACTTGACAGAGTTCTCCCTCCGGCAGTATCGATTTAGAATCGGCCGATCTTACTGGCCTGCCTGCTTCACCGCCTGAAATTGAGCGGACCTGTCCCGGCCTGTTGTGCTGATGATAGTATTGATGCTACCTTGCTTCCGGGGTGCAGTTTCATGTTGCGAGGACAAGGTGGATACTTGGGGTGGTCTGGTCATTGTATTTGTTGTGCATCTGGGCTGATTTCTTTTAGGCCACAGTATCTCCGACGAGGTCTGCAGTGGCCAGTAAGCTTGCTGATGATGAGAGGTACACGAGATTGGCTGGGAGCTCCTTCTCCAGGCGATCATTCATGCAGTCCAATGGATGCCGAGAAGCTAGAAAAATTTCTCTAGAGTTCCAGAACGAATCATAGTGCAGGCCGGTAACAACCGCCGTCGAACTACCGCGGATAAGGCCTGATTGGCCTGGTGGATGTGGACTATATTCGAATATTACTCACACTTCAGCCATTTCAATTGATGAGGCAGCAATAGTAATGACGATCATGATCATGATCAGCGTTCTCTGGCGGCAAACAAAAACCAATTTGCCATCTTTATCGTGGGATTGGCTCTCAATGCGCCGACAGCTAGATGGACGGCCATCGATCATGATCGATAAGATGGACTGGTGTTTGTCTCAGTAAAAATTTTATCATACTCATCTCACTCATCTCTGAGTTATATAGATTTTAGATGCATTTTGTTTATAGCATACAAGGTGATGGGCTGTTGTTTGTCCTTATCATGTTTTCCGGTATGATTTTGTTTGTCTCTGAATCACATGCTATCACTCATAACCACTGGCTTGGGTCATGACGATCATCTCGTGTCACTCGGTGTGACGGGTAGGCGCCTAGTGCACAAACCTCCTATCAAAGCCACTTATCCACACGTCAAAGTCACCCATTGCTGCTCTATGAGGCCGTCAACGAACCCCTGCTTTGCCAGACCATACAACCGCCCTCTTTACCTTTAATTTCCTATACTCCAATCAATTGTAAAACCCTGTCGTTTCGTTAGCCAAACAGTGTGAGCAAGCCATTACATATAAGATGTGCCCATCAGGAGGTGCCCAGTTATAACACATCTACCCAGCGCCCTCTTTCGCGCTCGGATGACGCCATACAATCGCGGTGGTCCTTTCCCGCTCTCTGGTAGCAGTGAATCTCAATCAGATGGTAAAAGTCGTCCATACCGCTAAGCAGACCTGACCCCGATGGTTTTTTTGGACGTTAGAAGGATCTGTTCCCACATACACTACTGATTTTACTATAGGAGTCCGAATCGCTGGAATACTCCACTATAGAGCACAATGGAACGACCGGTCCTTCCCAAAAGCAGCTATCATACATTTTGTGTTTCAAAGACTATACCCCAAGCGATATTTATCCATCCCCAACCTCACTCTCAGTATGGATCGTATCGTATGGAGTTCTTACGATCTAATGATACTCATTTTGAGAGAAATTTGCGATAGTGGCAGGATCACCTGATGTCCTAGATGTGCAGTAGAAATTGAATTTTGATTTAGCGGCGGTGTATGGCCCGGCCCGAGGGCAATCCGGATCGCTCTGCATATGGTCTGCCCGGAACCCGAATATATGGCTTCTGATATTCGCCTGGCTTCCGGACCTTGTGACTATTTGCGACCCACTATGCAAAACCGGCAGCCTGTGATGGAAGGTGAACCCGAAGCTTTCCGGTGTTGCAAAAGGATCTCTTTTCACGGGAAGCCACTTCTTTTTCCCCATATATCCACGACGACAGGTTAGTATTTATCAATCCGCCAACTCCAGCCTGAATAGGTGTGAAAGCTAACAGACGAATAGATATACTCTTGCCCCACCATTCTGAGAGTTGCTCGAACACGCTTGGGCTAGTCCCAAAAACCGATATCATAACCGGCGTGTCAATGATACATGATATGCTGATACCTTTGTTTTATCTTTCGTGATAAGATCGCAGAGGTGTTTGCCAAGGCTAGACATACAATTATATTATCTGATATCATATCATTCATTGATATGGAAACGGAAGGGAATGATTTATTGTTAAGCACCGATATAATGACCGAACGGACCAATTATGCGACCATAGAATTATTGTCTCAATGGAGTTCTTACTTCATCGAGTTGTCAATAATTACTTTTCCATATCAAAGACATATCACACATGTCCTCTTCCGGTATTAATTAATTAAGGTTATGCATATGATAAGATATCAGGCTCGCTAAGAAGACCATAGGTGCGGATTATGAAGTTCAAAGTTCAGCCAGCACCGCGGTGAATTCCAAGCGCAAAACGGGTCTTACCAGTAAGGCCTGCATATATACGATGGTATCAAAACATCCCCACCCAGTTTCCTGGACCACCTTACGCTTGTACAGACCATCCACAAGTCCCACCCATCGGCTCCTATTAACATTCCAGCTCGCATGGACTCCCCCAAGAGGTATGAAGGCGGAACAGCCCTTGTCGGGTCGGGATGGGGTGGGATCGTGAACTGGGATCATCGAGTCACGTCGATCGACGGGAAATCGCCAATCTTTCGGCTAATAGGCGAATGGATGGGAAATATTTGATATGCCGATAAGGTTTTCCTTCCTTGAGAATGATGACCAGCTGAATCAGAAATTCTGCGCAATGGACGACACCTGGCCGTCGCATTGTTTTGACTTGTGCATGTGTTTGTGTCTCGGTGCAGACAGGACGTCTCACGGCAAGTTACATGGATATTACAAGTGTAACTACATGTAGAGTATTAGGTGCAATACCATAAATAGCAACTATGATTGTGATCATGTTTTGTCACTCGGTATCACTCCAACAACGCGAATGACCAGTCAATAAAGGGCGTACTCTCCATGGCTTTTGCACGCAGTATCACTCATATAAAGGTAACTTTTGATTACGATTCCTGTGAAAAGAAAAGGATCAAAGCCTGTGAGACCCGAAAGTTAAAATGATGTCCTCCTATCATGATCATATGAAGTGTTTAAGGTTGGCAATCATATAAAGTGATAAGACTCCAGTATGTGTGTACTTGAATGTCTTTCGGTGGGAATCTAGATTCTGAGCTGCGCATGACTTGTAACTGCGTGTAAATGTACCTATATGTAATATTTGTTAAATGGACTAGCTGGGCCCTGTCTACATGTAGCTACTGGGGTTTCTCGGCAAACTTGAACACCCACATCAAAAAGCAGATAATTCCCTCCCAACATATATATAGGCTTGAAACTATCGCAAATATGTTCGACCTTGCCCCGTCTACCTTGCTACAACTTGATATCATGCCACCGAAACAAAGGTTCCAACTAAATCTATAGACTAAACAAACACCGGAAAACCGAGGATGTATGAACCAGTACCTGTAATGTACTTAACCATATTGAACACTTCGCACACAACAAGAAAGTACATGACACAAAATAGAACACATTTATGAAATTAGAAAACCATTATACCAGCTCAGTCCCTTCACGTCCCCGTTTCTTTCGGTCATTTTTAATAACTCCCTTCTCTGCTCCAATTGTCCTGTCATCAAAATCTGATCTCGTAGCTTCCCGCCCTTGTCATATATCTAACCCACTTGACGCTTGAGTAATTACTTTTCTCGAATACTTTCAAGTATCGTACCAAGAGGCCCGAGGATGTAAACATCAACAAACTGAAGCTGAGCGACAATGGCGGTCGTGACCATGCTTTCTGGTTCGTCATCGATGTGAGGGTAGCGTCTGCGGATAGAACATATTCGCTCTGGCCGGTGAAACGAGGAATCCTGTGTTATTTCTGTGAGAAATCTGAAGCGTGAAGAGATCGTGATATTTGGTAGGGATGCTTACTTCCAAACAATGATATTCTCTGAGGGCTCGTACTTGGCCTTTCCTTGGCTCGTTCGAGTTTGAATACCAGCTGTATTCAAGGGTGTCGGAACACGCACAACAACATTAGTGGCAAAGAGCTTAGTACCATAGTTCGCCCTGATTGCGACCTGGTATTCAACCTTCGTCTTCCCAATTTCGTTCACTATAGCATGCACCCTGAATGGCAGATTCACATTTTCCGTTGCACGATATCTCATTAACTCAAACTCTCCATCAGGCGGTACGAACGATATAATCCTATCGGTATCGAATTTTCCGAGCTTTACACATTGATGAAACTGGCAATCCTCAAGTGTCACACTCCCAGCAGCAGCTCTTGTTGCCTTGGTGCCACTTTTATTTCCAGATGGTCTGGTAAGTCCATCTCCGTCGAGCAGAAGACGATCATTGAGACCAAATTTGCATTCCGGGGTGCCAGAGAGGTAAGCACGCATTATGATCTGCCCCGAAACGTCTGCCCGAAGGACGGTACCGCCGGCAGACATGAGAAGATTCACGTCCTCGATGACGTCGACGAAGGCTTCATTCTTGCGGTATTTTACATCCGCACGCCGCCACGAGAGGGCACCGGTGGCTTGCATAGTGATGCGTGTTGAATCTTCCTACAATTGAAGTTACTATGCCGCTCTGGGAGTAAATTTTAAAAGTAATTAACACTTACTATTGCTCGCTCAGACTTTACCCCCTCGGTTGTGATGTACATCTTTAGTGTATCAGTTTCGGTATTCTGGGGATACCCAAAATCCAGGATTTCTGTTCATAAGGTAAGGTTTCAGTATTCCGAGTCCGAACCCCTATCCAACTATTGCCGAAGCACCCCACCACTCTTGACATACCCGCCACTTCTTCCAGCAAATAATTGAGGAGAGGGGAAATAAACGCACCGTCGAGAAGTTCATAAATCAGCACGAAATTGTTCTTCACGGCCTCCTCGTCAAATTTCCCAAAATAGCTCTTTCCTAACGCGATCAGCCTGTACAGAAATTCGAAAACTAATGCGGCATTGGCGTTGCTCTTGGTTACAGCAACAATGTAGATGTTTTCGTGCTTGACATGGGAGAACGTAGTTGACCCGAGTGTGAGAATTGGAGAACGGACTTGGGCATTCGAAATGACCTGGATTCGGAAGACATCAGACAGTCTTGGCCGACCTACATTGTTTTGGTGTTAGAAGACGATCTCAAAATGACTGATCATAGATAGGGCGCGAAGCTTACAGTCATTTCGAAATTGGCGAAAGATCAGATTCTCGCCCTTCTGGTTGAAAAGAAGTATTCCTGAGAGCATATCTACTTGTTTATATTTGTCGCTTTCTGTCCTCTCCTTTGTCTTTTGATGCGGCTCGAGAGACTGGTGGCTAACGGTGGCTTGGAGCTCGGGTTACTGTCGAGAAGGAACCAGAATCCACAAACTGTAACTTGTGAAGAGTGGTGGTAGCAGAGTGTGCTTTCTGGTCCTTACGAGGGATGTCAGGGAGATGCTCGACGCTGCAGGGTGGTCGCTTCAGAGGTGCCGAGATGGTACACCACAGATCCTAGTCTGTCCTGCTTCCAGAACATCACGGGAGTAGGTATGGTGTCTAGGCTTGGCAGCAACCATATTAACCGCAACACGAGATAGGTATCAAAATAGGTACTGGTGGTGGTTTTAGTGCTTTTTCAATTCTTTCAATTCTTTCAATTGAGAGTCAGCTAACAATCTTTGCCGCTGGTACTAACTGCTGGCAATTGACAACGACAATGCCCCTAGTTTATGTACTCTAAGTTTCACCTTCTGCGTATATTTTACCCTAAGTACTCTTCTACATACAACCCCACAATTATTGTGGAGGTCTGCCATTGGTCCTAGAAACACAGCCTGATTTTGTTGGATCTGGTAATTGTCACTCACTCCTGCCTCTGCTGACGCAAGAAACAGTGCATACTGATTTTTCTCGCTATTCCAACCACAACGTTTGATTTGCGCCGCTCCCGCTCTTGCGCATAGGTTAGTCCTTGGCCAAGAAGCTCTAGCCAACAGGCTGCGTGAGTGTATGTCATGCATTAAATAGAACCTGCGATGTCCATACTTGCATAAAAATACGCGCGCGAGGGGTAGAATGGGCTTCCGCTCTATCTCGAGATATTCAAGTGGACGAACCCACTGGAGCAGCTGATCAATCAAGCAGTCGAGTTTGCTACTGGACTGAACACAAACACAAAAGTGATGAGTTGGAACCGTATCATCCCTAAATCGTTCTATTAAAAATACCCAAAGGCGATCAAAGCTCATTGCCGAATCTTCCCCTCCTGTCTTATTAGATCGAGTGATAGATTATGTTCTTATCACTTAACAAGACCCTGACCAAAGATAAGAAAAGCTAGTCTAAGGGGATATATTTGTTTTATGCTAGTGACGCAGCTAGTCTACCTTACTTCTGTCTAGGGTGCACAACCAGAATGGCAGGATTGAACAAGGAAATATTTTCCAAGCAGTTTTGAATAAGAATGCTTTCTTTATATGAGATTTAAATGATCAAAACAAGCGGAACTTGAAGAGGGGAAAGATTGTTCTCGATTTTTGGGAGTAATTCATACAACAGGCTATATTTTTGTGTAGTAATGCAGATCCCGAGTGATGGACCATGACTACATGTAACTGCATGCAAGTAGGTAGAGTACATGTACCTACATCTGATCGCCGACCTGCGCTTCTGGGAGCATGGGCAGTAGTGTCCAAAGCTCTTCAAATAAGAATCACTGGGGCCGTATTTGCCATGATTAGCGCTTTGTCTGTCGTTTAGTATATGGACAGTTGAGAAAAAGTTCGTAAGAGATAGAGACCCAACAGTGGGGTCAGATCTCTACGTTTATGCACACACCAGAATGGATTGGTGCGCAGTACATCAGTCTTTGAGAGATGAGATGAGAAGAAGCTTCATGCCAGTTGCTTTGGGTTTCTTTCATTCTAATGCAGAGATCAGGTGATTAAATTCCACCGTTGACGTAGTTAACGTATTTAGGATGCTCTGCGTAGCCTAATATTGTATGCGGATCAATATCAATAAACGCCGGAAACGGGAAATCGCTCTGTTAGCCCGGGAAAGGGGTGCAATTGATTCAAACACATAGTCGGGATTTCAAGCTTTCGCGCTGGAAATCCTTGGTCGTTTTTTTCACCGGCCCAACCGGCATCAAGCTCATATGTGCATGTAGCTTTTGTCTAAAACATCTCTCAAAACAGACCCAAAAAAAGAAAAAAGAAGGCAGAAGGGGAGGGGGGGGTTATGCTTTACCGCCTTGTACGCGACGCGCTCAGCAGAGGCAACAAAAAAAAAATTGTTGAAGGCCGGCCAGGTGGAAGTGTGGCCGTGGTGGGGTAAAAGCGCCCCTGCCCTGTCACGTGTTTGTTTACTAAGCTTCCCCCGCTGCTTGGAGGGCCCAGCCCTAGTAGGCCCCTCCATTCTTCATTGATTCTCCTCTCATCACTTTTCTGCGTCCATCAACCTCCTCCACTTTCCATCGTTTCCGAACACTCCCCTTACTGCATCTCTCCTGCTCAACTCATCTCTTCTCAAGGTTTTCTGTATCTCTTTTTTGCGAGCGGAATTTCCTCTCGTTTTATCATCCCAGCCGTAAAGTTCCTCGCGGGAAAAATATTCATAATTAGCCATGTCCGAACCCATCAGGAATAAGAAGCTCGACACCCTCGCTGGTGCTCCGTAAGTCAACGCCTATTCTCTCTATCAGATTTTCCCTCTGTTTATCTAGTCAGGAATAATCCAACTAACCATGAGTAAAAACACAGCACCCCCCAAAACACCCCTTCTGTCAATGCCCCAATCAACTCTCATGCTGTTGAGCCAAAGGTTTCCACCATCAAGGAAGGTTTGTAATCCTGTTTGCCACTTAGCGAAACAATCTTTTTCTTGCACAATTTTTTGCTGACCCGTGGCGGAATTCCCTTAACAGAACAGTTTGACCGCGCCACCGCTGCTTCAATCTTTGCTTCCGACCCCCGGTTGGTCTCGATGATTCAAGGAAAGCTTGGCTCGCTTGTCGGACGTTCTTCCGGCTATATTGAGTCTCTTCCGCCGGCTGTCCGCCGTCGTATCGCTGGCTTGAAGGGTGTCCAAAAGGAGCACTCGAAAATCGAGGCCGATTTCCAGGAGGAGGTTTTGCAGCTCGAAAAGAAATACTTTGCTAAATTCACCCCTCTGTATCAAAAGCGTGCTAAGATCGTCAATGGTACCCTTGAGCCTTCAGAAGACGAGGTCAAGGCCGGAAAAGCAGATGATGAGGAGGAGGATGATGAAGAGAAGGAGGAGGATGTTAAAACCGAAGACAAGAAGGATGCAGAGGACCTTAAGGGTGTTCCAGAGTTCTGGCTGTCTGCCATGAAGAACCACCTCTCGCTCGCCGAGACCATCACCGATAGGGACGAGGCTGCCCTTAAGCATCTCACCGATATCCGCATGACCTACCTTGACCGTCCCGGCTTCAAGCTTATCTTCGAATTTGCCGAAAACGACTTTTTCACCAACAAGGAGATCACAAAGACCTATTATTACCAGGAGGAGAGTGGTTACGGTGGTGACTTCATCTACGACCACGCAGAAGGTGATAAAATCAACTGGAAAGAAGGCAAAGATCTTACTGTCAGAGTTGAGAGCAAAAAGCAGCGCAATAAGAGTATGTGTTCCACTCCCATTTTATTCATCTCGTTCCGATCAATCCTTGGATCTAACACTCTTAGCAGACACCAAGCAGACCCGTGTTGTAAAGAGGACTGTTCCCACTGAAAGTTTCTTCAACTTCTTCTCTCCTCCAGAGGCCACCGGTGGCGACGAAGAGGACGATGAAGCTTCCACTGAACTTGAAGAGAGGCTCGAGCTCGACTACCACCTCGGTGAGGACATCAAAGAGAAGCTTATCCCCCGTGCCGTTGACTGGTACACTGGTGAAGCTCTTCAGTTCGAGGAACTGGAGGATGACATGGACAACGAAGAGTTCGATGATGATGAGGATGATGACGATGAGCTCAGCGAGGACAAGGATGACGATGATGAAGAGTCCGAAGATGACGTAACTCCCAACTCCTATCTTTTATTTTCAATTGGACGCGAGCTTACTGTATGTTAAGGATGATGGTACAAAGCCTAAGCAGGAGGCTGCCGACTGCAAGCAAAGCTAAATGCGTTAATTGTTGCATCTCCCGCATAGTCATTTCTGACTATCATGTTACCACGAGCCTATGAGTGTATGTCTAAATGTTCTTGGGGTTTTCAGGGACTTTGGAGCGGGCAAAATGGTGAGGGGGGGTATCTGGGTAGGATTCAAAAGACAAAAGTGATCTTGTGCTAGGAAATTTGTTTCTCTCTTCGTTTTCAACCCCCTTTATAAACTATTACGATCTCTTACGGATCACATTTTCTTTTTTAGTGTTTCTTCTGTCTTGTCGTGTTTCATCGGGCAGGACAGGAATGTGTAGTTTGGTCTTGTCCTATTTACTCTTTTGCTGTGTTTATCTCCGGTTTTCTTTTTCTTTTTTCTTCTAAATTCTTCCTGTGGTGAATGTCTCTGTGTCCTATTCATGAATTTCACGTGTGGTGTGGCTGGGAACGTATGTCATGTACATGCTATGCTATGCTCTATTGGGGTAAAACTACATGTATGAAAGATTGCTTTCCATGTTGTAAGCTTTGAACACTGTGATATATATTGTTTGCCACGATAGATACGATGAACTCTTGTGTGAAATTTATATTGAAAAATATTGAACCGGTGAAATATCTCTCGTTGGCTGGATTGGGGTTGAAACCAGGAGATAGCCAGATTGTACTTGTATTCACCGTTTAAATTTCGCTAGTGTCTGATCGTGTTTAGCAGGACTTCAGAAGACAGGTCGATTATCGAGGGGTGAGGCTCTTAGTAAACGGTCCCAGATTTGCTTTTGCCTGTTGGTGCAGGTCACGTTCCTGATTGTGCCTGGGGTGGGGGTAAGGACACGAACACTGGTACAATTGCGGTGAACACTCAACGGTTTGTATATACATACGTAGAAGTACCTTAGGAATGCTCAAACAATTTTGTCTAGCAGCGTTATGAATTCGGATGGTTACACAAAACCCATTCATTAGTGATAGCAAGAGATACTGGATTTAGTAGGTACATGTAAGCTTAAATTCCAGTAAGTGGGCATTCTTACGGGTGTCCATGTGTACGGAAGGGAGGAGGAGGATGAAGCCTCCGAAGTTAGTTGGCTTGCCTGAGACAGTTTAACCCGCCTGGTCCTGCCCCTTTTCGCGGAAATTCAGTGCCAAGCATCCACGGGGTCTTTCCCATCATATCTTCACTCACCTCTCTGTTACCTTTCAATCATTCCTGGTTCAGATTTATTTCCTTGTGCCCATCTCCGAAGGTTCTTTCTACATACTTTGTCGGACAACCCCAGGAAGAAAAGGGTTCTTCTGGAAAGCTGTCAGCTTCTATCAGCTATTCTCCCCTACGGAACAACAACCACCCCGCCCTGAACCTCATCCCCTCATCAACTACAACTGGCAACCATCTTTACCTTCATCCCAAATTCCATTTCTTGGTTCCCTTTTCATCCTTTGCTGTTATTTGTTCGAGTTACTTGACTTCAAATCAGCCATCTTCATCTTCACTAAACCCCCGAAGGAGAACTGTAGTCAATCTACCTGCTAGCCCACAGCATTAGGGGGCAGTTACCGCCGAATCATGGCGCACACGTATAATATCGACACAGGGGCGTGGATCCAGGATCCCACAGAAGGATGGGTCTCCTCCAAAGTGGTCTCCAAAAACATAACTGGAACAACAGCTACTTTGGTGTTTGAAATCACTCATGGTGATCGGTTTGGAGAGGTAAGATTCAGCTGCTTTCCCGGATAAAGGACAACGGAATGGGAGTAAATATCTGACAAAACACGATTCTAGAGAATCACTAAAACAACATCTCTTGTTGTGCTCGAAGGCAATGAAGAGGATAAGGATCTTCCGCCGCTAATGAACCCTCCCATTCTTGAGGCATCAGACGATCTTACCAGTTTATCACATCTCAATGAGCCTGCAGGTAATTAACATAAGAGATCAATTTTTACGTGTTTTATGAAGCTGATCTTTCAATTCTTGTATAGTTTTGCAAGCCATCAAACTTCGATATGCAAAGCGTGAGATTTATACCTATTCCGGTATTGTCCTCATTGCGACAAATCCGTTCGATCGAATGGACTATCTATATGATCCGGGTCTTGTACAGGCTTATGCCGGGAAAAGGCGTGAGGATCAGGACCCTCATCTATTCGCAATCGCTGATACTGCTTACCAGTAATGACCCCCTGAAATAATAACAGACACAGAATTGGAGCTGACGGAGGTTTCTAGGGCAATGGTTCGGGATGATAAGAATCAAACCATTGTTGTTTCGGGAGAGTCTGGTGCTGGTAAAACAGTCAGCGCGAAATACATCATGCGATACTTTGCTACTGTCGAAGACCCAAGCCGACCTGGCAAGCGGAAGAAGGGCGCGGCGGGGGAAACCATGAGCAAAACGGAGGAGCAGATTCTTGCTACCAATCCGATCATGGAAGCTTTCGGTAACGCGAAAACTACCCGTAACGACAACTCATCCCGTTTCGGAAAGTATATTGAGATTCTGTTCGACAAGAACATCGACATTGTGGGAGCCAAGATTCGGACGTACTTGCTCGAGAGATCTAGATTGGTTTACCAACCAGCAACCGAGAGAAACTACCATATCTTTTATCAGTTGATTGCTGGATCTACAGAAGAGGAGAGAAAAGCTTTGGGTCTTGGCGCTGTCGAGGATTACGCCTATCTGAACCAAGGAGGAGACCCACACATTCCACATGTCAATGATGCTGCCGAGTTCAAGGATACCCGCTCCGCTCTTGGAACGATTGGTGTTCCTGAGATCACTCAATCCCGTATATGGAAGGTCTTGGCAGCCTTACTGCATCTTGGTAACACAAATATCGAAGCTGCCCGAGGAGGATCTATACTTTCTGGTACAGAACCATCGTTAGTCAAAGCTTGTGAACTTCTCGGAGTTGACAACGAAGAATTCGCCAAATGGACTACAAAAAAGCAATTGGTTATGCGAAACGAGAAGACTGTTTCTCCCTTGAGTCAGAAACAAGCACTTGTCGTCCGTGATTCTATCTCTAAGTTCATCTATTCGAGTTTGTTTGACTGGCTCGTGGAAACCATCAATGCCGGATTGGCTACGGAAGAGGTTCGGGAGAAGGTCAAGTCCTTCATTGGTGTATTGGATATCTACGGTTTTGAGCATTTCAAGCGCAATTCTTTCGAACAGTTTTGTATCAATTATGCGAACGAAAAGCTACAACAGGAATTCAACCAGCACGTCTTTAAGCTAGAGCAGGAGGAGTACGCAAGAGAGCAAATCAACTGGGCATACATCGAGTTCTCTGACAATAGGCCATGTATCGATTTGATTGAAGGAAAATTGGGTGTACTTTCCCTTTTGGACGAGGAATCTCGTCTTCCTGCAGGAACGGACGAAAGTTTTGTCAATAAGCTTCACCAAAATTTCGGTATCGGCAAGCCCAAGGATTTCCCTTATCAGAAGCCTAGATTCGGAAAGTCTGCTTTCACAGTGTGTCACTATGCTGTCGATGTTACGTACGATTCTGAGGGATTCATCGAGAAAAACCGGGATACGGTGCCAGATGAGCATTTGGAACTCCTCAGAGCCTCTACGAACCCCTTTCTCACAGAGGTTCTTCAGGCTGGATCATCAGTCAGGGATAAGGAGATATCTACCCCAGTCAAGCCCGGTGCTCCCGCTGCCGCCCCCGCTCCACCCGGAAGAAGAACTGGTGCCACTGTCCGAAAGCCAACTTTGGGTGGTATATTCAAGTCTTCGCTTATTGACCTCATGAGCACTATTGGTGGCACTAATGTCCATTATATCCGTTGTATCAAACCGAACGAAGCAAAGGTAGCGTGGAAGTTCGAAGGTCCCATGGTTCTCAGCCAGCTTCAAGCCTGTGGTGTACTGGAAACTGTAAAGATCAGTTGCGCTGGTTACCCGACCCGATGGACATATGAGGAATTTGCTAGCCGCTATTATATGTTGATTGAGTCAGATAAGTGGAAGGCGGGAAGTATTCGGGACGTTGGACTCTGTATTCTGCAGAAGACAATTCCAGCGGAGGGTCATCCAAAGGATGGGCAAAAGGATGGTAAAGACAAGTTCCAATTGGGAATGTCAAAGATCTTTTTCCGTGCTGGCATGGTATGAAAGCCTATTCCACAATGACGTGAATTTTGTTACTTACTAGGATTTTAGTTGGCGTATCTGGAGAACATGAGAACGAGTCGGTTGAATGAATGTGCTATCTTGATTCAGAAGAATTTGAGAAAGAAATACTATAGGCGTAAGTACTTGGAAGCTCGTGCTTCGATACTGCACGTCCAGGCATGGTCTAGGGGATATCTTGCTCGCAAGGAGGCGCAGGAGATGCGTACTGTCAGAGCTGTTACTACAATCCAAAGGTTTTGGCGTGGTTCAAAGGAACGTAAGGCTTACCACAAGATACGCGACAATGTTATTGCATTACAAGCTGGTAAGCATTAAATTAACCCTAAGTTCCTGTGGTATTTCGGTCTAACTTGTTACTAGTGGCCAAGGGTTACCTCACGAGGAAGAGCATCACCGATCGGATAATCGGAAACGCTGTAAGATATATTCAAAAGGCTTGGCGATCAAGGTATGTTGTTTTTCTCCCATGAGTTTATTGTATACCGGAAAGTAACTCTCTATCTTTGAAGGCGTTTCTTGAAAGCCTGGAGAACCTATCGAAAGAGGGCTATCTATATTCAAAGTATTTGGCGGGGTAAGCTTGCTCGACGTCAATATAGGACAATGCGCGAGGAAGCACGTGACCTTAAGCAGATATCGTACAAGCTTGAGAACAAGGTCGTTGAGCTTACCCAAACGGTAGGAAAGCTTAAGCAAGACAATAAGGCACTACTGGAGAAGGTAGAAAGTTTCGACAACCAGGTTAAAAACTGGCGAACGAAGCATGCGACGCTCGAGAACCGCAACAAGGAGCTGCAATTAGAAGCCAATCAAGCTGGTATCGCTTCAGCTCGGTTGTCACAAATGGACGAGGAGATGAAGGCTCTGCAACGCCAATTTGACGAGTCGACGGCAAACATGAAGAGGTTACAGGAGGAAGGAAAGTCCTTGCGCGAGGCCCTGTCTAACAGGACATCGGAGCTCGACCTTGCAAAGTCTCGAGACCAAGCACACGAGGACGAGAAGACGACTCTCAGGCAACAGATCCAGGCTTTAGAGGATCAACTTCAGCATGCTGGTCCACCGATTGAGGAGAATGGTGTATCGGAGAAACCTGCGGGTGGCCTTGCCAATGGACTCATCAATTTTGTGTCGAATAAGAAGCCAAAGAGACGTAGTGCTGATGTAAGTGGCGCAACTGGGAGGTTTGAGGGCGATGGGATGTATCGGTCCTCGTACCAGACTCGCCCTGTTTCAATGATGCCCCAATCTGTGCCTATGCGGCACCGGGACGCGGAGGTGCTAGCCTTTAGTCCCATTGAGAATAATGAGTACGAGTTGCACAGGATACTTGAGGATGATGAAGGGCTCAGTGATGAGGTTGCCGTTGGCTTGGTAAGGAACCTCAAAATCCCACAGCCTAACCCGACAACTCCGCCTTTGGAGAAGGAGGTCTTGTTCCCGGCCTATATCATCAATGTGGTTACGTCTGAGATGTGGAACAATGGGTTTGTCAAAGAATCTGAGCGCTTTTTGGCAAATGTCATGCAATCGATACAGCATGAAGTTATGGTGAGTGAAGTAGTTTTCTGGTAATAGAGATAGGAGGGAAGCTGACTATGTTTTAGGCCCACGATGGCGACGATGCCATTAACCAAGGCGCGTTCTGGCTCTCCAATGTCCACGAGATGCTGTCTTTCGTCTTCCTCGCCGAGGACTGGTACGAGATGCAGAAAAAGGACGATTTCGAGTATGACCGACTACTAGAGATTGTCAAGCATGATTTGGAGAGTCTTGAGTTCAATATCTACCATACATGGATGAAGGTTCTCAAGAGGCGATTACACAAGATGATTGTCCCAGCGATCATCGAGTCACAGTCACTTCCCGGCTTTATCACAAACGATGGCAATAGATTTTTGAACAAGTTCTTGCAAACATCAAGTACACCTGCGTACAGCATGGATGACCTGTTGAGTCTTCTGAACAAGATCTACAAGGCGCTCAGGGGGTACTATATTGAGGACTCAATCATCACTCAAGCAGTCACCGAGCTCTTGAAACTTGTAGGTGTTACGGCATTTAACGACCTCCTATTGAGAAGGAACTTCTTGTCATGGAAGCGTGGGCTGCAGATTAACTACAACATCACTCGTATCGAAGAGTGGTGCAAGAGCCATGATATGCCCGAGGGAACACTCCAGTTAGAGCACCTGATGGTAAGAAGATACTTTCCCCTGAATATAGTACATTTGACTAATATACCCCCTAGCAAGCTACGAAACTCTTGCAGCTCAAGAAGGCAACACTCAGTGATATCGAGATTATCCAAGACATCTGCTGGATGCTATCGCCGAATCAGATCCAAAAGTTACTCAATCAATATTTGGTGGCTGACTATGAGCAACCTATTAATGGGGAGATCATGAAGGCTGTTGCATCAAGGGTTACTGAGAAGAGTGATGTACTATTATTGCAGGCCGTTGATATGGATGATAGTGGTCCCTACGAGATCGCAGAGCCCAGACAGATCAGCGCACTTGAGACATACCTTCCATCGTACCTGCAGACATCCCGCCTAAGACGTCTCGCAGACATCGTTTCTGCGTCAGCGCAGGCACGCGCGGACCAAGCCGCACGGGAAGAGGCGATGTCTATTGCAACCACCACCACTACCGCCGGCCTTGGTATCACAGATTTAGATGAGAAGCAAGACAAATCAGAAATGGCCACCCTAGCTGAGTTAGAGCCGGTGCACGAGTAATGAATAACCTTTGTAAGTTGTACACTAGACTCCAATCATGATTGCAACGCTAATCGGGTATTTATAGGCTTTTGAATTATCCTGTAACGAGTTTGATGACCCTGACGAACAGAAAGAAGCCACCTGCTGGTCTGGGAGGAGGAAGGGGGGGGGGATTCTTTTTTTTTTTAAAAAAAAAAGGAGCTATTATTAAAATTTCTCTAGCATGGTCCAGGCTGCGTGTGCATTTCTTTATTTTGGATTGTTGAAAGCGAGTTTGAAACTTGGGATATCTTTTATATGAGTTTTAACTTGTTGCGCGTGTAATTGTTGGATGAGCTAGAAAAGGGGAATCTTGGTACTTGAGATTGTGGGAGCGGGGACAGTACTGCAGAGCATGCACGTTGGCTCGTTTCTCTCTTTTCATCTGTGGTAATGTTCTTTATCATCATACTTTTTTAGTCATCTATTCCAGAAAGATTAGTTTGAGTTTCCTTTCTTTTCTCCATTGAGTATTTCTCTTCATGTTAATTAGCACGCACCTGTCTGTCTTGCACTGCTATTGCCCTTATATTTTTCATCTCTATTACTGTTGCTTTTGTCTGGCATCTATATCTCGGGTCAAGAAACCCACATATATCCCGATTATTGTTAGGAATCTCTTTTTTCCGGCATTGTTATTTCCCTTCATTTCCTAGATTTACGAATAGTTTAAACCGTAGTTATCGCATAGAATTTCCGTTAGCTAGCTAGCTGGGGCGAGCATATCAAAAATAAAGTACTTGTTTGCTAAACACCACGGGCAGCGGGTGTGCACTGTAATAATATTACTCTAGATGTATGTATGCGCTTTCTGCACTTTACATAAAACATGATCACCATCTGGGATTTTAAGCATACATATTCCAACGATTGGACCTCTTGTAGTAGGCACATACAATATAAGCTGTATGATATCCGTTTCTGCCGTGATTTAGCCTTACAATCGGGTTTGGAGCTTACCTTACTCACCCGTATTGTAGTTGACTATTTGTATTACACCCGGGGAGGATATATCACATATTCTCACTCGAAGGCGGACAGGGAAGCCGCGGCAGCACTGTGATTGGCTGATTGGCAATGCTCTACTCGTAACTTCCTGACGTTTTTGAACGCGACTGATATTGCATACCATACAAAAATACGCCAAGATCCTGATTTTGGGTGTATGCAATAGTGGCCCAGTCCAAAAACGCCAGGAGACTACGAGTACTCTGGTTCAGGCTGCAAGATTGCAGAATCTGGTTGTAACGATGCTAAACACGACCAAGGCAAAAAAAAAAAAAAAAAAAAAGTCAACGCATGCGGGCAAAGTGCTAGTTCATAGATGCGAGCCCCACCCTTCTTGTGAAATATAAAAAGAAGAAAGTATAAAAACAAGACGAAGGTTCTCTTCCCCTCACCCAGCCGTTTGTGGGGGAAGTGATGACGTTAATACTTTTTGAATCAGCGGCGATTTAAATACCGCGGTTTCCCCACAAAACTTTGATTTCACGTCAACCCTCTCAAGCAACATTCAGCGAGAGACAAGATTGTTGCAGAGGTAAGCACCAACACCCCCTCCCCAGTACGTGCATGGCATCTCACTAATGCACTCTACAGATCTTGTCAAGAAGTATCTACCACAGCTGTATTGCAAAAATGTCACTCCTAACTCTGCCCAACGAGCTCCTCCTCCTGATCGCCTCATCCCTCACCACCCCTTCTGACCTCCTCTCTCTCCTCCTCACCAACCATCGCCTCAACCACCTTCTAACCCCCGTTTTCCTCGACATCGCCTGCCAACCCACCCACGCCCTCACAGCCCTCTACTGGTCGGTCGTAACCAACAACAACCCCGCCGCCCGTAATATCCTCCGAAAGGCCTCGAACATCGTCGTTGTCAGTGTCTCGCCCCCAAATAAACACGCCGTGCACCCTATTCCCGGTAAACCCCTAGATTGTACCATCAAGGCCCTCTTCGAGTCAACAGACCCCAATATCAGCTTCGTCTTCCTCGACCAGCACACGAACGAGACGCCGCTCCACCGCGCTGTCAAGGCGAAGGCCCTCCCACTTGTTAACAGACTCCTGAAGAAAGGTGCTTCAACGGCCCATCAGGATAATGGCGGATGGACTCCGCTGCATATGGCGGCCCGACTCGGCGTTACCGACCTCGTCAAGACGCTTCTGGAGCATGGTGCAGACCCAAATATCCAGGGTAGCTACGGAGAGACGCCGCTCTGCCTCGCGGGGCAATACCAGGAGGTCGCGCGCCTCCTGATCTATGCAGGTGCTTCAACAAGCATTCAGGATAGTTATGGCCGCACGCCGCTGCACCTGGCGGTGAGGTACTGGGGGGTCCCACTCACGATACTATGTCTGCACACTGGCGCGCATGTCGGCGTGGTGGACCATGAGGGACGCACGGCGATACATTTAGCCGCTATTTATGGGGGTGTTCCGTCAATCAATATCTTGTTGGAGCGCGGCGGAGATGTAGATGCCAGGGATGTCTTTGGCAGAACACCGCTTCAGCTAGCTGCGAAGTTCGGTAGGGCTAATGTTGTCAGGGCTCTGGTAGAAGCTGGGGCAGATGTAGGAGGGGTGGATCACTATGGGAGGACTGCGCTGCACTTGGCTGCCGCGAAAGATAGCGAGGAGGTGGTTAGGGTGCTCCTTGGTCGTGGTGCAGACCTCCGCGTTAGAGACAATGTGGGGAGAACAGCGTATCAAATAGCCACACAGAGGGGCAAGATGAAGGTCTGGGGTATGTTGCAGGCCGCCCGTGAATAGTGCATATACCTTTTTGTAAGTCTCTTTTGTTTTTTCTTCAAACCTGTTTGTCGTTTATCTTGCTCTCCTTTCTCTCCTTTCTCTCTTTTTTCACTACATTTTTGTATTACAGGTGGTAGAGTCTATGGGATATTGGCGTTTTTAGGAAATTTAGATACCATTGCAGGGAACGGGATGGGGGTGCATAAGTACTTGGTAGTCAGTGGTAGATACATGTAATTTGTTTTGTTTCGTTATGGATTTGGGCTGCGTGAGCTTAGTGTATTTTATTTTTTTCTTTTCTTTTCTCAGGCTCCAAATATGGGCGAGTTAGATACCACTAGTAGTTATATGAGTTCTAATAATGCAATTGCTTACTCTATTTAAAAGTTTGGTTTGTGCTGGTCTTCGTTATGGTAGGGGTGGGTTGAGTATTGATGTCGACGGTATTAGTTTTTGGGTATTTATAAGCATAGATTTCTTAGTTATATCGGACTAATCTGGAATCATGGAAGTCAGGATTATGCAAAGTCGAGTTTAGACAATTCGGAACTCGGAGTTTCGGCAGGGTGGAAACATTGAACTGGGGCACATACACATATGACAGGTATTTTTTTGCCATTTCGGAGTTTGGACATTTGCCATTGGCTTTCTCTACTGAAAGCTAGGACTTTGGGCAGCTTGATCATCCGTCTGGTGATCTTTGACTTGGAATCCTAATATCTTGCCTGTTCCCTCGGTATTTAACTTGTAGCGTTTGTTTCGGGGCGTTTGACGTGTTCCTCCCAGATGTGGCTCCGGAAATCTTAAACCAATAAGGACCGATGCACAGGAATGATATTCTGGGTTATAACATGCGTAAAGATCCCGCTGGGATACCTATGGCGTGGAGGAGCTGATAGGGCTAATGATATATGTGCAAGGAAATATATCTCCACAAACATGTTTAATGTAGGTTGTGAAATTTGGGTCTGTTGGAGTGACGTGAAATTTGACTAAAAACCTACTCATATCTCACGTACCATGTCTAAATCCAAAATGGGGACGTGATGAGAGACTTGACTACGATACATCTGTTCTTCAGGGGATCGGTTATGGAGCGGTAAATGTGTCAAAAGTAATTTTACCAACGGTAGTAAATTATTTACCACCGGTGGTATAAGCACTGAATTTCAGTCATTGTATCTGCACGCTATCCTACATTAGTACATTTCCACCGGTATAAACACTGAGTTTCGGTCTTTATGCTGCGCTATACTAAATAAGTAAATGTTCAATCATTAATGCCAAAACTTATGAAAATTTCCCACCGGTGGTGAAATACCGCCACCGATGGTGAGATTCCCCACCGGTGGACAATTTTCATATATATTGGCATTATATGGCCCCTTTTGGCCAAAAGGTCTGTGCTTTTATCATAAAAATTAGCATTATAGGGTATAAATACTGGTATTATTTTCACCACCGGTGGTAAAATAATTTACTACCGTTGGTAAAATTACTTTTGAGACATTTACCGCCCCATAATCGGTTACCAATAAGTCAGGTGGAAATTGTACAAAAGCCCTGCGCGCAATCCGCAATCTTTAGTTCTTGTACAATTTTCACTTTCCGGGTTGGTATTCGCTCCGTCATGGCCCACATCCCATCCACATTCGAATCCTCGGCATCGCCAAGAATAGACAGGAGCGATGAGCTGAGAAAAAGACTCTCCTCGGCCTGTAAGGTAACTTGGGAGCTGAGGAATTCTCGGAATTCCAGAAGATATTACTCTCAGAAGTTCAATGTCATCGGTTGATGGTCTGGATGGTCGGTGGGCAAGTGTTAGCGTATTAGACAACAAAACGAAGGGGATGGAGAAAAAAAAAAAAAAACGAGAAGATAAAAAAAAAAGATATGTGTTACAGGAATTGGTTTTATCAGGCTTGATGCCCGTGCTGTATGCCTGAAGGTAGTCAAATCCGATGGGCATAGAGGTTTAGAGACAGGGCCTACGATGATGAGAGGAAGAAGGACGATGAAAGTAGAGTGCGGGGGTAGGAGACTTATATACAGCTTCGTACTAAGAATTATGTGACTGTTAACCACAGTTAGGGCTCACTTTCGATGGCGGCCAGAGTCAGCCCTTATTTCGTGTTGAGGGGCTCAATTGCTGTGTAGATTTTTGAACAGAAAATGTGCAATATACCCCGAGCCTCCCCGGTGCGAGCTACTTCCTCGATGCAGCCGCCCCTTATTCTTATGCCTTTTCAGTGTCACCTGTTTGTTTCTTGAATATTTTTAAGGCGGTGATCGTAACTGTCAATCTGTAAGCCACCGCTATGACTCCTAGGCCCTTTGTGCTTCCTGGGGGCGAATCATTGTAGTAAAGCCCTCTCAATGAGCTCAGGTCTAGTTCACGACTGACCCCGAGAAATGGATTCATGCATCTTGAATCTTTGGCTCGGTGCATTAGCACTGAGAAGTCCCAGCACATCCCTTTTCTTTGGCTTTAGAATCCAGCCCGGCACCGCGAAGGCAGATCCATTTTCACAACAAAACTTGATTGATTGATTGATAATTCATTAATTGTATTTCACAACAAAACTTAAAGAGTGTGTGAGCACCTTTCTTACTCTACTCATGCCGAACTGTATTGATAAGAAGATAATAATAAGGAGTATATTATTTTAACTAGCCAAATGTGGGATAGACTACAAGTATGTACGCATTTGATTTTCTCATCATAGAAAATCACTCGAGTGCCAAGAAACTACTTCACTCGATGCCCTCGACCCCGCTCTCCACACAATTTAGAGAGGTTTTATTACGGCGTTTCAAGTTAGACAACCGCTTGGGGTAGAGATGTTATAATTAATAGTAGCTGTGGGGTTAATGGTTGATGACAACGGTGGGTTGGTGGTTATGGGCCCAGTCACCCATAAGGCTACCGAACAAGCTCCCCAGTAGTTCTATTCCGGATTTTAGTTCATATGTTTCAGCCGCTATATACAGATATCGATCGTATTTGCCCATAAAGATACGTCTATTAGTGGGGTATTAGCTAATCTACCAGGACAGAGACCTTCGTTCTGAGGGAGGGAGATGAGGACTGCTTCCGGTGAATTTCAGCGGGGGCTCGCCATTTATCTCCTCATACCTGACTCGTTGTGCATGTGCAATTATGTGCTTAGCAGTAGTTAGTTGACTTGTTCTGTTTACACTTACCGACAGAAAGTGGAGATTCAAGATTGCGGGTTTACACCTTGGGGAGAGGCGGGTTGGTGGTGAAGTGACTCTTCTTGTTTGGTTAGGCGAGCAGTTGGGCAGCTCTTAGTTGTGGTGGGGGTTTGGGGGGAGAGGGGGGCGAAAGCGGAGCTGATATTTGGCTTAACTCCTCTTCGGTGTCCTTTTCGGTGATCGTTTTAGGCAGCTTATATTTCCTCCCTACATAATCCGGTCCCAGTTTGCAAGTGTAGTCTATGAGGCATGTCATCAGTATCACCCTTCCGTAGTAAACATGGCACCAACAAACATACCTCGATTCCGGTTCACCTATTGGCCCTTCAAGAGCCACTACAGTGCTACCCAGCTAGGCGGGTAGGTAAAGCACTTGCAAACACAGCAAGAATACTAGCCTCACGACCATGTGTTTGAACGGGTCACATTTAGCTTTGAACGGCGAGCGACTGTACCAGGTCAAAAACCTGGTTGCGACGCCCTATTTGCTTGTGTTTGCCAGTGCCTTGTCAAGTTACCGTGGTTGATATTTACTGCGGGTGCGTAGATTGAGGTCGTGGGTAAATACTTCCTTTCGTCTTCATCTATGGTGTTGTTGGTAGTTAATGGGAATGGTGGTGGGTGGGAGAGGGGAGAGGGGAGAGGGGAGACAGGTTGTAGTTACATTGACAGCCGTTCCCTGCCACCCCGCCCTCATCGAAGAGGCATCACAGAACATCACTCGAGTGCCAAGAAACCACATCACATTGACAATGGGCTAGCTTGGCAACATTCGAAAAGGACAAGTGGGACACAAGAGGAAACCTAGGAGTGAGAGGATAGGGCATAAACGACAGCCAGCGTGAGACGATAGACGGAGATCAGGAGTTGATGGATGAAGGAAGAGGCGATAAATTGATGAAGATGAAATAGAAGCAAGGGTTAGTGGGGTGGGGAAAAAAAGACAAAAAGGGTGCTTAAACACGTAAATAGATAGCTAAAATAAAGCTTTCCAGCAGAACGAATTAGAGGGCAATTTACAAAGAAACTGGGGACACGTGCATGAACAGTCGTAGAACCATGAATCATGGGCAAAGATTTGTCATTTAAGTTTAGGTGACATCATATGATTCCTCTGCTATATCACGATCGAGCGTATCCCAACCCCATTTAAGTAAATTTCATATCCGTTGACGATATACTCATAGATTCACCTTAGCACATCACACTTCTCAAGAGTAGGGAATCTTAAATTAATCATCCAAGCTAACTATCATTCAAGCATTACACGACTATCCCGTCTACCCACTACCTCTCCAGCACGTCTTCAAAAATACCTCTACATGGCACTCTACTTCCCAACTTCGCGCACATCAAGAATGCACCGCTCAACTTCCTATGCAAACTATATGTCTCCTCCGGCGGGGGGGTCAACCGCTCCTTGATCATCAGTGGAATAAACTCCCTCACCCTGTCCGTCACTGTCTGGTCCCTGAAATCATAGATCTCGGGCGCGGTGTGGCTAAACGGTTCTGCCAGGGTCAGGATCGACCCAACGTGGGCATTTAGCATGGCCTCGGACTCGAAGCCAGTCAAGTATCCCAGATCCTTTGAAAGCTCCGTGACAGCAGCAGTGTCGTTGCGGGCCGCAGAGGTGAGGAGAGAGCAGTATGTGTCCACAAATGGAGCATCGAAAGCGCGAGAAGCACCAAAGTCGAGGAGTTCAATCTGGAAGGTGTGTTAGTGGAAACGACCGGGAAGGCGGGATAGTGTGAGAAATCGACCTTTCTATCCTTTGCGTTCCAGAGGAAGTTTGTCCAGTTTGGATCCGTCTGCATGAACTTGAAGTCTTTCACTTCCCTGAAGCACAGCTTCAATACCTGTGTGCCGATGAAATCTCTCTCCTCCTGGCTCAGGTCGTTCATAATCTTTGTCACGCCCACACCCCACATCCGCTCCATACACAAAACTTGCGGGCCGCATGCCTCGTCAATGACCTTTGGTACACGGAAAACGTCTGTGTCATCTTTCAGCAGCTCGGCAAACCGCTTTGCACATTCTCCTTCACGCACATAATCACACTCCCACCCAAGCTCTAGCCGTGCATTTGCAATGGTCTTATCAAGATACAAGCCCTTTGGCAGCAGTCTCGACGCAGTCAGGAGCACAGCAAGATTGGAAAGATCACTGGATATACTATCAGCCACTCCCGGATACTGTATCTTGACTGCAACGGGCATCCCCGTGCTGGCAAGAGTGGCAGCATGGACCTGCCCAATAGACGCAGCAGCCATAGGCACCTCATTGAACTCGGCAAACAACTCTCTCCAATTCGGGCCCAGGTTTGCAGTAAGAACCTGGTTCCTCTGGGAGGCAGGCATGTAATCTGCACTGTCCTGCACCCGAGTAAGGACCTCGTGAATGGCAGGCGGTAGCATTTTGTCCTGGAACGACATCATTTGCCCGAGCTTTAGCGCGGCCCCACGCATTCGGGAGAGTTTCTTGACCAGACGTTCAACATTGGCGGGCGACATCATGACGCCGCTGCCACTGGAGGAGTCGCTGAGGCCTGTAGCACGCTTGATGGTTTCGGTTGCGGCGCCCCAGGCCATACCGGTTGCGAGGCCGCCATAGTGGAAGAGACGGCCAATGCGGGAGGAGGGCACACGGGAGGCGTTCATTTGGAAGGCAGCGGTTTCAGGCTGTTGCGTGAGGGAAATGTTAACTTGACCATGTTTTTACAAGGGTGTGGACATCGATCGAAGGGCTAGTAAAGAGAACCACACATTTGAGATGAACTTGCCTGCTTCTCAGTGATGGGTTTGGCACTCTCTTCGGCATCTCTCGCTAGCTCTGCAGCTAGGTTTGCTGTCTCTGCATCTGTTGCCTTCAAATCGGAGGCAGCATCAGCAGCGACTGGGTGAGAGGAGATGGAGTCCTTGACATAGAAAGTGTCTTGATCCCTCCCCTCTGTCAAAGGAGTGTTATCCTTCGGTGTCTCTGCCACCGTTGGCTTCAATTCCTCTGTACTCTTGGCTGGCGTTTGTGCCACTATCTTCCTTGCCCTTCTGCTGTGAAACAGCTCGCTGCTCAAATCTTGCACCTCTCCTTCCTTCTTCCCTGGTGTTTCATAAAACACATCGCCATCAATACCCGCTCCCGTCACCGGCTGTGCGCCCTCCGTCATTCTCGGAATCTTCTTCCTTGGCAGGTTACTCAGTACACTGGACACCCTAGCTTGGCGAAGATAGAACACATCGTTCCCCGTATCGTCCACCGAGTCTTCCGCCGTCATCTCAGGGATCGACGACTCGGACGCATGCTGCAGCCGCTTTGCATCCTCCGGGGATAGGTGGTGCCTCGGCGTCGGCGGTGTAGATGCTAGCGGCGAATCAGCGGGCGGTATCGTACCGTCGGGGAGCGGGTTTGAGGCAGCCTGTTTCTGGGTAACTTTGAGCGAGCCTACTGGCTCGGGATCGACGACTGTGGCGGCGCCGGGGGTGTAGAAATGGTCCTGCTCTATTCCCTCTTCTTTTGGTGCTGCAGCTGTGGCAGAGGCGGCCTGTTGTCGAGCATTCTGAACCACGGGGGGCTTGTATCGTAGGGTCTTGAAGATGCTGGAGGAGGTGGTGTAGATTTGGAGCTGCTGGCTCCGGAGGGCGAAATGGCGCTGGGCGATTGCGGAGGAAACGTTGGCCAGAGCGATCAGGTCCACGAGGCGTCGGCCCGCCATTGTCGGAGCTTGTATCTGTATTTTTTTTTCTTTCTGGATAAATGGGATGGGGTATCGTGAGTTTGGGAGAATTGGGTTTGTTGGACTCAATTGCGGGGTTTGGGCGGCGTAGACGCTGTCTGGCTTTCGGAAGGGTTGTCAGTTGTCTAAGACAGGTTTGATGTCTTGAAGCGCCGCTGTAGATACTATGTAACTTATGACGGAATTCACTGATAGGTTGCAATTGCTGGGCGGTGATCGACAAGGGTAAGGTCAATATATGGCGAAGCTACATGTTGAATCAATCAAAACCATCTGTAGGCATCCCTCACTTATATTTACAGGCATAAATTGCATGTAGAAAGAGTCTATTTTCAATTGCAATTCATGATAGTTAATTTGTCCTTGGGCCATATATGTATCCCTTCGTCTGGCAAAAAATGCTGCCCACCCCCCAAAAAGCAAATTTTATGTGGCTTTACTAACAGATCCCGTTATCTCTCTTATCAAATAATAGATCTCCCATACAAATCTGATTCCTGTGTTATAGGGTGGGCAGCATTGCCAGACGAAGGGATAGCCGTTTCACTCACATGGGAAATGTCGGATGAGACAGCATGACCCTGCACTTACCCGGTCATTCGCCATTGACCCATGCCAGGTTCGCCGTTGACTTGGCGGAGAGAAAGCTAGAGGACGAGTGATGAGTTGTGAGTTGTGTTTGTGATTTTCCCGAATCCCACATACATACATCCGCCATTAATTCGATTCATCAGGGCCCGTGACTTTACTCTATCAATAACAACGGCCGGCCTCTTGGATTCAGATACGGCACATACATCTCTAGAGTAGGCACTCTATCTATCCACCCCACCCCACCCCACCACCCGAGTACCTAGTATAGTAGCACATCGTATAACGTACCTGAGCGGGTCGGGAGTCCCTGCAGATCAATCAAGCAGCGCAGCTGAGCTGAGCTGAGCTGAGCTACATAGAAGCAGAACAACATCCCCCCCCCCCCCCCCCCGCCCACCCCGCCTATGAAAACTTATGATCGGAGAATGGAAAAGGCACGTGTTACAGAGTGAATGGCATACTGGCTATGGGCAGCACTGTATGGTTTCCTCTTTTTTTTTTTTTTTTTTCGCTCGGTTTTTTTTCCTGCCCTTTACGATCCCGGTGCCATGGATCGTACCCGTATCGGCGTGAAAAAAAACTATGATGTGACTGTGCAGGTAGGTAGGCCAATGGGGGATTTTTCTGCCCTGGTTGGACTCTCCTCTTTGCCTACCTAGCTAGTTACTCGAGCTGGGTATGCTCTAGCTACATAGCTGATCATGACCTATATGCTAATACATCTGACAGCTCGATATCCGCAGTACTACATGTATGTAGCTTGTATCCTGACCACGACTACCCATAGCATAGCTACCTACCCAGAGGCCCGGAAACACAATCCCAGAGCTCGCAATGCCGATGCTACCTAGGGGTATGCGTCGTTTCAAGAGCTCGAGCTAGGGCCATCTCTAAAAATGAAATGCTCCCGCGAGAAAGCAGCTGTCATCGATTCGGATGAGCTGTTTCCACAGAGCTCCCGGGAAAGGTGCTGCTGCCCCAGGTCGTGCCACGCAGGAAGATCGAGGGGGATTAAACGGTGGCCACTCATGCCCTGTGCTTGGCGCTGTTATGATGGGGGGACGATGGGCCATGGGGGGAGGGATGCTTGTGGCCAATTATGACGGGGGGAGGGGACAGATGTGTTTGTGGACTCGCGCGCCTACGGGGTGGTGAGTGGAGGAGCGGACTTTTCATGGGGCGTGTGGGTGGGTGGATGCTTGCCTGCCTGGCCTGGGTTTGGAGCGGAGTGAAACTGATCTGATCAGATCAGATCTAGCTCTCTGGGGTCTGTGGTGCTGTGGTTCGTGGTCTGTGTTTTTCTGTGTCTCTGCGTCTCCAGCTGTGTTTATGGCTGGTCTGTCTGTGTCTGTGCTTGCTTGCTTGCTTGCTGGGGGGATGATTAGAAAAGAGTACAAGTGGTAGAATATAAAATACCAGCACTGCCCTGCCTGCCCTGCCCCTCCCACACTTGTCTCCGGTTTCTCTGTTCTGTTCTATTCTATTTATTTATTCTGCATTCTTATCCAGCTCTCTTATTCCTCCTCTCTCACTAAACAAAACAAAACCAGAACGTCTCCATAAACCGAAACAAAGGCTTGTTGTGGTGGTCGGTTGCCTTATAACTATTAACACCCCCCACAATGCCCTTCATCCCCAACACCCCCGAGTCGCTGTCGACGCTCCTCTCCCGCGTCGACTCCAACACCTGCAGCGGCGTCACCAACGCCGGCAAGCCCTGCACGCGCACGCTCAAGACCACCCCCGGCAGCACAACCCCCACCGCGGGCATCGTCGCCACAATCGCAAACACCCGCGTCTTCTTCTGCGAGGCGCACAAGGTCCAATCGCAGAATGTGGCCCTCCGCCACACGGCCTCGTTCGCGCGCCGCCGCGAGCGCATCGGCCGCGGCTCCATGGACACGTTTATCGAGCAGGTCGAGGTGCTCGTCGGCGCGCCCGGCGGCGGCGCGACGACAAAGACGAGGATAACGGCGAAGACGAAGAAGGTCAAGGGCAAGGACGACCCGTTTGCGCAGCAGCAGCAGCAGGCGCCCGCGCCGCAGGTGCGCCCGCCGAGTCCGCCGGGGAGTCATGCGCGGCCGCCGCGGAAGGAGAAGAGGAAGCAGAGTCTGCTGAGGAGGCTGCTGTGCTTCTGTTTTGGGAATGACGACGGCGATGATGATGATGTCGAGTATGGGTTGAGCGCGGGGAAGAAGCAGACGGAGGCGGAGCTGAGGGCCGCCGCGGCGGGTGTGGTTGAGGGGGGTGGAAATGGGAATGTGAGGCCCGCGAGAACGCAGGCTGCGAAGGATTCAAAGGTCTTGTTTGAAACTACGCCGCCGACACCTCCCTTGCCTAAGATGTATCCTGACCGGAAACAGGTTTCGAGCGCGATGGCGAAGAACGGGAAGGCGGCCACTGCTGCGACCGGTGGACCGCCTGGACGGACGCCCGCGAGTGATTTTGATTACACGCCGGTCTTTGATCCGAATAGCACTGTAAATCGTGAGTTTCGCACTGCTCTCTTTCTCCCTCTCTCTCTCCCGGAAATGATTGATATGCTGGGAATGATATGACTGGAAATGATACTGACTCGATATAACACAAACAGCATTCTTCTCCTACATCCCGCCCTCGCTCTCGCCCAAAGGCCAAGCCCGCCTGCAGCAAGAGCTCTCCAAGCCCTTCTCCGACGGCGACGAGCCCGGCTATATCTACATCTTCTGGCTCACCAACTCTCCGCTCTCGCCCAGCAGCACCCCGGGCGCGCCCGGCGCCACCGCCGCCGCATCCGCCCTGCACCGCATCGCCTCGGGCCCGGGCCAAAAGCCGCGCATCCTGCTCAAGATCGGGCGCGCCAACAACGTGCAGCGCCGCCTACACGAGTGGTCGACGCAGTGCGGCTACAACCTCAGCCTGGTCCGCTTCTACCCGCACGTGTCTGCGACCGCCACGCCCACCGCCACGCCCACCGCCACGCCGCTCGCAGAGCAGGTCGGCAAGAAGGTGCCCAACTCGCACAGGATCGAGCATCTGATCCATCTGGAGCTGCGCGACTACCTGGAGAACCCCGAGATACAGTGCTCCGCGTGCGGGAAGACGCACAAGGAGTGGTTCAGCGTCGAGGCGTCGCGCGAGGGCCTGATGGCCATTGATGCGGTCGTTAAGAAGTGGATGGACTATGGCGAGCGCAGCGGGATGGTGACGGGCGTGAATGCTGGGGTGGCGCCGATGGTGCCGAAGAAGGGGGGGAGTCCGGGCGCGAAGGCGAAGAAGACGGCGGCGAGGCCGGATCTGCAGGCGGCGCCGGTGGGGCCGAAGAAGACGGGTGGGAGTGGGGGGTTGACGCCGGCGTCGGCGGCGGCGGCGGCGGGGAGTGGTGGCAGGGGGAAGAGTCCGGGGAGGGGAAAGAGTCCCGGGAGAGCGAGGGGGAAGAGTCCGGGCAAGGTTGGGGGCGCGAGTCCCGCGAGGAAGAGGGCCGGGAGGGATCAGAGTTATGTGGATGATGATGGGGATAGTGATGGCGAGGAGCCGTATGTGCCGGATAGTGACTAGGTGGGTTCCTCTTTCTCCTTCCCTTTCTTCCTCCTTTTCTTCTTTTCTTCTTCTTTTCTTTGTTGGGCCTCGGCGGTTGGACCTGTGTGTTGGGTTGGTTGTAGATGGACCTGCTTTTTCTTCCTTTGGAACTTTTGTTTATGACGTACGGATTAATGATGCCTTGTGTTGTGATTGTCGATGACGGTCTTACGTTCGTTTTATACCCCCTGATACCCTTTCTTTTGTTGTATGATTATTATTATAAGTAGTGTTGTGTAGATAGTTACATGCATACATAGAACGTAGTCCCGCCACGAGCTGGGCCTTTGAAGCGGTTTGACTTTGTGTTTCTTGCGATTTCTTGAGTAGTGTTTGTGCGTGAATTCGGATGCCAAAGATGGTGTGAGATCGTCCGGCCGAGAACCTTCCAGAAAATAAAGTCCCGCAAGAAGAGACCCATGAGCCGTGATGCCAATCTCCCCGGTTGGTGCAGCAGAGCAGGAAACAATCAATCCTTCTTCCTAGATGTGCAGCCTCTCATGCACGATATTTGGCGGGACGTTAACTACATACATGTATAGCCGTCGGTTGTTGTGAGGGGTCTGAGGAAGGAATCGATGTGCGGACGTGAAGAAATACAGCTACATAGTCAGCACATGCGCCCAAATAACGAGCAGGAATTTCCGGTAATTGGCGTGGGTATGTCAGTGTAAGATTCCCAGCGATTGGTCCCCGTCTACCTTTTTTTTATGTAGGTAGACTTGATGTGCATAATATGGTAATCACCAGATATCACTCGACACTCTAGATTCACCAACCACCCAGGACGCGCCCAAAAAAAAAAAAAAAAACAAGGTCCACCCCCAATAAAGCCCTAACCCGTAAGAAGACCTTGGGTGGACAGAATACCTTAAGCTCCAGAAGCTAGCAATAAATCTACCATACTATAAAAGAATATGGTCTGAAAAAGTTTTGCTAAACCCTAATCCTACATCCGGCCCTGACCATGGGGGGGGGGGGGGGACATTGTTCAAGCTCCGGTTACGGGCCAGAGATCTGATCGATACCACATTTAACCTACGGGTAATAAGCTCCAGAAAAAAATGTCAATAAATTTAAACACAAAAAGTCTTGCCGAAGAATATGCTTTTCAGGGGAGTTAGTGCCCATTTATTACACACAACGCCGGTATAGACTCCCACCCCTCGGGGTTGAACCCATGACCTAGTGATGGTCATGGGGACTCAACCCACTCGGTGTCCTCCGTTGACGAGGCGTCTACCACTAGACCACGCTCGCCCACACGATTGTCGGTGGCCCGGAAGTAATATTTAAGGGAGCGAGGGCAAAGTGAGCTAGCTAGGGGAAGTCCTAACCCTGCAATCACAATCTACCACGACGTACATCATGTCCCACTGGCGACCCTCTTGTGAACAGTAAGAATACAAAAAGTCCTGTAGAGTATTTTCATACTGTACTGGACTCCCACCCCGGGTTTGAACCCATGACCTCCTGCAGCTGTCATGGGCTTAAACGCTCGGTGTTCCTCCTTGACGAGCCGTCTACTAGCTAGACCACGCTCGCCCACACGACTTTTAGTGCGCTGGAAGTGGTACTTAAGGAGGTGAGGAGAAGGTGTGATGAGGATACCTACATAACCGGTACCCTGGAAATCTATCATGTCTTCGAGGTACGTCGTGGCCCATCAACCTCTTGTCTACATATAGTCGGGCATGATTTCTACACGCCCGCGCCCTCGTTAGAAGGAGTACAGTCACTGTATTCGATAGCATTGTGGACCCATCGTATCGATGGGGGTTCATTTTGAGTCCTCTCCCTGGACTTTTTTTCCTTTGCCCCCTCCCCTCCCTCCTCCCCTCCCACTGTTCCCCTAGCTTCTCTCTACACACGGCTGTCTTCTTTAAGAGCACCTCTTTCCTCACTCTTGTTGGATAATAGATAGAGTATGCTCTGGATATGGATCTGCGAGTTCTCTAATTTCACGACTTCATGCCGGGGGTGGCTCGTTTCTAGCGTGCGTACGATATGGGACAGTATTGTTCTTTATTCCATAGGCTATCTTCACAGCTAGCTAATTTTAGTTCAATCTACTTTTACCTGGGAAAACACCTGCTCCTATGCCGTCGACTTATGAAGATTGTGCACGGGAACTTCTTTCCAGTTGTATATAGCCGATTTCGAGTCCACATATCTCTGGATCCCGTGGATATTTCCTTACTCCTGATGGCCAGAGTACAGTTAGGGTTAGATATCCCAGACTTGATGACATAGTGCTGCCCTGTTCACTATGTCTGTGACCGTTACTGGAGTGCTAGCTTGAATCTCGACGGCATATCCGTCCGAGTGATAGTCTATGCAGATATGCAGCTCCCAACACAAACGCAAACCGCACCCGCAAAGTAAGCCCTACACCAAGTCAGCACCAAAAACCACATAGTCCCCATCTCTCCTCTCTCCCCTTCTCCCGTCGCCCCAATACCTAGTCCACAACCCTAACCCACCACAAGAAACCCCACAACTAAAGAAAACTCTTGGCACCCCACCTCCCCCCAAAAACCCCACAAAGATCATTACCACCCGCTACAGCCCCAGCAGTACAGCCCCCAACCCTCCAATTCCGCCCACAACCCACAAGCCTCCGCCCCGCGAGACCCCCAAAATGACCAAATTCCGCGGCTGCATCGACATCCACCGCGGCGTCGTCAAACAGATCGTCGGCGGCACCCTCTCCGACGCCTCCCCCTCCACCCTCAAAACCAACTACACCTCCCCTCACCCGGCCAGCCACTACGCGCACCTCTACCGCACGCACGGCGTCGCGGGCTGCCACGTGATCCTGCTCGGCGCCGGGTGCGACGAGGCGGCGGCGAGCGCGCTCGCGGCCTGGCCGGGCGCGCTGCAGGTCGGCGGCGGCGTGAACGGCGGGAATGCGGCGGCGTGGGTGGAGAGGGGTGCGGCAATGGTTATTGTGACGTCGTGGCTGTTCCCGGAGGGACGGTTCTCGCTGCAGAGGTTGGAGGAGGTGGTGGCGGCGGTGGGGAGGGGGAGGGTTGTGGTGGATTTGTCGTGTCGGAGGAGGGAGGGACGGTGGGTGGTTGCTATGAATAGGTGGCAGACTATGACGGATATGGAGGTTAATAAAGGTATTTCTACCCTCTTGTTTTGTTGCTTGTTGGTGGTGGCTGTTGGGGTGGGGTGCTGATGGGCGCGGTGGGGTAGAAACACTCGATATGTTGTCCAACTACTGCGCCGAGTTCTTGATCCATGCGGCGGACGTCGAGGGCCTGTGTAAGGGCATTGACGAGGAGCTCGTGGAGGCGCTGGGGAAGTGGGTGACGATCCCGACGACGTACGCCGGGGGAGCGTATAACATTGCGGACCTGGAGACGGTGGAGAGGTTGTCGGGCGGGAAGGTGGATCTGACGTATGGGAGTGCGCTGGATATCTTTGGTGGGGAGAAGGTCAAGTTTGAGGACTGCGTGGAGTGGAATCGCAAGAAGGACGCGGAGGTGGCGGTGTAGATGGGTTTTTTTGTTTAAATAAAGTGTTTTTGTTTATTATAGATGGAATGGAATGGAAATGGCATTGGTCTGGTAGTAATTGGGTGGGCTACTAATTGGCTGGGCCACCAATATAATGGCGTGTGGGCTACTAATCATTACGGTTTGGCTACTACTAATCATTGCGGTCGGGCTACTAATAATTAACCAAGATTCGGCTACGAGTGATGTGCGGTGCGGTTGGCTGAGACTACATGCTACTGAATCATTGGCTTCAACGAGTGATATGTGTGATTCCTCATGATGCAAGTTCCTGGTCCTGCTATGTGCCTATGCTCAATCCCTCCATCTAGTACCGCCTCGGAATCTCCCAATTATTAACCCCCCACCACCACCGTCTCACTCTCGCTACACCCCCCAATCAGTCAGCCCACCCACTCAATTAACCACTCCCCACTCCCTCCCCCCAACACCCCGCCCCCGTAAAAAAACAAAGAATGAACTCACCTCCCACCCCCGCGCCCGCAAACTTCGCCCCCCGATTCCACGCCCTAAAGCCCATCACAAACAGATTATACCCCACGCCCTGCAGCATGGGCATCAGGCACTGGTCCTTGAGCGTGATGAGGGCAATCTTCCACCACACGCCCTCGGCCGCCGCAATGCTCGCTAGGTAGCTCTGCTCGAAGCGGAGGTCCGGCAGCGTCGGCAGCCGGCTTGCTGGCGGCTCGTCGATGAGCGAGGGGGAGATGGAGGCGGCGTCGTCGTCGCCGTCGTCATCGTCGTCGTCGATGGAGTCGTGGCCGACGGCGAGCTTGGGGGGGGAGTCGGCGGAGGTGGGGGGCGCGGTGGAGGGCGTGGACGTGAGGTGCGTGTCTTGGGCGAGGGTTTGGGCGGCGAGGGGGGCGATGTCGGCCATGGCTGTTTTGGTGGAAGCTCGTAGCTGGTGAGGTACGTAGTGGGGGGAGTTTGAGATTGCTAACAGCCTAACTAACGAGAGTACCTCTCTTGCAGGGCAGACGGGGGAGACAGAGCGACGTCCGTTACACCAATCATCGACCACCGCCAAGGCTCCACATGCCGGCCACGTGAGAGAGAGGGTCTGTGTGCGTGCGCCTGGCTGCTGCCCTGCTAGCCAAATTCCCCTCCCCTCCCTCCCCCCCCCCCAAACCCCCGGTCCCAACCCAACACGCTGGGTTCCGGAAGCTACGCTGCTTACTGGGGTCAACCTCGTAATCTCCAGCATTTTATGTAGGTAATATGCAGAGGGGCCCGTGAGAGACCTTTTGATCTGAATTTGATGGCCGTTTCATTTCACGATTTGGGCGTGGTCCTGTAATCTCAATCTCCGAGGTAATAATTACTGCCAGATTGCGGTTTTGAGGTTTGAGATTGGGGTTGGGGTTTGGGTTTGGGTTGGGGTGCGGTGGGGATTGGAGTTTGGGGATTGAGGATTGGGGATTGGGTGAGGTGGAATGTACTACTGCTGATGATGGGTACAGGTACAGGTACAGGTGGTAGAGTAGGTGCAATGTAGGTAGTAGGTAGAGCACGAAGACATATACGTAGGTAGAGCTACACAATCCTACCTACCTACGACTGTAGAACAGACTGTAATAGTACTCTATCGCAGTGCGCCATACCACCACCGTACCACTCTACAGATACACTACACTACAGCTAGATACACGACAACTACACCCATCCCATCATATCTCTCTCCGGCCCTATATCTCTCCCCCAACCCATCGCAGCTCAACCCGCTATCTCGTACACCCCCCCGTCCTCAAAACGGCTTTCCATTGCACCATGCGCTGCACATACCCGCCCCATTGCATTACATATACGAGCTAGATGATCGAAAATAAAAAAAAGCGTTAACTGCCCGGTTCATCCGTTATCGAGTGTGACATGCAGCTTATTTACTCGAGGTGTGGTGGTGGTGGTGAGGTGAGCATAAGCTCGAGGGTCGTATTGATTTCTCTGAGTAGAGTAGGGTTGAGTAGAGTAGGCCGAGTGATCGAGCAAGCAAGCAAGCAAAGCTTCCCCCCAAAGCCCCCCACCCCAAAGCTCCCAAAACCAAACCAACAAACCACCCCCACAAACGCAGCAAACACGCTAGCCGCTTCGTCATAGCCAATTCCCAAAAAAACCCAAACCAAATCCCACCAAACGATCATTCCCCGAGCGCAGTACCGGCCGGCGCACACCCAACATCCACATACCGCAGATCCCATTTCCAGCAATATCAAAACTTAAGATAACTGAGACACGCCTCTTTTTTTCACGCGCGCGGACGGATCCGATCTATTTGCCGTCCTACATACATACATACATACACACATACACACAATATCCCACGCGCTAGAAAAAGGAAAGAAAAACGCAAGCTGCACGACTCAATTCTCCGGACGAAACATTCTGGTAAGCCCGCAGGCAGGCAGGCAGGCAGGCAGGCAGGTAAGAGGAGTGGGGTCCGTGCCGTGTGGTTCTGGTTACGAGAGATCACTGGTAATTTGTACTCTATTTCTATTATTGATATAGGTATCCGTTACGACGTGCGTGCATGCATACAACGTGGAATCACAGCTGGCTGGTAGAATAAGACGTAGCAATGTCATAGAATCCGTAGTATGGTGGATATGATAAGGTTTTAACTTAACTACATACACATCTTTCCTTCCCTTCGCTTTTCCCTATCTCCCCCTCTCGCCCTAGCTAGATCTCTCCCGGATCCTATCCCCCCCCCGTTCCACAAAAAATATGCTGTACAAGAATGAATATATCCGAGAAAACCGTCATGATAAAAACAGGAATTGCGCTACATCAGTAATAGTACAGTACACCACACATCACACACACGCTCTAAAAAGCAAGGAAAGAAAAAAAAAAGGGAAGGACAAGATAGGATAGGTTTTGTGTGGAAACACCATGCCAGTTGATAGTAGGTCATGGTCTGTTTTCCGACAGATCGTTGAAAGTAAAAAAAATGGTTAGTAATGACAAGAAAATGAAAATACATAAAGCCCACACATACACAAAAAAACCGGTGTTCAAGAGAAAGTAAAAAAAAGGGTAAAGCAGATACATGAAGATAAAACCTAGAAAATAAAAACCCAACCGTTTTTTTTTTCTGACAAAAAATGTTACACCAGTAAAAGTAAGGAAAATCCAAGAGTCCGAAAGTCCGAGAGAAAAAATAGACAGAAAATGGACAAGAACGCGAAACGATTTAAACCCGCCTCCTCTTCTTATCCTTCAATCCCACCTTCCGTGATGAGATCAATCCCTCCCATCGCTTTCCGATGCTCTTCGCATCTTTTCGTCCCCCTAGGCTCTTTGCACACTCCTCCCAGTCGTTCTTTGATAGGTTTAGTTTGCTCAGTACCATCTCCACCAGTAGCTTGTCCTCGTCTACCGACCACTCAGCATCGCTTGACTCGTCCTCTTTTGATACCCGAAGGTTTCGGTTTGGTGGTGATGGCGGTGTCGTGAGCCTTACGCGTTTATTCCTGGGTGTTGTGAATGGGTCTTGGAACTCGTGGTCTGAGTCATCACTCTCCAAGCTTTTCATGCACGTATTCTCGTCAGACAGAATCGGGAATGCCACATCTCTGGCTCTCTTATTCTTTCCTGCAATTGGCGTTCTTGGTGCCGGCCTTCGCGGTGTGCTTGGTGCGAGTTGTGCTTGCTGCTTCCGCTTCTGGACGCTATTCTTCTTGGGGGGTGTTGCAGCGACAGGTGGTGGTGGAGGCGGAGGTGTTGAGAATCGGTCAACCGACAGGGCCTTCTGCAATCGTCTGCATGTTTGAAAAAGGCCTGCAGGCGCGCTCGCAATGAAGGAAGGTGCCTCCTCTAGAGGCGGGGAACGATATGATGAGGACGATATTGCTGCCTGCTGTACGTGTCGCGACGAACGACGAAGAGGACTGGCGAGGGATTGAGTAGTTGCGCGGTACTCGCAAGGAATTGCACTTGGAAGAAGCATGATAGGCTGTTCGATTGTTTGGTTGAGAGTGTGGGGGAAGCGAGGTTATTGTGAGTTATCGAGAGCGATTGAGTATGGGGGCGGCGAGTTATATGATCTTCCTTGCAGGACAAGCAAATCGGTAAAAACACGACGTGCAAGACAGGTATGTATGTGTTTATGTATGGGTGAGGAAGACGCGGTCGTAGCGGGGACGCGGTGCAAGGGGGAAGAGAGATGATGATGTGGAGTCGCGTTGTTTATACAGTATTGATCCGGATTATCTTTTGAGGTCGTGTTTCCAGGAGGCTGGAGAGAGATTGTAAGAAGAAAAAAAACGGTTTGTTGATTATTATAGTGAGCAGGGGGAAAGAAGGAAAAGTAAAAATGAAGGTGGCGGATTGGGGGGGGTGGTTGTGTGTGTGTGTGGGCGTGTGTGTGTGGGTTTGGGGGAGAGGGAGGGGGGGTGGTTGTTTCTTCTTAGAATGGGGGATAGACCAAACAGCCAGCCGGACGGACCAGAGACGTGCTGCTACCTACGTGCTTGTGCGGGTATGTGGTAATAGAATCAATCTGCGGTGGTGGGAGATTGTTATGAATATGGAAATCTCTCAAGGGGGGGGGGCCGTGACATGGCAGATGACTGCGCAGAACCAGGGTCAGGGCCAGGGCAAGGGACATGGGTGTACGTGGCGCCTTTCCCGTTCAGGGCTTCTTGGTTGTTCCTCGCATCTCTTCCCCTCAGGTGTGTAACGCTGTGAGTCCCGTTCTGGTAAGGTGCTCAGTCCGCTTTCGACTCAGAATGTCTGCTTTAGTCCTTTTGAGACATGGCCAACTTTGTCTCTCTCAGTCTCGCTGCACCCACTACGGAAAAGCGCCAATGCCCTAAATAGGAGATTTGCCCTGCATCCTCCCTGTCGTGTACCTGTCAACCTCTGCAGGGTGCAGAAAACCTTGCGGGACCGACCAAACGAGACGAGCGAGGCACAAATATATCTGCCTTCGTTCCCCCCCGCCACAAAACTATCCAAAAATGACTCGCAGTTTCCCCTCCCCATTCTGTCGGTAGGCAATGGATAGAACGCGATAAGAGATTTGGCACATCTCCCTCATCTCGACGAATTGTTTATATAAACGAGTCCCTAAGATTGGCCCGTGTTCGGCTACGGGTTGTTTGTTCCACGAGATTCCCCAAAGGTACGACGTTAGAATAGGGTACATCCACAACAACAACAATTCCGAATAGGTCTCATGCTGAGAGAGAGGGCCCTGCTTTCCCTCTTCGGTATCTCGTCTCGCCTTGTCACTTCACTCGCTCGGTATTGCCTGGCAGAACGGTTGGTGGTGGTTGTGGGAATTTCGTTTTGTTTGTTTAATTTCGTCGATTGAAATTTGAAATCTGAGGGGAAACATCGAATGTTCCGATAACCCACTGGGATCTGCAGCACCCGTTCTCTGCATGACATACACACCAAGTTGGCCCGTTCGGAGCCCACTCCGAAACCGACTTTCTATATTTGTCCCCATGTCGTTTCGTTTCAAACGTAAGCCTCAAAGCCAAAGCGTTACACAAAACATGCGTGTCGTGGAAACCTCCAGTCTCTATATATAATTGAATAAAACAGACAAACGTGGAGTGTTGGTAGTGGAGAACACATCTGTCCCGTCTTTCAAGTTGATTCTCATATGTGTAAATCTCCGTACCCTTGACTATCTGCTGGCAGGTTGGGATCGAGCAGATATAGGTAGACGAGATGTCTGATCAGCAACGCACGTAGCAACAAGCAATCCAAGTCCAGGGTTCCATGACAAATTTGTAGATGGGGAAGCATGAAGATGCATGCACTGATGACGCTGGAGCCGTAAAACCGAACGTTAGATATATTTGTCCAAACCATCCCCGCAAAATCGATTAGTCGTTGAGATCTCAACGTCATCTCTGCGGGGGGTTAATCCATCCGCCTACGAGATTGCTGTGGGAGGCTGTACTGTCCTTATGATAAAACGTTGAGTTAGTCTGACTCTGAACAAAGAAAAAAGCCAGGAGAATAAGCTGATTGGCTTTGAAAGTGGGAGATTTGTAACAGTTGACACCTGTTGTGATCTCTATCAACACCACTCATTTCCACTAGCGCCTGGCTAACGTACACCCCATGCCGTATCGCTGATGAGGATACGTCAGTGCCGTCGTTATTTTCTAGAGTCAAGCTTTTCTCGCTCATCTAACGCACTCGCTTAGTGTTGATCCCGAAGGTATACCCACACACCAAGCGATCATGGGGTATCACTCGTTTTCATGTTTGTTTTGACAACAACGGATTTCACGCGTGACGCGCCACTGGCGATCATCATCTGTCCGACCTTTTAGGTTTACCAAGAAGCGGGGTTAGGTTCGGGTTTCAGCACTAAAATCTTAGTTTTAACTAGGTCCGTATGTACCTGCATGAACCTAGCTGAAACGGGAATGGTGGTGAGTTTCTTTCGCTAAAAGACGCCGCTCCCAAAAGTTTAGATAAGAGTGATTATTAAATTTACCCTTGGTTTTATTTTATGCAACCTCTTATCACCTCCTAGTCCTCTCTCAAGATCGAGCTCGCGCTCCCATGGGTGATTATTGCTCACTAGGCTGGATAATCGGCCTCTGGGTAAAGGTTTTCCATGGTGTCGACTAGTTGTAAGGGATCTATACCTCGATACTTTGTTCTTACAGCATCTCCTTTGTCATGACGTTGTGAAGGGCGGGGAAGATAAACTGCAGTGATGTTTAATTAAAGTGGGGAATCTCGATCTCGGGTTAAGAGTTCGTATATGTCTAACGAGTTTACGGAATGTCTCTACAACTTGAACGATAGTAAGTCACGGCCATATATATTCATTTGACTGGCCGGGGGGGGTTGGCAGCTTCAACATTAGGCTCGCTCCATAATACCAGAGATTTCAACCATGACGATCGCGAGCAGGTTCTCTCCTCAATCTCTCTGAGACAATAAGCGGAGCTCCTCTTTGCGGTAGACATGAAACTCTATATGCGCAAACCCTGCACTCAGAGTGGCCGGGTATGATTACATAGTAATCGATAATCAATTGGATCACAGTCGATCACTCGCTATAATGTGTCTATGAGCGGACGGGTGAAATTTCGAGTAGGCCCTCATCGGGACTGGGGAGTCTGACCCCGGTGTGTGAAATCACAAACTCAAATGGCTATAGTATCGATAGTCATCTCGAAGGTTGGTCGTGGAGTAATACTACTCACTGTTTTTTTTTTTAAAAAAATAATATCCTTGGTAGTTTTGGACTACTCCTTCCCCCCTCTTGTGTATTGAGCCGAGGGGAGAGGCATTGTGTCGCCGCTACATTACTCCCAGTTTTAAAGAGTGTCTATCTATACTATAGACCTATAGCTATGGCTTAAAAGCCTTGAAATCGGCTACATATAGCTAGGGACCCGCCGGGAAAGGTTCCGTTGATCTCTATAAAATGGCATAGCGGCAGGAACGATTCCTCGAGCTCTCTTCAACTTGCATATATATACTGAGAGGATTACTAAGTATCAACAAACCTAAGTCGTCGGGTTATAACCCGGTCAAGAGTTATTATTGCAAGGGTGTCACTTTTATATCCGAGGCACCTCGGCGCAGTTAAGCGATCCGCGGAACTGGCTGCTTCAGGATCTTCGTATCTGCTGGTACATACATATTTTGAATCCAGTTATTATGCCTGTTGCTATATGGGCGGCGGTTTTTTTTGCGGCGAGAACTGGAGGTGAGAGCCCGTTTCGGCAGCTTTATTATAGGTGCTTCCTAGTGGGCTAGCTACCTGGGTAGATAGCCTATGAAATAAAGTACAATACTGTCCCATATTGTACGCACGCTAGAAGCAAGCTAGCTCTAGTAGTCTTGAAAGCAGAGTATTCCTCAGATCCAGATCCGGAGCATACATACAATTAATGAAGTAATCAATAAATCAAAAGATTAGAGCATACATATACTCTATCGATTACCCATTCCTTCCGCCTACACTGCACCGTCCTTCCACACTCCTTCCATTCCAGAAGCACGCACACGCGCTCCCCGGTATTGCGGGAAATCATGCATGATTCAGATACAGTCGTAATTTCCCGGGAAAGCAAGATGTAATACCGGATGGCAGGGGTATCCTGGAATGCTTCTGGAATGACGGCACTATATGTGAAGCACGTTTATAAAGAAGACAGTGGGAATGTGTTGCGATTTGACCTGACGTGACGCGACGTGACAGGTGTGTGGGGAGCGGCTGTGGGGTGCGGTTGTGGGGTAGTGGCGGGGGCGGGGGTGTAGGGAGAGTGATATTTCATGATCCGCTTTTTTTTCTTCTTTTATTTTAAGGAAGGAATATTCACTGCGTATTGGGTGTTTGAGTTGTCGTATATACCACTAAGGACGTTAGGTGTTCTTTGCGGACCTGAGGGCGGTGTTAGAGTCATCTTTGAGGGTTTAATATTGGGCGTTAATGCAGCGAGAGTGGGATACGTATATATTACCATCACCACCGCCATCACCACCGCTATCACCACCGCCATCACCATCGCCATTATTATCGCCATCGCTATTACTATCACATAAAGATTTCAGCAGAAAAGAAATTCGTTTATTACTTAATATGCATCTATCATATAGTTACTGGATGCCGAAATTACGATTTTAATACAAAAGAAAACAAAGCATGCAAGAAGCAGTTACTACCCCTTGCTGGTCTTATTTCGACCGTTATAATCATCCTCACCATCGTCATCCTCACCATCGTCATCCTCACCATCAGTATTCTCACCATCAGTGCCCTCATCATCTTCATACTCCTCCCAGCCATCACCGTAATGCTTGTCCTGCATCCTTACCACAAACACGCCCCTCTCAATGGTATTGATCACAATCCAGCCGCTCTCAAACAATGCATAGCTACTCCACGTACCCACAAACTCGATCACCCCACCGATTGCATCATCTTCGGGGTATACATCGAAGAAGCCGACCTCCTGGACACCGGCACCTGTAGGGTGCTCTGGAATACTCGATACATCCAGGACACGCAGCCCGGCTCCGTAGTTGGACTGGAATGCGAAGCCGTTCTTGATGTACTGGTTGTGGTCGATGGAGCGTGTGTCGGACTTGTAGTAACCCGTCTGCAGGGGTCTTTCGAGGGAGGAGATATTCCAGATAAAGGTTACTATATTACAGCCAGCGTTAATATAAAAAATTCGATAGTAGACTCAAGGGGGAGTAATGGACATACCTGGAAGTCCATCTGCCGCTAGGCCAGACTCTTCGAACTCATCATACTCGTCGTCCATCAACAAAAACTCCTGCCATTCAGTGTCCAGTAACGCTCCTTGATGGGTGTACATTGCGCCCTCGTACGAAGTTCTGGAGATAATGCTCGAATTCTTCTTGTCGGTCACGTCATAGATCGTGAGTGTGTCCTCGTTGTATCCGTAACAGATATCGTGGCCAAGATATTTTGTGTCGGGGCCCTTATACTCGAGGCACTGAGCATCATGGACGTAGCCGTCCTGTGAAGCACAGCCTGGGCTGGTGGGGTGGGTGGGATCGGATAGATCGATGAAGATGAGTCCGGATGCACAGGTGGAGTTGCGAGGGCGGGCGCCAACACTTACGGCATATCCGAAGTCCTCGTTGATGACAATGTTGTGGGACGCACTATCTGAGGGTTAGAAACGGTTTGAATAGTGGAAAGGAGAGATCTTACCCAAGCGGCAGGTCTGTGAACATTCCTGTGACATCTGTCTCGGGGTCAAAGACTTTTGGTGATGTGCAGGGCTCGTCCCTGGAAGGCTTAAGCTCAATAAGCTGGGCTATATGTCAGTATAATTTTTGACGGTTGGTTTGCTTGTCAAGCCCACCTTTTTCAAGTCGAAAATCTGGACACCGTGGTATTCTGCCTCCGAGCCAATGATCGCATAATGCTTCAGCACACGAATTTCTACAAGTTCAACCAATATTAGCAAAAGAAAATCAAAAAATCAAAAAATCAAAAAAAAAAATAGGGGTCCAATTCCCCAATACATACCCCTCCAAATTATGGGATCACTCCCCTTCGTATTTGGCAACCTCCCGATATAATCCAACGCCCCGTCCTCAGTCACTTCAGCGAAGGCTGCACCATCGGCCTGTCCAATTATAATAAATTCTCTACCGTCGTCCGAGGTCCATCCCCACGAGCTACTACCCTCGCCTGTCGCGCTACCAAGCTCGACATGAGGGACAAAGTATCTTAGGTCAATATTATTGCACCTAAAAGTGGTGTTGATCCCAGAACCTGCATACCCGTCGACGCAAGGCGTGTAGGTGTCGATCTTTGGGTATATTGAAGAATTGAATAAACCTTCAGCCCGTGATTTGTCGAAACTGGTGTTCTTGTTCTTCATAATGGTGCGGTGGACGTCACCGGAGACATATTTGGCCTGGCGGGCTGGGTTGCTGATTTCTTTGCCAAGTACGGCGGTGAAAAAGAGGAAGGATAAGGAGAGGAGCTTCATTTTGGGGATTGGAAAGAGAGAGCACGGAATGGGGCTGTACTGGTTGGGGAGAATTCTCGAGGGAGAGGATGAAGTTTATATATGTGTGCAGAAGGAGGGAGTGTGGGTGCTCAGTTGGGAATTTGTGTATTGGTAGTAGGCGAGTAACTACCAAGCCCCATAGGAAGGATCCAAAGAATATTTTTCTTAAGCACCAGAGGAAGGAAAACAGTGTCTTTCTTGGGTTACATGCCCACAGCCTAAGCAATGCATAACTTGAAGTTGCGCATCTCCGAATAAGTAATCTAGTAATACAATAGGGGGGAATACTTGGACAGCCCACACTTCCCCCATCGGAGCAAACGCCGAAAAAAAGGCTATAAACGAGTCCTATCGACTACATGCACGAATACTCTACAGCACCAGCTCTGCCTACCGAATGCTGTTTTGGTTCTCACAGACGTGTAAAGTGCAATATCATCAGCCCTATCGGATGTTATGAAAAAGTAGCTGCAATATGGCGGAACAGATGCATATGTGAGTACCTACTCGCGACAGGCATGAAGTACCCGAATATGCAGCTGCAAGTTTTTGGTGTATTTTTGACTTCTACTCCAATGGAAATTGCAGATTAGGACGTGCATTTTCGGGTACTTGTTACCTGCTGCGAGTACATGTACTCTAGAGTTTGTAATAGTTCGAGACTAAATCCACACATGGGCCAATTATATCCAGTTATGACAATCTTAAAATAGCTTGCATATTTGTTCGCAGAGGTTGCATACTAAACTAAACCCCTGTTGGCCAATAGTAACTACGCCCCAGGATCGTCGCCAAGGCTGAACCGATAGGTCGGTAGAGTAGTACTTTAATTGAACCTCCCGTGTCGTGTTAGAAAGGCAGTGTATGGTACCTAGATCGAGTGCCGCGGCCAAGCTTCCGGCCAGGCTGTATTTGTGGAATGAGGCCTAACTAAGAAGGGATCTAATGTGCTTAAAGTAGGTACATGTATGTACTCTAGTTCTAGTCTAAGCATTTTATTTTCTCTTGCCTCCTATGCTAGTACATACACTTCAAAGCCTCATTCTCCTATACGCTGCGCATGGCGAGCTGCGTGGATTCGTGGACTCATGGGGATGACAGCAATGCTTATGTCTGGCTAAGCTGATCTACTAATCTTTATCGTACGCAAGGTGGCAGCTATCATTGGAGCTTGACATCAAGGGACCATCGATCTGGGAACTTCTGGAGCCGGAGCTTCAACCGGCTGGTAATGACGATTTCTGCAACAGCGTGAAGGTGTTCGCGATGGCCCCCACTCATTGATCTCACTTGGCACTGATGCAAGATCATGACGGCTACTGCAGGAGGGAGGAAGAAAGGAAGGAGGGAAAGAAGGCTGCGGAAATGTCTTCTGAGACTCAATCAGATGTAGGGATGATTGCGTTCTTGATTGGGATCAAACCTACTCCATCCTCGATTTCCTGGGTACCGTAAACCTGAGAAACTTCGTTGCGATGCAGCAGGGATATTCTACACCAAAACTTGCAGATTGACGTTCAAAGACTGCCTCTGGTTGGCCTATACCCCTGCTGTCTCGCAACGAATATTCTCAGATTTTGCGGTATAACTCGCCGCCTTGGGCTGTAAGTTCGAGACCTAGGTATAAACTTTGTAGCCTTGGCTACCTATTCTACCCACGTACTTACCCGTTGGTTAAAGTTCTTCCGTATTTCTTTTCGCAACATCCGCTGTGTGATCACGGGATTGGGCAGGTTCTGGTAGAATGCCAGCACAATGTATGTCTTTAGGAACAGCGGCGGACGTGTTTACATCGGTGCTGCGGCCCAGATCCATGACTGGGCTGTGGATTGCTAGTACGTACCTATTAGGGGTGTGCCACCTCGCGACCGCGAGTTGTTGCATTATGAGTATCTATGGGTATTAAATATTGATATTGATGGAGGAGACTCCTTCCACCTTCCCCCCTTTCCCGCCCCTCTACTTCCCACCATCTCCACCGCCCTTCCGCTGCCCTCTATCCCCCCCCCCCTCCCCAACCGCTCTCACCCTCCTCCACTGCTTCGTTAGATTATTTAATTAGATATATTATTTAATTATATAGGCCTTTTTAAATTTTATTATGTGCGCCGCAGATACAGAGTTCCGTCAGTATCATTGAGTATCATTGATTTTGCAGCGTGGTTATTTAATTAGATTTATTATTTAATTATATGGCCTTTTTAATCCAGTATCATTGATTTTTGGTGGGATGCGCTGGTTGCTACGCAGAGGTCAGAGTCAGGGTCAGGGTTCAACCGAGCGCGAAAAGACTGTATCGTAGTACATATTAGATGGGAAATCATGCCTAGCTTTGGACTAGGTCTCAAGATTTTAAACCCCCGCGGCATCCTCTTCCTTTGTTAACCAGAAATGCTGGTCATATTATATTAATACGAACTTTAACAAGGCACTATTACGAACTTAAAGTATTCAAAGTGCATAAACGTGGAACTTTGTAGCCTGCTAGCAGAGAGTTTACGCTGTTTAGAGGTTTGGTGAGATGTCTATCTGTCTTGTATGCCTTGTTCACAGAGTGAGAGTCCTCGAGCATCACTGATCAGAAAGTAGGTGGTAGATTACGCATTTTCTGATCTGCATGCTTTGAATACTTTACTCGATAGAGTTTCCTTGATGTGCAATGGCATATCTATTAATCTGCAGCTGTAACAGTTCTCATTAGCTATCATGTTACTATACCATATTCACACCAAACTACGTACATCAATGGGATATATTTGTGGCCGCAGTCATTATATTTCCATAGAACAAAAATCCCCAGATGTCAGCTGTGAAACCACCTGCATTAATATCTAGCTACCTACCACTGCATGGTCCACCATAAATCTAATCCGAGACATACCTAAATCATCTCCCAAGCACCGCTCATCATCACGATGGGGGAACAAAACATACATAAAGACACACGTGAGACTAACACGCAGCTAAGCTTTCTCCCAAGACAACTAAGACAGCCCCAACTGCTACGGACAGCTCTGTAGCACCGGTACCGTTAGTTTAGAGTATCCAGAAACAAGCTTCTATCACATGACCGGTTGTAACGGACCGAGAATGTGTAATTAAGTTAAGGAGGCGCAACTGTAGATGGAAGGAGGCTGTAGTTGGGATATCTGGGGCAATAAAGGATGAGAGATGATGGATGGTGGATGGGATGGATTGGTGTTGGTGAGGCATGTATCGTGGGTTAGAGTGGGATGTTTTGTGCCCCTCCATGATTGTTGCAGAGGATATACATGTGCAGTAATTGAGGTCCCGTCATGGACACATAAAGTATCTATACTTGATGATTCCTGGTGGAGCTCATCCTCTATTTTGGTCGGTGGGGCTACAGTTACCCCATAAGCGTTCACACAGAAGTATTGATAATTCAAGAAGAATTATTATAGGGATTTTCCATCTATTACATAAGACGTAGTATATACCCTAATCAGAAGTGTACTTATAGTAGTCAGAAATAATTGCACATAACGAGCCGTAGCCGAGTGATTAAGGACACACCGTGTGGGAGATCGGATTTGCATTATACCGTTAGGTTGCAGGTTCAGCCGCGCCCGGGGGGTGGAAGTAGAGGAATTGTTACCTGTACTTTTTGTTCTTTTTTTGGAGAATTTTCTGGGCGATTGTTTTACGGCTAGATCTTTTTTTTTGTGAGCTTTAAGAAAGCTTTCAATTGGGGTGGTGGTGGGAGGGTTTTTCTACGACGATTGTGGGGCTAATCTGTTGAACATTTGCTACTTGTTATTTGTACTGTCAAGCCAACGAGTTCAGTGTTAATAATACGTGTTTTGTTACAACGTCTTTATCACTATAAAACGAGCTTATTCCTTCTACTCTTGTAATAACAATCATACGATACGATTCTCTCCAGTCTCTGATAAACTGCACTCTGAATAACATGCTCTAATCTTGATCTTGTAATTAAACGTCCAAGTAACGTTTTTTTTTGAAGATTTGGTTTTCGCCCTTTCGATGGTTTCACTGCATGCAGCTGGCGCCTAGCTATCGGCGGTTCATCCGGGAGCCGTGCCATTGACAACCCTATGTGACACTGTAAATCTTTTCTTTTTCTTTTACTCTTTAATATTTTCTTACATAGTAACAACGCCACGATATTTTACACTTGGTATCTGGGAGTTACGAACACCAACGCACATACATACTCTCTAAAGAATGAGATGTGATTTCAATCTCCACTCTCACTAAAGATATAATAGTCGAACCACGAACACCGCTGGACGCAGAGAACTGTAGCTACGCATGCCGGTACGTCCTCCACTTCCTACTCGTATTTTCCTGACGTTTTTTAGACTGGACTGCATGCATGGTATGCAACAACGGCCTGGTTTTACAAACGTCAGGAAACTACGAGTAAAGATATATCAACTGCATACATCTAGCTAGAGGTCGAGATTATCAAACCACGGGCATTGGAGGACGCAGTCTCGTGCTCATAGATACTATTACGTCTTTGGTGTGGTCTTTTGAAGTGTAGGATTATTTGTGGTAAAATAATATCCAGCCACCACTAACACCACCGAGCAGATACCAAGTGGGTCTAGGACTGGGGGCGAGACATGTAGACAGAACGTAACTGCACATACTGTACTACATCCCAGCCCGTACTTCCAATTCCACCCTCTAACCACCCGGGGAGCTACGATCTCTCCATCAACAAGGACCCCCAACCCTTCAGCCTACATCGATATCCACCACCAAGGTACTCTACTCGGAGTCTACCTAGCCTAGCCAGCCTAGGGTTCGCCCCCGCACCCTGTAACCTCTCTCCCGCCCCCTCACTTTTCCTGCACTTTGCAGGTCCCATTCCACTCTGCACGGCTCAGCTGGCTGTTTGTGCACTTTGCGAACGTACATACAGTACACTCGCTCACCTGGTGACGGTGGATCCTGTCTGATGGTTGTGTTTGCAGTAGTTTAGTCTTGGCTTCCCAAAGTTAACTCTACTATTGGCCTCAAATCCTTGGCTGCCATCAGACAGGACCACCTTCACATACACACATAAACCAACCGCTTGTTTACCCAGTGAGTGGAGAATCAGATCTTGCCACCGAAAAACGGGTGAAAAATGCACTTCCGGAGACGGCCCCGCAGTTGTTTATTAATTGGTCATTGGTGTCTCAGTTGCTGTTGTGGGTTTGGGTTGTGGGGTTAGTCAGCACATGGGGCGCGAGTGAGGGACTGTGATTGTGGTGCGAAGGTGATGCTTGACAGCGCTCAAATACCCCCAAGTATCACAATAAAGTACAGACCTTAGATTAATATCTCTCTACTATGTAGAAGAATTAATTTTGCGGTACATAGCTGCGTAAAATATACACCTACCAGGCAAAAAGTTAGAAAATTACAAAGGAATAGTAGCTAGCAAATTACTTGAAAAAAAGTGCACACACATGTAAGCTGACTGGAGGCACTACTACGAAGAGCACCTTCATGTAATCTCCAACTACCAACTCCTATAGCGGGTAGGAATCACTCCTGCAGCGGGTGGAATCACGCCTGCAGCGGGTGGTGGAATTACTGTTGTTGTCCCTTCCAAGCTCCCACCCAGATCACTGAATACATGGAATTTAACAAGGCCGGGTCTCCCGCGCTGGCTAATTCCGTAGCCATTTAATTAATTAATCGATTAACTGATTGGTAGAGTATGTTTAATTGAGCTTGGCTTAAGCCGTGGACCTAGGCCTCCTGAGCTGGAGTGCTGACTATCATTTTGCCTGGGGAAGGGTAGCTCTAGATATAGGTGCGTGTTTGTGAGAGATTGATGATGATCGAAATAGTTGGTAAGGAGAGCTGGTAGTACTACCGACCCGGGCCCCCCCGCTGAAAGAGTCGGCGTTTGATGCCACAGCCAGCCAGCTTAAGGGATAGTTTCATTAGGGGTATGCTGAAAGCACTAACCAGATGGCAATCAACCATAAGGTGTGGGCGGGCGTAGGGAAATAATCTACACTCTGTTTAACATACAGCGGCCACGAAGATCTTCTACAGCCCCCCCCCCCCCCCCCCCTCGCCTCACCTCGTCGGAAATTAAATAGTATATACACTCTGTTCGGCATACACCACGAAGGTCTTCTACAGCTCACCTCACCTCACCTCAGCTCACCTCACCTCGCCTCAGCTCACTTCACTCCACCTCGCCTCAGCCTATCCCAATTGACACCACAACGGTAGGCCAACGCGTACGAGCACCCCGCTATGGCCACTCCACGCCGAGTCACGGTATGTCACTCGCCACCAACACACTCACACACACACACACACACACATTGACTGATTGATTGATCGATAATACTCTAGAGTACACACACACATACAAAATCCACGTCTCTCTCACCCCCCCCCCCCCCCCCCACATTGTAGACCCATCACCCGTCACCCCGTCGCTATAACAATATAAATGCAATGGCAACTAACTGCTAACCGGCCCACTACTAACTGCTGGCCACTGCTACTAAGCTGTGGATATCTATTTGCCAGCCGTGTAAAGAATAAGAAGAAGAGGGGGAATGATGGCCATGGGGGTTGGGTTGGGTTGGGTTGGGTTGGGTTGGGTTGGGTTATGGAGGAGTACCCGTACCGCGGCGGACCGGGAGAATAAAAAAAACAAAAAAAAACAGAACAGGTATAGAAACGAAGCAAAGATAAAGCGAAAGAGAAGCAGCAAGGCAAAATCAAAGTGAAGTGAAGCTATGGCCTATGCTCCCCACTACTAAAAAAAGGACTATCTAAACCACCAACCAAAAACACAAAAACAAAAAAAAAGCCAACCCACACCCCCAACTCCACAAAATAGAAAAACCCCAATAAAACCCCACACACACCTACTTCCGCTTCACCAGCGGCGTCGCCACCCCCCTCCCCACCCTCGGCGTCCCCACCCACCCCTCCCCCCTTCCCGCCAAACTACTCCACAGCCTCCTCCCCGCCGGCGTCAACCCCGCCCCTCCTGGCGTCTCCCCCCCCTCGCCCCTCCGCGGCGTCACCGCCCTCCCCACGGGCCGCTTATTCTTCGCCACCCGATCCACCATGCGATGGTGCAACAGCTCCCTCCTCGGCGTCGGCGCAATCTTGAACGGCGCCGGCGCCCCCGCCCCGCCTTCCCCCTCCGTCAGCGCCGCGATCGACCCCCACGTCAGCGGCGGCGCCCCAAGCTCGCTGGGGCTCGGCGACGGCGCGTCCTTGACGAAGCTGTAGCCATTGACACGGGGCGTGTCGGCGCCGCCGAAGCCGCTCTCTGACGCCAGCGGCCTTGGGCGGCCCGCGATTGCGTCGCGCACCGAGGAGAAACTGGGACTTTGCGGCGGCGCGGGGAGCGGCGGCGGCGGCATGCGCGTGTTTGCATAGACGACCGTTTTCGGCGGCAGGTCTTTCTGCGTGTCTGCGGGGGGCGGCGGGGGAGGTGAGTCGGGCCCGTCGGGGGCGAACATGAGTGTGTTTCGCGGCGCGGCTTTCCACGTGTTTGGGACGGCTTTGCGGTCGTCTTTCCAGGCGATTGATTTTGTGGGCCCGCCGTTAGCGGCTTCGGTGGCGGCGAGGTGCTGGAGGCGCTTTGCTTCGGCGGTTGCGCGGAAGCCGGGGATGCGGTTGCCGGCCCAGAGGAAGGCGTAGGCGTTGCGCTTCTTTTCGTTTTGCGCGTCGAGGAGGGTGTTGAAGGAGGCGTTGTCCTCGGAGGTGTATTTGGCCTGGAAGGCGTCGAGGGAGAGGTGCTTCTCGTATGGTTCTGGAGCGGCGGCGGTGGGGGTGGTGGTGGTGGTGGAGGAGGAGGAGGAGGCGGGGGCCATGGGGTTGCTTTTCAGGGGCGTGTCGGAGGGGCGGGTGTGCAGTGGGGTGGAGAAGGAGGTGCCGCGGCGCAGGCGCGGGGTGGTCATGACTTCGGTGAGGCGGCGGGAGGCTTCGGCGATGCGGGAGGGGTCGTGGGAGGCGAGGGCGGAGAGGTATTCTTGCTGGTGCTTGGTCTCGAGGAGGCCCGGGAAGAAGTCGCGCGCGATGATCTCGGACTGGAGGGGGGATGTTAGCTAGAGGTGATGGAGCGGTGGGGGGAGGGGCACGTACAAGGGCGTCGGTGTAGGTGTCTTCGTCGAGCACCTTTGGGGGCCGTTTGATCCGCTTCGCGGGCGGCGGGGGCGGCATGAGCTCCATGTCGGCCTTGCGCGTGAGGGCCTGCGAGCTGGAGGCCATTGTGGGCGGGGTGAGTGGGGGCTGGCGGGTGTTTGTGGAGCTGTGTGGTGGTGAGAGTTCTTCTTCTTCTTCTGTGGTGGTGGAGAGAGGTGCAGTTGATGTTGTTGGAGGAGAGTTGAAGCTGTGCTGCATCAAAGTTGCCCGTGCAGTCCAAAAGAGGCTGAGCAAACCCTGGCCCTGGCCCTGCGTCGTGACAAAGCTGCAGGCGCCACAGCCACAGCCACCGCGAGCTGCACAAGTGTCCTCTCCGCCGCCATCACACTCAGCCCGCGAGAACCGCTCAGAGCATCCACAAACCTCAGAGCATCACAAACTCTACAGCACCCTCCACCCTCAGCCCTCAAACCAGTAAATACACCTCCCATTAAACCTCCACCTCCAAACAAACAAACAAACAACCCCCCCCCACAAAGCACTCACCATGGCCGCCACCGCCCCCACAGCCCCCGGCACCTTCCTCCTCCTCCCCATCACCATGGACGAAAAGACCAAGGACGTCACGGCCCTCTCCCACTCGGACCCCGCGCTCGACCGCGAGCTCGAGGCCCTCAACGCGCTGCACCGCGCCCTCAAGCAGCCCGGCATCACCGACGGCGTCCCGCCGCCGCCCGTCCCCGTCCACCCGCAGCGCACCGCAATGATCGAGAAGATGCGCAACACCGGCAACGCCGCCTTCCGCAAGCAGGACTACAAGGGCGCCATCGACATGTACTCGCACGCCATCCTGATGGCGCTCACGCGCCCCGGCTGGGAGCCTGCCCCGCTGCTGCGCGATGAGCTCCAGCAGCTGTATTCGAACCGCGCGCAGGCGTATATTGGGATGAGCAGCTGGCCCGAGGGGCTGGCGGATGCGTGCTGTAGTATTGATTTTAAGAAGGCCGGGAATCAGAAGGCGCATTGGAGGAAGTGCAAGTGTCTGAAGGAGATGGGAAGGTGGGAGGAGGCGAGGGATGGGCTGGAGTATGGGCTGGAGTTTGGCAGTGATCCGGAGTTGAGTAATATGTTGAAGGAGGTGAGGGAGATGCTGGAGAGGAGGAAGTAGTGGTGGAGGGGGTTGTAGTATTTTTTTTTCTTTTTCTTTCTTTCTCTTTCTAGCTTCTTTTTTCGCTTTTGTTCTTGTGTATTTGTGGGCTTGATCATGTCGACGTGAGGGGTGCTGCTTCTTCTTTCCTGAGTAGATTTTTACGGGAGAAAGGTGTTTACTTCTAATGATATAAAAAAAAGGGCGTTTTCTTTTTCACTACTACAATTCGGTGATCTTGGAACTATGATGGTAGAGAGGCAAAGATACATATGTATACTTATACTTACCGTAAAATACGTGGAGGAAAATATATTCCTGTTATCCGCATAGTAATCGTATCGTTATCAATATGGGCTTGACTAAAGATACCGATATCTGGCTGTTCGGTTTGGGGCGAGAGGTCAATTGCAAAGATACATGTACTAAAGCTCCCTCGACTCTTTGCTGGAGAGTTAATAGTGAGCTGGGCCCGGGAGCTTGGAATTAGGGGGATGTAAATCAATGCTCTGTGATAATACTAGGAGTCTCAGTCACGTATCGTAGGAGGACTAGCATCGATTGAGCGCTATGTGATTTCTCTGGAACAGGTACGTCGGTGTATTGAGTTATCTCGGCCCTCAACTAAGAATAACGGTAGGACGGCGAAGGCCTAATGACATTCCCACTCGAGGTTACGTATCAAACAGAGCACGGCTATTGTCAGCTGTATCATACATTTCTATCTGCTTCTAGGCCAATATGTCGACTCCAGCATACCCTACAGCATTGTATCCATCGACAATTGGTCAAACACCTCGAGCTCGAGGCATCGTAGTATAAGGGTAATGCGTAGTTACAAGAAGGCGGGGTATTTGTTTCTGCTCAGCTAACATATGGAGGTCGTTAATTGAGCTCTGGGTAGCTTACTCTGGGGCAGATGGGTTATCGTGCAGGGTTTGTTACAGGTATGCAATTGAGGCTATCCCAGGCTTCAACTGAGCTCTCGCCCGGTGCATGGTTTCTCTAGCTAGAGTACCGTAGCTGTTGATTCATAGTATCTGTCACGGGTATGCTAGACTAGATATTGCGTTATCCCAGGCTTCAATTGAGCTCTCGCTCGATACTTAGATATATATCGATAGATTACCAGTAGCTACATGTAGATTACTGTCTCGTCCCAAGTAGATATCACACAGTCGACGTCCATTGCTCACCCACCTACATCCCCAGGAGCAGACAAATCCCACGATGTTTCTATTTATAGCCCACCCATTACTCTAGACTCTCCACTCTAGAGTCCAAAACAGCTAGCCAGGGGATCCAAATATCAAAGACCGCGCGCGCCGAGCCCAGGCAGCCTATGCTCACCTCAACGCACGCCCTACGAATCTCCAAGAAACGAGCGCGAGGGTGCAAGTTGTGTGTGTTTCGAGGCGATTGGCCAAGGGCAAAGACGTCACACCACAGGCGATTTTTTTACCCCACACTTTGCGGGCCAATTTACAGGATTTGCGATTATTTTTTTGAGGTCACGAAGAATGGGCATCACAGAAGAACAGCACAGAAGAGTACAGAAGAACAGAAAATCACCAGAGAACAGTAGAAGTTGCAAAAAAAAAAAAAACCTTAATTGTGATGACAGACTGTTTTCCCCGACGTAAAAAAAAAATAGTAAAAAAACACCCATCTTTCCCCAAACCCCCGCTTTTTTTTTTTCTCCATTCCTATTGCCCCACCGAAAGAAAGAAAAAAAAAACAACCAATTTTTCCATCAAAACCTCCAGCTCCCAATTGGCGAGGAAGTCATCGACATCGTTGTAGTAGTAGTGTTTTCGTCGGCGTGCAAAATCGTGAGGGAGAAACCGCTCAGAGGGAAAAGGTCAGACCGATGCCGGATCGGAGTGAGAGCGAGTCATTTATTTGCTATTTTTTCGCCAATGACGTTAGTTATGATAAACTAGAATAGAAGAATAATTGATGATGATGAAAAACTTACCTTCTCGCTCTAGTCTTTCTTCTCTTTCGCTTGAGTCTCCTGACTCTCTTCTTCCTCCACTTTGCTCTCATGTTGTCGAGTTTCTGAAAGCGTGTGTGGTGGGGTTTTGTTTGTAGTTGGGTGGGGAAAAAGGGAGGGGAGGAGCCGGCAGCACCTAAATACTCTTTTCTTTGTGCTGCCCTTCGTTTCTGCCAAGTCTCCGCGCACACAGTGAAGTGGGGTTGGTGGAAGCAGGGCTTGCCCTAACCGCCCTGGGCTGTTTTTCGTTGATATGGGCCCCCGGGGGGGGGGGGGGGGGAGCGAAGTGACGGCTGCTACGCACAGGGGGGTGCAAAGCAGTCCGGTAGAGTATTGTTGTACCTAGGGCAGAGATGCAGTCTACCTACTATCTGATAAGATAATCGTTTGGCTGGGGATGATCAATTTGATGCCTTGCGGTACGTAATTGTGGGAGCAAACGATTTTGTGGGACTCTGAGCAGGAATTGGATAGAGACGACGCCTATTTTTGTTTTTATTTTATCTTATTTACTTGAGCATCATAGATTACATATATCTCAAGGCCTACAATAGCGATTCAATTCGATCCCAGGGCTATGTATCGCAATTCCTACAGCACAGCCCTTCACTGAAAATCACTCGTGCTCACCTCACTCTCACCACATCAACTAGCAACATCTCATATATTTCAACCGACTCAACCAACGAAACTACACCCAACTAGTACGTAACTTTATGATGTACTCAATAAAAGAACCTACTCCTAATAGTCTCCTCACCACCCTCCCTCAACTCTCTCATCCTCTGCTCCCGCCTAGCCTCCACCTCCCTCGAGAGCTCCATAGCACTCCTCAACCTCCCATCTCCCGCAGCCGCATCATGTAGCTCGTCCTCCTCCGCTGTATACAGCGCATTGTCACGCCACTCATCCTCCTCTCCATCTTGGGTCTCGTCGGTGCTCTCAAACCCTGGGCTGAGATGATGTGGACTACCGGGCGTAAACTGGTCAAATAGGAGCTCTGGAACATCAGACATTTCCTCTTCTTCTATAGCTACTTCACCACTACCTACCCCCGCCCTTTCAAGACGGGCAAGAGAGCTTCCAGGCTCAAACCCAAAATGACTCGGCGTGAAGCTGCTGTTACCTCTTGCAGCACGAGCATGGCTCTGCGCGGGATTGAAGTTCTGTAATGGGACAGTGATTTCCTCCTCTGCGGGGATAGAGCGTCTTCTATACCAGTCCCCAACAGCACGGCTATAGACTTCTTCAAGCTCTTTTGCGTGCCTACCTAGCCAATTGTGCTTCTTTGCCTGCTCCAGCGTCATTCGTTTCCTGGGGTCAACGCAGATTAGGGACCTGATAAAGTCCTTCGCCTCGCCGCTGACATCTCTCCACTCGACGCCAGTTTCCAGACGCCGAAGGTCGCCAGAACGAGCTTTAGCAAGGACTGCATCAGGCGGGAGCGTAGGACCGCTCTCGGCGCCAAAGGGGGAGTAGCCAGAAAGTAGGACGTAGACAACGATACCTAAAGACCAGAGGTCGACTGCATGCGAGTATCCACTACTGACCATGCCTCTGGTTGGCGGGATGACTTCACTGATTGTTTTATTCGTTCAGTGGAAGGAGGTAGAGAGGTTAGTTTAGGGGGTTACTGACGGGGCTAGATACTCCAGGGTGCCGACTGCACTTGTCATTCTCGTGGCGGGGGTGAAGAAGCGGGCGGAGCCAAAATCGGTCAAGACGACTCGTGAGCCGGCTACGTTGCTGGTGCAGAGAATGTTGTCGGGCTTTTAGTTTTTATATGTGAGTGATTAACCGTGATCTAGAGGGTCCGCGGGGGGGGGGGGGGGGGGGGGGTGCACCTTGAGATCTCTGTGGACAATTCCCTTTGAGTGCAAATACTCTAGCGCCTTCAGGATCTGCCACACAACAGGCATGGCCTCAATCTCATCAAGGCAGAGCTTCTGCCCAAGATGCGAGAATAGATCTCCACCCGTAATGAGCTCTTCAAAGATGTAGATTCTAGAGCTCGTAGAGAACGCTTTATGGATGCTCATAATATTGGGCTAAACCCATTTGACTCAATCAATCAGCCATACCAACGAGAGAAAGGTCCAAAGTGGGACTCACATGGCTCAAGCTTCTCAAGACCTCTACCTCCCTCATATACATCTCCCTCAACCTAGCCCAATTCTTCTTCTTCCCACCCTTCGCATCCGGCCTCAGCTCCATAACCTTACACGCAACCTGTCTATGCGTCTTCACATCCCACGCCATATACACCCTCCCATACCCACCTGCGCCTAGGATTCTACTCGAGAGCTCATACGAGTTTGCAAATGCCCGTTTCTCACCTTCGGCAATGATGTCCTCGGGGGCAATTTCACCAAGCACTTGACTAAACCTAAAGCACGCAGCATTCCTGATGTCGATTCTATCACCGTTGCTCAGGAGGACGCTATTACCCTTGCCGATGAGACGGCCGTTGAGGAAGGTGCCGTTGAGGGAGAGGTCCTCGCAGTAGATCAGGGGCTCGTAGCGGGACTCGAAGATGACGGAGTAGATGCGGATGTGGGTGTTTGAGCAGGAGGGGTGGGGGACTTTGAAGTTACAGAGGGATTGACGGCCGATCAGGGTGTCTTCGCCGGGAAAAATGTGGATCACTGTGGAGCGTTATTTTTTTTTATTTCTATGTATGTAGTAGAGATGTGATAGTAGAAATGTGATAGTTGTGCATAAGGAGAAGAAGCTAACCGGAGCTCTTTCCGTCAGCCATTGAGGCCACCAAGGACGCTATGATGCCAGAGTCAATGGCATCATCTTTGATACTTGCAAAGGGGCTCATGAAGTCTTCGGCTCTGGGATCCTGTGTGGGTAGAGCACTAGAGGACGCCTTCTCGGGCTGCCTGTCTTTTTTCCACGCCGTGGCGGTCATCGGGAGGCTTCGAACGGGAAACGAAGAAAATTCACCAAAAGCACTCACGAATGACGATATCTCAAACCAGACGTCTTGTTTCACGCTCCCGAGCTAGCATTCATGCAGGGTCAAAAAGCACAGGCCAGCATTACACAAGATCTCACTCGCCCGCTAGCCATACATGTAGTCATGTGACGTGACGTGCGGCTCCCCGACCAGGCGACCGACCAGGCGATTGACCAGGGGGCGATCCAACGGCATTCTCCATGAAACCCAAACCCGCCGAATTAACCTTCCCCCCCCCCCCACATATCCACAGACACACCCAAAACGACACCTGAAACGATGAACATCCCCGGCGAAAGGTTTACAATCCCGCTCGAGAGCGACTCGGAAGATGAGTCACCGCGCGGGCCTCCTCCTCCGCAGCTTAATGCGGGCCTCGGCTTCATCAGAGATATCGTCGAGAAGCCCGTCTCGTCGGCTCCAACTGCCCCAGTCCTGCCACCAAACGCCACATCGACCGGTTTCCCGGCGCACAAGAAGAGGGGCCCGTCAAAGTTCCGGCAGCGTGCACAGCAGGATCTTGAAGCACAGAGGCGGAGACAGGCAGCAGCCCCCCCGCCACCGCCGCCACCACCACCACCACCTGCATCTGCATCTGCATCTGCACGGGGTGGAGCTTCGCAGGATGAGCTTACGGAGCGGCAACGGATCAGCGATGAGAATGACCAGAGGATTGCAGCCATGAGCGCCGAGGAGATTGACGAGGAGCGGCAGGAGCTTCTCAAAGGGCTCTCGCCGGCGCTGATCGAGCGCCTGCTGAAGAAGTCGACCCTGAACCACGGCGCCGTCCACGGCTCCTTCAACGACGAAACAGAGGCGACGCAGGAACCCCAACCCCAACCCCAATCCGAGACCCCCAAACCTGCTCCCTCATCCAAGAAAGTGAGCTTCGACCCCACGCCCGCCACTGCACCCCCAGCGCCTACTGTAACAGGCATCGGCGAAGACGCCCTCCCCCCACCCACCCACGTGCACTTCCCGCGGCCCCCCACCTCAAAGGACAACGACGACCTCGACCCCAGCGACCCCGAGTTCTTCACCCAGCTGCACACCAAATACTTCCCGTCCCTTCCCGCCGACCCCTCCAAGCTCGCATGGATGAACGCGCCGACCGCCGCCGAGGACCTCTCCTACCACCCGTCGCAGACGGACCTCCCCGTCTCTGCCCTGCGTTTCGACTTCCGCGGGGACCTGCTGCCGCCGCGCAAGTCCAGGGAGCTCCCGGCGAACTTGGGGCTGCACCACCATGCGGATGCGCCGAATGCGGCGGGGTACACGGTCCCCGAGCTGGCGCGGCTGGCGAGGAGTGCGTTCCCGACGCAGAGGTGCATGGCGATGCAGATGCTGGGAAGGATCCTGTATAAGCTGGGGATGGGCCACTATGGCGTGGAGGATATCACGCAGGGGCTGTGGAGGTGCATGGAGGAGGGGAGGGTCATTGCGGGGTTGGAGGAGGCCGCGGCTGGCAGGCAGGGGGGCCATCTGAGTGTTAAGGCGTATGCGACGGATGCGTTGTGGCTTTGGCAGAAGGGGGGTGGGCATAGGTGGAAGGCTGAGTAGAGTGTAGTGAGGGCAATTGACGTATACCTGACTGCAGAATAGGGGAGTTGTGTAGTCCCGCGGATTTGATTGGTTTTGAAGGCGCTTTGTTCCTAACTATCTACAGTTTCCGGTAGAATTATTGCGAAAGTGGGTTCCCCGTGACCCGATAGTCCTATTGGCCCTTAAAAGATTTTTGCTATGAGCACAGACCAACAAAATCCACTCTTTTAGCTCTGACTTTCGCAATAATTCTACCGGAAACTGTACTGCGTGTGATATTCAGTTGGTCACTCTTAAAAGTGTTTCGTGATTCGGAATAATTTTTTTAATCTATATAATTACCTGCATGAATGCCCTTTGAAATGTCCCTATGACCTGGGAGGAAAGATTATGTCCCCAAAAAGACCAAATTATTATAAGTAAGAAATATACAAAGAGACCATTCTAGATACGTCTACTCTAGACATACACATAATTTAAGCCCTTCTGGCGAAATATGCAACAAGTACTCTAGCTAAGAAACCGCTACCTGTACAGCCAACCAGGACCCATTTCCTCTACTACATGTAGGTCATGACTATGGTCACTTTTAAAAGTTAGATCTTCTCGAGTCTCTTACCCATCCCCTACTTGCAGCAAGCTGCTCACCAGGTTGGGGGCGAGCCTAGATCTTCTCTCATAAAGCGCTTATTTCGATGATGCCATCCAGCCAAACCAGCTATGTTTTCATATCTCTATAGCCCGCAGGGATTCACGAACCGTCACTCGACCACCACAAGAACCCACAAGAACCCACAACCTCACCTCCAACCCTCAAATACCAAGTTCCCAAAGATACCTTCCCCCCCTCTACAGTATTCGGTAGAATTATTGCGAAAGTCAGAACTAAAAGAGTGGGTTTCTTGGTCCGTGTTCACTGCAAAAATTCCTTTAAGGGCCAATGGGACTATCGGGTCACGGAAAACCCACTTTCGCATTAATTCTACCAGAATCTGTACCTCAATCTCCCTGTACCCCCACCTCACCCCTACTCGCTTGAGTTAAAAAAAAAAAATCACCCCATGAACCCACCCCCACAAAACCCATGAACCCACCACACTGCAGGGTTAGGGTTCTAGTCACATGGCAAAATTTCCGCGCGCCCCACGAACAATGAGATCATACCGATCTTTCCTCCCTCCCGGCCCCCTCCCCCCCAACCACCCATTGCCGCGCCCCAACCCAAAACTCCCCTCCCACGCCCGCAAATTCCCCAGCAACTCAATTCACGACGCTCAAAAAAAAACCCGAGTGACCATAGAGACTACCTACCTGCCTCTGCAATGTCCGCCGTACGCCCCCTCTCACCCTCACCCATCTAGACGCTGCGCAGGTACTAACAGCACCGCTAGAAAACACTCCTGCACAAACAGTACCGCACGCTCGCCGAGCTGTGGCCCACGGACCCGCTGCGCCCCAACCTGTCCCTGCAGACGCTTCTCCAGCAGCGCATCGCGCGCCAGTTCGTCCAGGCGGTTGAAGGCGACGAGGCCATTCCCACACAGAACCACTCGGGCCCTGCTACGACGGGGAGTGGGAGTGCGGGGGAGGGGCGGCCCGTGGTCAAGTTTGATGAGGGTAGGGCGGCGAGGGAGATCAATGCGTTGGGGAGCTTGTTGGAGGATCGGTATCGGAAGAAGGTATGTGTTGCTTTTGAGGGGGGAGGATGGGTGAGGAGAGGGCTAATGAGGGGGTGTGTGGGGGTAGTATCCGGTGTCGGATAGGATCTTGAAGCCGAGGGGGAATCCGGAGTATTATGACAACCTGATAAAGGAGCTTGAACAGGCGCCGGGAAGGTCGTGGTGGGAGACGAAGTTGAATGCCTGGAAGGGGTATGTCAGGATGAAGTAGGTTTTGCTATCCCGGTTCCCCAGCTAGTTAATTGATTGGTTGGGGGGGTTGTAAATATTACTGCTGCTGTGTTTTTGATCGCTGCTCTTTTGATACATACATACTTTTCGCTGTGGTTTTTTTTTTTTTGTAGATATGTAATGGGAACGTGTGGGCAGATGGTGCTGCTGAAGTGAGGATATTACTCTTTGGGAATTACTAGTGTGGTTTGCAGTGTTATTAAGGATACGATACCTAGTGCGAGTGTTTTACGGTTGCTGTACTCTGGTATCAATGATTTTTACACCGTATTTGGCACTGATTAGTAGATGCTCCCCAAATGACGTGCTATGTGGTCACTGCCTGACTCTGACAGACCCGCGAATTGTGGCTCGCTAGCTAGCGAGACCTCCGAGCCTGCCAAGCAACTGTGTTTCTATCAACCCTCAATCAGTGTTGGGCATACGGGCTAGTAGCTATAGTGAATAGGTCTGAGTGATGTCTTATGATCCGACAAAACTACCAGAAACCAGAAACCAGAAACCAGAAACCAGAAATACAACCATACCGATCCATAATAACAATCCAATGGCTAATTGAGATTTACCAATGTCCTTAGACCTCGATTCCGACACTCCTAGGTACTACTACTAACTAGTACCGGGGATTCCAGAGCCAAGATTTTAGGACATCCGTGTGTCCCCCCCCACCACAATGCGGCTCAAGTGCATCTGCAAGGGTAGGTAAATTTTTCCCCCACAAGCAACAAAAAAAGCCATCCTCGAAAACCTCAACACCACGCTGCTCTTCCTCTGATACCCAATTCACCACCACCCGCCCACACATCAAATCACCATCACAATGTCCTCAGACAAAAAGCGCAAACGGTCCTCCACCGTCCTCCCCGACATCAAGATCACCACCGCACCCACCACCGACACCCCCCCCATCGTTGGTAAATCACACCACCCCCCCCCCCCCAAAAAAAGTCCAGCCAGTAGCTAACCCACCCCCCTCACAGCCACCACCCACGGCATCACCCTCCCCCCCACCCTCCCTTTCACCCCCTACGCCCGCACCATCACAAACAGCACCAAAAAGGCGCGCAAGTCCGAGCACCTCCTCCACGGCTCCACCCAGCGAATCGACTACGAGGGCCGCGAGCTCCCAGAAGACTCCGACTACCACCGCTACTACGTCGGCATCTTCGACCCCGCCACAAACACTGTTGAGCTGCATGCCGCGCCCAAACTCCACTTCTCGCGCACAATCAAGGCGCACGCTGAGCGCGACCGCGAGATTGACGGGAAGGGCATTGTGCTGAACGTATATTTTCTGCTGTACCTACACTCAATGCCAGGCTAGTACTGAAATACATGGTGCAATGTAGAATGAAGATTCCCGCGCCGCCCTCGGCCGCCAATTCGGTACCAAGAAGGCGCAAAAGGCCCTGTTGTCCCGCGAGATGAACAAGATCGACATCAGCGACATGGACAAGACTGTGACCACCTCCATCATCTCACAGGTCGAGGAAAACACCAAAGACATGCCCACTTCTGCGCAGCTCGGCACGCAACAACTCGACCTACGACCTATCCCGCCCGCAAACAAGGACGCAACCCGCCCAGAGGACGTCTACAACCTCGACGACATCATCCCCAAGGATGAATGGGGTGTCCTGTGGGTGCGTGAGTGGGAGAAGAGCACCGGTAGCAGCGAGGATGTAAAGAGTAGCACAAAGTCGCGCTTCGTGGCTACGCGCGTTGCAAAGCTCCTCGCCGCTGCGGCGGCGACGGGGCGAAGTGGGGGCGCGGCATTGACGCGCAGCTTGAAGCTGCTGAAGTACATTGGGTACATGATTGAGTTCTACCTATTCCAGGCGCAGAGTAGGGGGCGGCTGCCGAACATGACGAAGGCGAAGAAAGCGCTGGGGCTAGATCAGGTGCTGGTGGAGGGGCTGTATAGGAGGTTTGCGGAGACGACGACGTCGGGCGAGGGCGGTGAGGCGAGATGGGCGGTGAGTCCGTCGTTGTCGAATAAGCTGCTGTACTATCTGGCGGTGCTGTGCTTGATGGCGGACTTTTGGGAGGTGGATTTGTATGAGCTGAAGATTGACTTGGGGATGCAGATGCGAGAGTAAGTCTCCCCCTCCCCATTTACCCTGGCACTTTACTAACAAACGGCAGAATAACGGTGGCATTCAAAGAAGTTGGGTGCAGCGTCAAGGAGTACTCAAAAACTCAGTACCTCGACATGAAGATGACCAAGGCCGAAGCCACACAGCACAAGCGCGCCGTCCTCAAGATCCCACTCGAGTTCCCCAGTGCGCCGCGGAGACGGGCTGCTGGCGGGTCGAGGAGGTAATTTGCATGTAGTTGTAGTTGTAGATTTTATATTTTTTGTTCTCTTTTTTTTCGCCCTTTGTAGTCCTCTATGGGGGCTTTTTCTTTCTTTCTTGTGTGTGCCCGTGTTCTAGCAATCACACCCCTAGTAGGGGGGCTAATGTGGGGAAGGAATGTGTTTGTTCTGCTGTGAGTGGGGTGTAGATATCTGTGGTAGAAAAAAGTTTGAGTTCTTTGGGGTTAATTGTGGTTGTGTTTTGGTGTTGAGATGATCATTACCATGGCGCGGGTGATAGGTTATGATGAGGCCAAGGGTGCCCCTCCAACTATGGCCTTGGCCCACAAACTCAGGACTTGGTTGATGATTGCTTGACTCGGCCCACTACTGCTATAGAGACCGACTGCCTATGTAGTTAGTCCTGTAGACCTTCAATGAAATAGTACAAACCACAAACCACAAACCCTAATCCACCTTTAATTCCTTAGCGGTGCCTCTGCACCCGAGACTCATTACCAGCTATTCAGGGGGCTTGTGTGTCTTCGTTTGACCCTGGGTACCGATTCTCATGATGACTGCAGAAGCTGGCCACCATCAAATAGATATTGGCCCATCAGAAAAAAGGGCCAACTAACCCTCTCCCGTGGAGAGCTGGTCCTGTAATAATGGAATGAACGTAGCTGATGTGCTGCTATTGATGGCCATACCATAACGTGGTATATGTAGGAAGATTTAATACGTAATAGGATGGCTGGTTCTGTTACGAAGCGGGATGGAAGCTATCTACTTATACATACAAAGGTGACACGTCTAGTTAGGCTAAACTGTAGACACCGTTGCTAAGACCATCTTACAGTATACTAGTCCGTGAAAGCTGCAGTCTTAGATATATGAATTGTTCTTCTGTTTATTTGTCTTCACAGGATGTAGAATCGATCTCTTCCGGGGTTTGTAGATACTGTAGCTTGAGGAGGTTGGGTGGTATGATGGTGACTTTTTATTATTGCTCATTTGCCCTGTATTCCTTTGCACGGAGATGGATGTCTGAGCATGATTATTAGAAGGGCCGCTTGGTGGGAAAACCAATCTTTAGGGTAATGATAGTTTGGTCAGTCAGTGGTAATGATTGTGCTTAAGTTAATTAATCAACCAAGACAATTACAACCCTGAGACAGCCATTCCCAATTTTTTTTGTATCAGCACCGTAGTACCCTTACCTCTAGTTGCCGAGACTTCTAAAACCCCAACTGCATGTAGAGATATCAGTGCAAAGATAAACTACTCATAAAAGATGCATTCAATTTATTTTGAGTCCCACATGCCCGTGTATCAAATCAACCAGGATTTATGTATTTAAGCTCCACCACAGTCTAGTCAACCTTCCCCAAGGACCTGCCTATCCACCTCCGCTTATTTCAAGCTACGCTCAATATCCCTCCTCATCTTCTCCGCATCCGACATGATCACCGGCGTATACGCCGCCTTCAGGTCCTCGCTCTTGACGCGGTTCGTATACTGGCTCAGCTCATTCGCATCATATGACGCCAGCGGCGTCATACTGTCCCCATCCCCCTCACTGCTCGTGTCGGTAAGCGCGCCATAAACTTTCTGGTTTTCGTCGTCTTCGGGCTCTTCGGTCTTGATTGGCACTTCTGAGGGGCTTCTGTTCTCCTTCTGGTCGTAGGTGCCGTTCTTCTCAGCCTCCACACGCTTTTGGCTGGTCTCCTCTTGCTTCTTCTGCGGGGTGCTGGGACTAGTGCTGGCAGGCGTCGACAGGAAGATGTTGATGCCCCAGCGGAAGAAGAGGAGGGTGGTGATGAGGGATGCCCAGATGCAGGTTGCGATCGTGGCAGTAAATGCGAGTGCGGAGAGCATTATGCATACTGCAGAACTATGTCAGAGGTCATGTTACTCTAGCTATCGCTGCTATCTACAGCCTGATAAGGGGTTGTGGGGTAAAAAAAAAAAAAAACAAGGACATACATCCAACCCCGACCCAGAACGCTATGAAGCCTACTGCAACACCGATGACGCCCAGTGCGAAGCCTAGCAACCCCAACACCGGAAGGATACCGAATAGCAGCTGGATCGCGATGAACGACTATTTGCATATATATATCATTTCTACACATTAGACCAATATCCAATACCACTCAACTACTGAGGGCAGACAGCAACGTGCAACAGCAACAACAATATAACGACGACGACGATGGCCACGTACAGCGAGGAAAGGCTGATGTCTTGAAAAGACCACCGCATTCCGATAAAACCTCTCTCGGGCATCTTGATCCGCGACCTTGTTATCAAACTGCGCACCCATGTAGGAGACGGCGGATCGCATGTAGTTGGCCATCGCGGGGAGATATGTCTGGATCGTGAGATGTCTGATGCGCACCGTCGAGTCGAACTGGTTCGTGGGTGGGCGGTCGATGGATTGGTAATGAATGAAGCTCATTGATGGTTTGTGCTGAGAGGTAAAAGAGGTAAGACGCACGGATAAGGTTATGACGTTTGTCGTATGTTGTCGTGCCTCTCACACCCTGCCTAGGCTTGTGAATTGCACGTGCGAATTGGCTTGGCTCATTCCAATTCACCCATTCATCCACTGCTTATTTTGGGATGGGGGGTACTTTATTTGGGAGCCTTGGTGCTAATCTCCTCGGGCTTCGTGGGATCCGCGCAGGGGGCGCTCTCACGGGATTATGTTTTTGTTGCCCTCCTCACGTACCCTCCCTCCCTCGAGTCCTCTGTCCTCGCCGCCGGTAATTGCTTTAGGGCTTTGAAGCAAAACTCTTGTTTTCGGGGATTACTTACTATTAGGGTGCTACGGGTAATAATAAATGGTACGACTTTTGGTGGGTTAGTCTGGGCGTAGACCCCACGTGGGTTGTCTTACTTTTCCAGTATGAGCTTTGATTTGTCATTTGAAAACGATGAATTGGGAATAGGGGGAATTTAATTAGGGGGGGTAATGATTACGGTGTAGTCAGCTTGCTTGGGCGCTCATGTAGTAGCTACATGTTAGCGAAATCTCCGAAGGGCAGAGGTTTAATCTGCCCACGATCTGTGACCTCTGCAGATCTGGCTCCGACTACCTTTTTGAATCTCGTTGTTTGCAGGGACAGCATTATTCATGTAGGTACATGTACGTATAATCACAGGATGCTGTTCCCGTCTGCGGAACCGTGTTATCAAAGTTACATCCCTACTGTCAGTAGACGATTATGTAGATAATACTACCACCTATCATTAGACGCAGTTTTCCACGGCAGCTGCACAGGCCTTTACGGTCTCAAGTTGTAACCAGAACGGGTTTATCAAGGATCAAAGTAGAACAATTCCTTGAGATATCTGGTCGTTGGCGTTTCTCCTTTCGTACGTGTAGCTTCATTTGGTGGCCCATCCCTATTCGATATCTATAAATTTCGATCGACCGTTAGTAATCCAAGCTCACAGGGCTGTTGAGGAACAACTGGATAAGGAAACTAGAGATCTACAAAATATAATCAATCGAGAAAAAATGAAATTGCAATCCTAGGGCCCAATGAGACAGCATTCATAAAGCTTCTCGCAATGTTACACATATGTCCGTGGGGTCAGTTCATGGCATGATAATCATTTCCATTCTGCTGCCTTTGTCTTGAACCTCCCTAAACCCCCCACCTCCATCCCGGTCCAGCCCGAGGCATAAACACGGGTAGGCTCTGGATCAAACTAATCCGGCAGTATCGTTCCCGAATAATCCAAGCGTAGCACAAAGTCATACAAATAGTGACCCCCAAATTTCAATCCAGTCGTCCACCTATCAAACAACAGTAAAGCACAGACAACAACTTCCTTTGACATTTAAGTCAAGTTAGGTTTTCAATACACATATACCGTTGACGTGCAGCACGTACCAGCTTTTGCAATTGGCCGATTAAAAAAATCTGATATATGAGATGAGCAACCAATGCAGAGGAAACACATGAGGTGTGGGAAAAAAAAAAGGAAAAGTTGTGCAGACGTCACTGAAGACTGTACCTACTATCGTGATGTGTTTGTTATTTTAATTCTGTATAAAGGGTCCCCCGGAAAAAAAATTCTTGGGTGGTGGTGGAATTGGAGATCTAGCTGCGATTGAGCTCGCAGAAAGGACATGTAGTGCTTTGAAAATCGGGATGCGAATGTAACACCTACCTAGTTAGAGTAGAATAAGTACATGTACTCTACCGCAGAGATACTCAAATAGATATGCATGCAGGGTCTATTCTCTGATCATCGACCCTAACCCACTTGCTTTTTCTTCATTCTTCTCGGATCCTCCGTCACAGATCTAGCGTCAAGCTCGGACGAAATTTCGAAAAGAAAGGTGGCTTCCACGAGAATCCAGAAGGTCGAGAGTCGAGACTACTCTATTTTACCGAAGCAATGGTAGTGGTGGGTATCTATGTACACCACGAGAGAGGACCTTGAGGATTTGCATATGTGTATGGTTCGGAACTGGTCCGAAGAGTGTAGAGTATCGTCACCTCGAGCTAGGTAGGCCGGGGGCGGCAATGATTGCTAGAGCTACATACTAGTACTCTAGAGAACCTAGTCAGTCATCATTGACGCATATAATATGTGCATGAGACCCGGTAGTTAGACGCCATTTTATACTCATCCTGAGGTCGCGCTTAGTTTCTCCGCAACTTGATCATGTAAGTATAACTACTTTTTTTCGACAGCATCAACTCCATGTATGGTGGACTGTGAACGTTCGAACCACGGTTTTGACACCGAGGTTTCAAGTCATGATTTCTCCCTAGCTGGGCTTCCCACAAAAACCCTTTGGAGGGAAGGCAGGGAGGGCAAGGAGTGTGAGTGAGCGTGGGAAACACGTGTAGCCGTACCAGGGGTAACCATGGATCTATTGGATGATCCCGCGTTGAAGTCCTATCTACACCGGCATATAATATCGTGGCTATTGCATATTACATGATATGTAGAGTACGTACACGCTAGGTAGAGTAGGTACTCTCCGCTAAGACTTGTACGCACGTATTGATTAATACTCTGTGCTCTCTGTACGTCTGTAGAGTATACATACATTATACATACATATTAATGTAGTTGTAGACTTTTATACGCTGATCGGAAATACCCCAATAGATCATCCGGCAGTCAGTCTGTCTGCCTTTGCAAGCCCGGAATGCTTCCTTTTTCCCCTGGAGGGCATTGCAATACATTCGTATTCAGCTCTGGGGCCGAAAGAGAAAAAATCCACCGCCACGAATCAGAGACGGTTGATAAGAAAAGCATTCTCAGGCACAGGATATGAAGTTTTTTTTTTTTCCTCCCACCTACCAGGTCGACCGAGCGATCATAAATCGGAACGTCATAGCTGCTCAATTTTTGTCTTTGATTTGTCAATTGACGAGATATGCACAGCAGCGGCAGGCAGGGACGTCAGGCCAAAACATGGAACTTGACCCCTTGAGACGTGCGCAGCTGGAATGTTTGATCTTGTAAGGTGTGAATTTTGTTGAATGCGTGCTCACGTCCAATTAATTACAAAAGAAAAGAAGAAGGAAAAGAAAAGAAAAAGGAGGGGGGGGATGAAGTGAAGGAATTCTGTGGGAGGGGCGGGGGAGTTCTTGGGCTCTGTCTAGTAATATTGGAATAATAGAGCCCGCCTTATAATTCTCAATCCCATAGTAGTAATGAGTAATAATAGTGGTGGTAGTACTAGTAGTAGTGGTAGTAGTAGTAGTAGCGTGACCAGACACAGAAAGAAAGGAATAGCGATAATGAGAAGAATAATAGTAGTTGAAAATTGTATTTCTTTCTCCCCGCCGTTTTGCCCCCTTCCTTGTTCCCATTGCACCAACCCCGCGTGCACCAGAGAATCCATAACCAAACCAAAAAGCCAAATCTATGTAGCCATATGACATAAGAAAAAAAGTAACGATAGAAAGATAGAACACCCTACAGCATAAAAAAGGGAATAAATAATAAAACATAGGAAACATAGGAAACATAAAGAGAGGTGAATAGTAAGAATAGAATAACTAGAAAACTAAAAACGGGTATATCGCAGCAAAAGATATCATTAACCACTAGTATAGTTAGCAGTGAAATCGACCGGCCAAATGTTCTTTTTATCATCTTATTCCCGTGTAGCGCTGTATCATTAATAAACCAAGTGAGACGACGCCATCGCTACAACGACATGCGTACCACATGACAACCAAACAAACAAGCCAGCATATCAGTGAATAATCGAACTAGGAAAGACAAAGGAAGATCCCAAGACTGGAAGGGAGAAGTGTATGAAGACCGGCCGACGAACTGAGCTCAGTTGGTCAAAGAAAAGAAATAGAAATGGGGAGTTATAAATAATCCAAATGAACTAAAAGCAATCGTACAAACCTATTCCCTTGTCCATCCTGCTAGTGGGTCAATCAGAGAAACAGCATGCGCCGAATTTCGCCCCCATAGCCCAAAAAAATGAGTAAAAGGAAGAGGGTATGATAAAAATAGCACATGAACATAAAAGAAAAAGAAAACAAGAGGTATCAGACAAAAGAGACGATTGATGATGGGTATACAAAACAATATTTAAAAGGAGGTTGAAAAAAAAAGCCCGCCCGTCCCTGACACAAGGAATATCTTCCCCTTTCCCTTTCCCAACATGTAACCCACTGTGCACCAACATCCAAAAGAAACAAAAGTAAAAACAATGAAACCACATAAGATCTTTCCTCGAAATATGAAAGACGCCTACGTAAACCCAAATCGGCCCAATAACCCAAAACCCCTGAAAATAAAAACATTCTCGCAAAATCAGATATATTCGCAAGATAACGTAATTTAAGACTCGTCCAGCTCGTCCTTTAGCTCAGTTGTTGCATCATGGCGCTGTGCATTAAGCTACTGGGCATACTCATGGGCATCTGATGATGATAACCGCCATGGTCTGATGTTTCTGAGACATCTTCAATTGTCTGGAGCTGGTCGTCTTCGTTATCCTCCTCACTGTAGCTGTTGTAGTTCTCATTTGGGCCGGCAGTGCCATCACGCTCATGAGTGCGCTTGTGTTGAGCAAGGTTATCAGAGCGAGAGAAGGCCTTATTGCAGTGATTACAAATATACGGTCGCTCTTGGGTATGGGTGCGCACATGTCTAAAGAGTTTTTATTAGTATCAAGAAAACGAACCAATGAGCGGATGGGGAACGACATACCTCTTTAGATGTTCTAATCTCTTAAATAGCCGCCCACAAGACGGGATGGGGCATGAATGTGACTTCTGTGGGTAGGGGCTGACTTCCATGACAGTTGCGCTCTTGGCACGTCTAATTGCGGTCGGGCGCTTAACCTCGGATCCAACACCATAATCTGACTGGTCGCAATTTGACATAGGGGGCAATGAACTCTCTTCATGGTGCATCATCGACTGGTGTGGTGCAGGGCTATTGTCTTCAACCAGCGATAGTGGTGTTCCATGTCGCGATAGATCCACAATTTCGCGGGGCTGCATGTGCCCCATGTTGATTGGGGGAGACTCTGAGTCGCTGTGGTCAATGCCCGACGCGGTGGTTGAGCGCCTAAGCTGTTCGCTTGTTCGTCGAACATGGCCAGCGGCAGCGTTAGTGGCATTGGCCAAAGCGCTGATACCAGGCGTGATTGACGATCTTCTACGACGCTGTTTGTAGGTCGGAGATCCTTCAATGACGGAGTAGACATTGTTGGTGTATGCGCGTGGGGTTGATGAGAACGGAGGAGCGTTGCTCACAGGTGGCAGCGGGAGGATCATGCTACTAATGGAATGCCCAGCATGACCAGACATGGTGTCGTAGCCATCATTTGCCAAGTAGTGGGGCTCAGAGATCTGAAGCATCTGTTGAGGAGGGGTTACTGGCTCGTAGGAAATTCCTCGTGCACTGTAATCCTCAGATGGCGCAAAAGAAGGAGCTGGTGAATACTCGAGATAGCTGGGCATAGAGATAGTCCTCTGGTGTTGGTGCATCGGCCTTGAGAGCGGCAAGCCGTTTCTCTCAGGGTAGTATGGCGCCATACCATAATCTTGCTCCTGTTTTACTGGAGCAGGAGTCATCTGCATCGGAGCATACGACATTGGGTGCATATCTTCGGGCACAACGGGCATGGAGTGGGGAATTATTTGGGGTGGTGGCATCGAATCCATCGCGCGCATTACGGGTGAAGTTGAGGATGAGTAAGAAGCATGTGCAGAAAATGATGACGAATTTGCCTGCTGCGCCTTGGTGAGCTGCTCGAATAGCGACTGAGATGAGTCGAATTCGAAAGAAAGTGCCGGCTCGCTAACAGCAACGGTTGTCGCTTCTTGGCCCATCTTCTCTCTCTTCAGGTCACGCTCCAGAGCGTCCAGGAAAAGGCGATCATGGGGAACGCTGTACCAGTAGAATACCTTCTGCTTCTTCTGGGTTCTAATGCAGTTGTTCTTGTAGAGAAAGTCAAGAAATGGGCTCTTGGGCTCCTCAAGCGACGCATCCGTACCAGACTTCAGATTTCTTAGGTCGGAAAATATACCCTCCTCAAATTTCTTGGAATTCTTCACCGGTCGTCCGAACGCCTGGAAGCGGAAAGACAGGCATCTTACGATGTCTGTGCCAGAAATATGGAAAAGGTTATTCCTGCAAGGTATTTTCGTTAGCGAGAATTACAAAAAAAATCTTCTGAATTTTCTTTTTTCTCTCTTTTTCTTTACACAATCAGGAGCCTCTTACCATAGAACACACGATACGTATTCGCCGGTTGGTAATAAAAATCTTCTAATGTATTGTTCCGGGGCCCAGTCGACTGGGGCAGAGATGAGAAAGTATTTTACTGTACCAAACCGTTAGCACAAGGTAATTCAACGCTGTAGCCCGATCTTCCGAAAGTTCGCGAAGCTCGCGATATTTCTTTGATCGAATCACGTAAATATAAAAAGAGATATTTATATATATATATATATATATAAAAAATAATGTATATATATATATATATCCAAAGAAGGCGCTTACAGTTATCGACTTGTTGAAGAGCAACCTGGACTTCCTGAGGTAGCGATTGCTGAGCTTCTGTTGAAAGCATAAATGTTTCGGGCTTTTGGTTCACAAGTTGATGCTGGCTGTACATTAGGTGGGCCATGGCTGCGATAGTCGCGCTATGAAGCGACCGGCACTTTATTGATTGGGAGAAAAGGGCGAATGGGGGTTAAGCGAATTCTGCGTGCAGAACTGTCGTGGGGTCGCTGTGTGCTAGGAGGTGACCAGCAAATAAGGTGGGTTTAGGGCAATGTTAAACGTTCTCAGAATGATCTTCTCAAGCCGCGGTTGCGCGTGTATGATTCCTTTTTAGAAATGGAAAGGACACAGATTGTAGGTGGGGGACAGAGCGAGAGTGAGGAAGGATTTGAATGAACGATGGGGTTGAGGGTCCTGCCTCTGTAGTCCTGCGTAAAGAAAGGCCAGTCTTTAGACGCGTGAACGTTGAAATAAAAAAATAAAAAACAAAGAAAGCGTATGAAGCACAGGAACTTCAAGAGCCTTTTTTGGGAAGAGGGGAAGGTAAGTAGGAGGAGGGGGGAGGTAGGGTAAGAAGAGGGAGAAGCGGCGAAGGAGAGAGAGAAGAAAATCTGGGACGACGAGGGGGAAGAGAGGGGAGAACGGGGGAGAAGGGAGATGATGCACGGTGTATATGAAGGGATGTTTGTGGTGGGAAGGGGGTGGAGGGCGCCTAAGGGGGGGGGACTGAGTGGAGTGCGCCCTGGTTCACTTTTTTTACTGTGGAGGGGCGTTGGACCTTGAGGGGGAAGAGAGAGAGGCGAGCAACTTGCAGTGAGGGCGGGAAAGCAAGCGGGCTGCTGGCTGACTTGGGAAAAACGGGTGGATGGATATGGATATGGGTTGAGAATTTCGATATGGATGTGGATATGGATACGGAGGTGATCCTCGTCTTTGGTGGATCTGGATGCTGGTCAAAAATGGGAGCCCTGCCTCTAGGTACGAGGAGGTTTTTTTAACAACCCTCTGCAGTTGTTGTCGTTGGTTGGCGGGTGGAGCTGGACCTGCTTGTTCATGGATTCGTGGATGATTTCTGTGTGTTTCTCCTTTCTCCACTCTTCCTCTGCTTCTATTTCTTCTTTCTCCCCCACAGTGACTTTGGTTGGGTCTCTCGTCTGGGGTTGGTTATCTTGGTTGTAGTAGATATTCCCACTCTGTAATTAATCCTAACATTCAAATACCCGAGTTGTCCTCTATGGCCTCTTCCCTGAGTCTCTATTCCCAAGGTATATCTCTCGCGCTTCCTCCACTGCTCTGGTCTAGGTTTATTATCTTGCCCTCACTGGATCAGAGCACCGTTTTGTGTGATCCCGGACAATGGCCACTTGATCCCTTCCCCGCCCAAGGAAACGAGAAATGCAAGTGGGGGTGTATCAGAAAAGGGGTATTCCCAGTATACATTGTTCTTTGCCCAACGGTCACGGTTCTTTGGTGCTTGCTTGCTACCTCTTTCCATCTCTACCTCTTCTCTATTATATTATTAACCCCCCGTCGACATACCCACCTACCCACCTACCCTCCTCTCTCCTTCTACTACTCCTCTTTTGCCTCTCTGCCTTCTCCAAAAAAGTCTGCCGCTGCTTCCTGGCTGTGCCTTGTCCGATGGAGATGCCTGTTCCTGTTCAACGCACAGTAATGCCTGTCCTGGCTGCTGATTCGGTACCTACTTTTTCGAAACCTGAAACACGCGCTTGCGACCCCTCGACATCACCCACCCAATTCCTATCCATCTGGACGTCCAACGTCCAGGTTGTTTTTTTTGTTTTCTTTCACTGTAATTTTCCCTTTCTTTTACCGTCCACACACTCCATCCCTCCGCTGCAATGCAAAATACGTAGAGAATGAACAGTGGCCACTCAGCGCATTCGGAGCTTTTGTAATCCAATACACGAGACCGGGCTGTGAATGACAAAAATTATTCTCGTAAAGAGGCCCTATTGGAACCAATTAGAACATCGACGTGTGACCGCCTGAGCGTAATCTCGTGGATGTGTTGTCTTGGTTCGGCTTTTTTTACTTACCCCCTTGGGACTCTCCATTTTGATTGGTCAACCGGACGATTCTTACTAACGAACGAATACGCGAACGACAAACGTCCGGGCCTAAACTCGGTGGCTTGCAGGAAGTGGAAATAGGCACTAAACCTGTTCCTGACGTCGCTCCATCGACTGTTGTCTCTCCATCATTTCGCGTGAGGCTAATCTCCCCAAGAACAACGACAGAAGCTGTCGGATGATGGCTCAACACCAGCAGTAACTCTTTCTTGATTCTTGCGCAGCTTTAGCAACGTTGAAAGCGCCAACGATTTATATAAAGTAAAAATCCCAATTTTTTATTTTTATAAACAAGTCAACTGCACGAGGATATTTAGAGTGAGCACACAGATTATTTAATTGCCACCTGGCGGTTGAGAAATTGAGAGTGAGTAGGTTCCTCTTTTTCTTAAGACCTTGTTCATTCCAATCAATGGCCCAATGAACCTCATGGACTAATTGGGATCAAAACGTCGTGATGCTTGAACTCATACCTGTAAAGGGACTGTACAGACCAAAGAGCAGGAGCGCTTTGTCCGGATTACTCCATGCCTATAAACGTTTATGTTCAGGCTTATGGTTTGGAAAGCTTACAGAACCAACTGACCTGAACCGGTTAGAGAAGGAATACATATTTGGACCCGCTCAGTGAGGCACATAGGTACTCCATGTATCTAGGTACAAACGCCTGGTATAACGCAAGATAATTCTCCGAACGGCAGCCTCTCGGAGTTTTTCCGGTTCTGTTCGTTTCGAATTGTCTTGCTGTCCCTGTAACTCCTGTTCCTGAAATCCTGCTGCCGCCATGCCCAGTTTACGGTGTTTCCCGATAGTTAGCAACAGCGGCACATTGGCCAACAGCTATTTCGTACGAGCAGAGGAATTTCTTTGAGTTGTTTGGAGAGTATACTATTTCTAATCCGCCTAGCGGTGAATCGTGATCCTCTTCGCCGATATTATTATTATCAGCCAACCGTCGATCTCCCAGCATAATTTAACAATACTCGGGTCACCAGGGGTTTAGACGCGTACCAAAAAGGAACTATTTAGGCACCTTAACAATAATAGCCAGCCAACCAGCTGAAGATTATTCTGGACCCCAATAATAAGTAATGGGCGCCAAAAAGTCACTAATCCGGCGAAAATGAATCGTCATAAATAAGACATAGATATGCCCATAAATAAAATAAAACCGAATATTCTGACCCATATGTCAGGATATGTTGCTGCTATTAATTATTTTTCTTTGTTCCCTGAACTTGACTATCAGGCTAGCCATCTAGTTCCTTCCTAGGATTACATGTATTCATCCCCTTTTTGGACGTAAATAATAAGATACTTCCTTTCACGGTACTATCGATCCTCAAACTCTGTTTTCCCTTTTTCAACTCCGTGTGCTGTGTTTCAGAATTAGAATCCCATGCCTAAGTACTGGTTGTGAAGCAATCGAACAGGGGATCTGCCTTCCACGACATATGGACCACCACCACCAAATGTCTAGCGATGTTATCCAGAGCTTCGATGGTAGTCATTCATTAGTCAGTATTCTCGATGATGAACACTTCGCCCCTTTTCGCAGTGAGCATCTAATTTCTTATACTCTCCCTTGTCCCCTTAAGTGGAGCTACCCCACGTACATTACATATGCAGCCCTCTTCTGCAGCATGGATCGTTTTCCCGTCATCACAATACCAACGGCGATGTAGACGAAACTGGATGATTTGTGCGAGCCCACTCTTCGTGTCCCCATCCGCTGCCGTTGATGTTACTGCAAACCCTAGCCTGTTGAAAGAGGGACCTGCATATGTCACTGCGACTTCTTTTTCCGCTTCAGAGAAGACTTCCAACGTACCACTAAGAGGCGATTGTTTCCAATCCTGTAGCCGGGTAAAGGAATATTAGTTGGTCGCGATGAGAGTCAAGCGAGTGAGGCGCAGCATTGTAGGCCCTGCATCTCTTTCAAGTGGAAATCATATTGCGGAGAAACCAGTAGTGATAAACCACTCTTCGCGCACATACATATTGAACATGAACCTATTCTTTGACTTTTAGCGAGAATCGTCCAGAAGCCGAGGTATTAGAGATTGGTGATTGTGCTCTTTTGGTCTGTGCCCAATGGACGACACAAAAAAGAGCAATATTTCCGGGGGAAGTAGGCTCAAAGGCATGAGACAAAATAGACACATTGGTACCAATAGTCGTCTATTTTCATCGATTTGTAGTCCGTGTAGTTCTTGTGCTAGGCAGCACAGAAAAAAATCTAACAAAGCTGTGAGCTCAAGTTCCAGAGTTTAAGACCTCAAGTTCATACCGTGTTGGTATTTGGCTGCTTTCCAACTCCATGTGCAACATGAGAAACACGGATAAACCGACCACACCAATACATACAGCCTCGCTTGGGCCAGTGAGCTAGTCTGTCGATTCCTCATCGCGTTTCATCCATTCCATCAAGCTAATATTCGCGGTTGCATGCCTCCATCCGATGATTGGTATCGCTTAGCATCAGATATCTCAAACGAGCGTTTCAACCAAGAACCTGGGGATCCTGTCAAGCACGTCAATCACCCTAACCTTAAATCCTTCAATCGCCTAGCGGTTCCAGAAGACGGTTATAAACTTGAGACAGCCGGTGATTCGAAAACGCAGACTGATAAGTGTGATAACAATAAAGGTGGGGGTTGGATAGAATGGTAGTATGAGGGTTAGTTGGTGACAATAGACTTCTGTACATGCATGCCTTTGTGTGGCTTTTGACTGACCTCGTGATGTATTAAGAAGGCAGGTAAAAATTCAGGGGGTGTCCCAAAAGTCTCCCACTCGTCTATCCAATTCAGCCTGCAGAGATCATCCTCTCAATCCGAAAATCTCACGGGGCTTACTAGTAGCTTGTTTCTCCATTCCAAATCCATATCCATTGGATCAAGATTATATCTCTTACAAGTCGATATTTTTAGTACTGCGGGTGAGCATATTATTGACTGGTGCAATCAATAGAGTGTTATCCTAAGCCCAATCGAGTCCTTTGGCTATCGACTTTCCAATAATTTATTACTGTTCGCTTCCCGAATCACTATGGCTGTTGATGTAGTGCCATTGAGCTTTCCAAACATGTGGGTTAGAACAGTTTGCGTGGGTGCATTGCGGCTCGTCCTGCTTGATACTTCAATTAATTGTACACCCTCGTATTCGTCATTGTTGACTACTGATCTTCCACCATTTCTTGTAGGATTGGAACCATTGGTCAAACTCATTCTCGATGAGTTTCCAAACTATCATCCCTGTCTATAGTTCTCTCGAACAAGCTAGAAAGCTATATGTCGAGTGATATCAACTATGAAACAAGTGCATCTGTACCGCCGGTTTTTTCCGGGCACTTAAAACCAATCCATATGATTATTGGAGATTTTCTGGAAAGACTTCAAACAGAGAGGATTTATTCGGCGCGTTTTCTTAGGGAATGAAACCGGAAGCACAACCGCGCGGAGTAAAATCTAGATTATCGTAATTATGCATTGCCGCCACCACGATCAACTGGCGGTCAGAGGCCGGGGTAACGCCTTGAAACCGTTAAAGTTTGGCAGCAAAGCTTGGTTATGCACTGATATCCTGGGAAGAACGCTAGTCATCATAACGGCCGTGCTTAACATCCGCGGCAGATGTGCATTGAAGTTGTCAAAAAGGAAGCTTCGTGGATAACCGTTGAACCTGCGGCGAGTAACGATTGATCTGCACAGAACCTCAAACAGATATTGAGAACTAGTCTTCTTTAGACACAGTTATGACCTTCCAAACTGAACGATAGAAATCGAAGTAGCTACACGTGTGGCGGTTAAGTGTAAGTGTAGGTGGATCGAGCTGCTTGAAAATCCGATGCGCTCATTGAGAGTATACGTTATAAACACCGATATTTTCACTGTGTTAGAGGAAACCGCTACCAGTTTAGCAAGCTAAACACTATATATTTAGACCCTTACCCAAAATCAACGATGAAATCGGCGCGCGTGCTTATCGTTGATTTATCATCCGCCTTGTGAGTTGAGTATTAAACTGCACGTTTTTCATTGAACTTCCGTATTGATGAGACTTGGAACTAGCTATAAAAAGCTTCCAAAATTCTATAGAAATTCAAATTGAGCTTCTTTCTCTTTCCCTTGACGTATCAATTCGACCGATTATTGTAGAAGTGTTCCGTTCGATATTTATGAGTAGATGGAACCCGGGTAATGGTTACCTAAACCGCGTTTGGATAAGTTGCTGCCCTCAAAATTCCTTGATCGTCAGTTCAAACATGCCTAGTTTCTGGAAGGGGAACTCGTGAGTTGCATGATCCTTCTATAAGTACTTAAGTAAATTCGACTGCTGAAGTTCTGAGCAGAGCATCTTTATAAGCCGATATTTTTCCTGACTTTGTGTGAGTTATGTAGCTTGGATAGTGGCGAGTAGCAGTTTTGGTCTATGGAATGGAGGAGATGTGGATATAAGAGTAAAATACGTGTTCTAAAATCGGAATTTAAAGAACTGACGTTGAAATTTCACTTAGATGGCGTTGGTAGTCAGTGTTTGCTTGACGTCACGGTACAGGAGTGGTGCAACTCGGCACCCTTCGTCGAATCCCCGGCTTGGCAAACGACAGGACGACATCTCATGCCCTAAGTGGACACAACACGATTAAGCTTTTGACTTTGGTGACGACGCCGGTCCCCAAAGTCAGACTAAATTGACCGACTTCACACAGGTCGCAGGATTTTACAATTGAAGACCTCCACGCCTGGCGCCGATAAAATTTCCCCACGCAAGAACATTAAACCCATTGTGGTGGATACAGCAGGATTTTATCATACGTGTCTCTGTATCTTTACGTTTTTGGTACCACACGATAGTTCAATTTTGAAGAGGCATCTCCAACAAAATTCATTTGCAGCGCGCGATGCTTGGCATGCGTTATACCTAGGGGACCGGCAAGCATGCCGATTCTATAAATTTCAGTCATCATATCTCTAATTTCTGTCCCGGTCTGTAGAGAGTCATGACATTCTGTCTTTGTAGGATGGTTACACGCTATGAGTTGAGACCTTTATTGAGGGCCCGAAAGGGTAAGTAATATCCTATTGAGAGCCCGTTGCAGCATAACGCAGCATCACAACCAAACATATTCCTTTGAATAGCATTTTCAGTTCTTTCAGTGCGACTTCAGGCAATATCTAATTGGTCTACAATAGTTGAGATTCATTTCTGGATATTATTTGAGGCGTAGATCGTTTAATGTTATACCACCATGGCCAATCCCACCCAGTGCCAGTAACAAACCACTATACTATAAACTACACTTGCACCACGCTTTGTCTAACAATATGCTGTAAATAGAGAATGCAAGCTTCCACACATACACTTTTAAGTATACAGCAATTAGAATGGCATGAGAGAATGCTTGGTGCCGTTGGCCTCTACTGATCATCCGAGAGTTTCGGATTCCCTTTACAACTCGCCATGTTTGAATCACATGAGTATGAGACTTGTATATTTCTGAAGAGAAATCCAGTGTTCTTACAAGGCCTCTACTCATAAACCATCGTCCTCTCGATATCTCGTGTGCAGGATATATTGCCCTTTCCCGCATGTTAATCAGCCTATACCGTATACCTCCAAACACCTATTCTTCAATATCTACGCCGTACAACCACATACCTTAGGAATATCTCCCGGTCGGACGCCGCAGGGAGGAGATGTCAGTCAAAATATTCTTCCTGATCGTCTGCTTTATAGCGATCATCCTTACACCAATACCTCTTACATGGCACATAAAACTCAGAAACGTTCCTGCAGTCTGTCTGATATGCTGGATTACCATCTTCAATATGATAAGCTTCGTAAACGCACTCATATGGGGTGGCTCCGAAGATGAATTCGAAACCGCCTGGAATGGAGCCGTTTTCTGTGATATCGAGATCAAGTTCATCATTGCCGCCTCAGCAGGAATGATGACAGCCACAGCAGCGATTTCACGCAACCTGGCCAGAGTCATGGAGCAAGTTGGTCCTGCACACAAGACCAAGGCAATGCGGAGGAGCGAGTTGATCCAGGATTTACTCATCTGCTTTGGGCCGCCGATTTGGTTGATGTCTGCCCACTACATCGTGCAACCTAATCGATACTACATCGTTCGTTACGTTGGATGTACGCCGAGCGTGGATAATTCCTGGCCAACTATACCGCTGATCTACATATGGCCTCCGATAATTGGTTTTGTGGCGGCATACTACGCAGGTAGTACCCCGATCCTCTTCCTGTTTTTCTTCTTTCTTTCTCGCTCACTCTCGATCCCATGAGTCCACTAACAATTGCCAGGCCGCGTCATTTATCTTCTCCGCAAGTACCAGAGACAGTATTCAGAGAATGTCAATAGCACTCTCTCCGACTCGACAAAGTCACGATTCATGCGTCTTTTCGTAATCAGTACTTTCATGGTTAGCGTCAACTTTCCAATCGTCCTCTACATCTTCTACCACAACCTACAGTATCCAATGGTGCCCTATTCATGGAAACTCGTACACAGTACATTTGGGTGGGACTATGTCCCTTATGTAAAAGGCACATCTATCCAATTTGATCATTGGATCCCTGTTCTTGCTGGGATCGTGTGCTTCATCTTCTTTGGAACGGGGCGGGAGGCATCACAAATATGCAAGGAATGGTTCGAGTTTTTCGGGCTCGGGGCGCAGTTTACAATCCTGGAGAAAATGGCGCCGAAGAAGGCTGAAGGCAGTTCTTCCATGAGCAGTTGGATTTCAGGGAAGATGTTTTCTTCCACCTCGTGAGTGCTCTCCTGGCCACTCTACCCCTTCCTTACGTACTGACTACCTACATCTTTCCAGATCGAGAGTCACAAACTCAACCACCGACAGCAACGCCTCGAGAAACCACGATTCTTTTGGTTATCCTGAGATGACCTCCGTTGCCACGGCTGAACCTACCCAGATTGGGTCTACAGCCTCTGTTGGCATCGTGAAGAGACACAACCAGGAAGGAATATGGGTCGAGAGGGGTCTAAATGTGGCTATTGAGGACGATGGGAGGATTGTTTAAGGTATAGTTCTTGGACATAAATCGCCGTCTTCGCGCCAAAACACACGCCAAAATGGGAAACCTCCCTAACCTTCAATTCTTTATCAATTACCACAGAACCTTCAGGATAGGGAGATACACTATAGAATGAGATATATTTCAAAGCGTAAGTTTGTTCAACAAATGTGTGGGAAGTTATGTAGCTTTGACGCAGTCTTGGTGCATTTCCTGAAAATAACCGAACAAAATTCTCTGCCATCAATTCTACAATGAATATTTTTGAAATTCAAGACTGTCAAGTGATTCTCCTAATAATTAAGCTATATTAAACTAATTGGTACAAGTTATATCTTAAAATGTTAGACTGGGATTACGTTTTTCTTATTGATAGGGATAGTGCACGTGCTTGGGTTCCAATGTTGGTTCTTCTATACAGGGCTTTCGAAGGTGTGGATAATATAATACAGTGGAGTACAAGTATTCTATCTAGAGGTATTTAGTTTACAATATGCAACTCGTATCGTGGAAACTGAAGGGCACTAAGGGGTAGGTGTTACAATGATCATGGATAAATGTAATTTCTTGCAACCTTGTAACAGGTATACCGAACCAAACTGAATACAATCACAAGCTAATGATCTTAAGCGTACATACTAATTGGCTAAATTCTTAACACATCCCAAAACTCAACAGTACTACAGATACTTTTTCAAAGTTCTCAGATATTAACGGGCCTAGTACTCTCGCCCCGGACTTAAAGACCAGCTTTTGGATAATTGTGTATAGGCAGGCACTCGAATACTCTGGTAAAAGTGTTAGTAACGTGGTGGCAGCTTAATTTCTCCTCTATGCAATACATAGGGGGGAGAAAGTAACGGTCCAGAACCACAAGTACAAGCAATAATATCTTTTTTTGGAAAAGAAGTTCTTAATAGCGTTGTTTAAGATAATTGTAAATTTTCTTGTACTTTGTGGTTTAGACCCGGCACTTCTGCCTTTCGAAAAACAAGTTATTATTTGGCTGTCACTATTATTGGAGAGACCCAACTAACTCAAAAATGACTTCAAATGAAAACAGTAGTACTCTACAATAAAAGACGGACGCGCCTGGAAGCCTCTTACTAGTAGGTCACTCATTTTGACCCCATATTTATGCAATATTTGTTTTAGTTTTTATTATAGTTTGCCCAGTTTTTGATCCATGGTATGTTTGAGTACACTGATTTCTTAGTGTACGAATATCAAATCAAAAACTCAATTGCTCTTGGCACAATAATAAAAAGTCAAATCCACACCAAACCAAACTAAAATCTCTCTCTACCTTTACTTCGTATACTTCCTACGCATCTTTTAACTTCTGTCCTACGAGCGGCGAGCCCAAAAACCCCACTACCCCCGCGCAGAAACCGATGTAACAAACAAACAAACAACAAACAATCCCAGAAACTGCGGATAATACGTAGTGCGTCGCCATAAGCTTCGGGTTACATGCGAGTACAGTCGACTCTCGATATATATAAGGATACGGTCGGAACCGAAAATCTATGTCCTTATAAGGCGAGTATCACTCTCTCACTTCCTCACTCTCTCCTCTCCTGAGGCTCTGGCGATCTTTCTGCTTTCTTCACCCTCCATTTCATATGGCACTGGACAGGATTTCTTTATCCTCCACTCTTTTTTTGCCGACTCTAGCTACCATATTCGTTACACACACTTTCTCTGTCCGTACCCTCCGGCCCACGGTAGATGATCTTCAGGGTCTTGTGGAGGTGGGCTCCCTTCCAACAATCACGGAAAATGTTCCTAGAAACATGTACAATTCGGAGAAAATCTGTGTCCTTATAAGGCGAGTATCACTATCAGCAGTAAGGAGGGACAGGCAATTGCTATTCTTATAACTAAATTATCATTATATGCACTATCACTATAACGGGAGTCGATTATAGGACGGATTGTTATTATAATTATTAGCCTAAAAACCGGCGATGTATGCGAGTGATAATCCGTGACGAAGCCCCCCACAACCCTTCCTACGGGTTTTACTTCAATCACCTGCGGCTACCCATCAATTCAAGATTTCTAAGGAATTGCGATGCCGGATTAATTCCGCTTCTTGTCTTATTCAAGAGATTTCATGAAAGAAAAACAATCCTCCGAATCCGGGTCAAGCAGTGACTAGCACAACCCAGACCCGAACCCAAGCCCGGGCCCGCTCCGCAGACCGTCCCGCGGCCGCAGCCCGCTGGACACAAACACTCGCAAGCGCAAGACCACCGCACCACTGAACCGGAAAAGTCCCGACCGCGGCCGGATATTCCCCCTCCCGGAGCATGTAACCGAGTGATATCTCATGACCAAAACACCAATCCACCACAGCAAACATCTCAACATCCCCAACCCGCCCAGATAGCCGCCCCAGTTCCAGACCCATCCAACACCCACATCCATAACCACCACAACTACAACAATAACAAAAACAACTCGTGCTCTTGTTTGTTCACTGATGTTGATTACACTCCCAACCCCACACCCCGTCCACTGGGACCGGGACTGGACAACACTCCGGTCCGGTCCGGCCTGGACAATGCAATGATATATCTCCGGTCCGGCTTAGAAACAGAAACAACAAAAATAAAATAAAAAACAGTGACGACGATGCTCCGGTGTGGGAAACACTACACTCGGATGTATTTCCCAAAGCGGGATAACACAGTGTTTCTCAATTGGGAATTCTACCCCACCAGCTGAACTGAACGGACGGACAATACCTCAACCCATCAATCATGCAAAGCTACATAACTAAACTACTCAGGCTACTCAACTAGAGTACACAATCGATTCAATCGGGACCGGCATAGCACAACAAGCAAGTTCGAAATAAATTCCTTAGTTTTTTTTCCCAACCACAGCAATCTACTAATAGAGTAAGAGCGATGAGAGGAGGTTTTGGGGGGGGGGGGGGGGGGGGGGGGGGTGATGGTGAAAGAAATACTGTACATAATGGGCTATCGAAAAAGAAAGCAGAGAGAAGTGGTGAAGAAAAAAAAGAAGGAAAAGCTCACGCGTCCCATGGACATCGTCGGCGGCCCCAACTACACAGCTCTAACTGGCTACTTAGTAGGTAGTAGTCTACTCCTCCGCCTCCTCGGTGGTACGCTCCTTTGGTCGCTTGAGGGCCGTGATGGAGCCTACACATACATCGTTAGTTTCCCCGGCCAGCCTCTAGATCTCCGATGCAGGTTTGTGTGGGGGGGGGGGGCATACGCTGGTAGATATTGTGATCCGTAAACCTCTTCCCATCCTCAAGCTCGCGAACAGACAAGTTAATATCGCCCTCAAAGAAAACCTGAGTTCTATCCCCCACAAAAAGCAATCCCAATTAGCCCACTATCCCTCGATTCAATTCAATCCGATTCAATTCAAGCCACTCACCCCTTCGGCATAGATGCCAAATATTCCTTCCCTCCGCGGCCCTCCAGATCGAAATTCGCAACCTTGAACCACGATACGGGCTTTCCGGGGTACTTGGACACGCCGATAACGTAGCGCATGACCTCTCTGCCGTCAGGCAGCTGCGCAATCTCGGGATCGGAGCCGAGGAAGCCGACGAGCGTGATGCGGGCAATGTCTACGCGCGCCTGGGACGTTGAGAGTGTGCGGCGCGCAGCAGCGGCCGCGGTGAAGGTGAAGGTGTTGGTGCGGAGGAGGGAGAGCATTGTCAATGCAGATGCAGATGCAGATGCGGATGTGGGTGGTTTGGTTGGTTGGGGGGAGGGGTGGTTGTGGGAGGGTGGAGGGGTTTGGTGGGGTTGTGGTTGCGGTTGAGTGAGGTTGGTTTGTGGGCGGAGGAAAAAAATGGATAGTGCTACTGTTGCCAGGATGGGGTGGGAGGGGCTTGGCTGGATGCGGGAAGGATGGGAATGGGATGGATGGATGAGATCTCAGCTGTTGTTGTTGCCCTGGTGCTGCTCTTGCGTCTGCTTCGGGGATGGCAGCCAGATACTCTAGAGTAGATCGGCATGCCGATAATCTACCCCATATCGATATACTCTACACCATATTCTAACATAAATGTAAATACCTCCTACATCATGTACACACTTCTAAATAAGTACACAGTATCGATAATTTGTCTTGCATGCTACTCTATGATCAATGCCCGGACGAATCAATGCACGCTGAGAAACGAGTGTCCCAGAAACCAGAGATCTGGCGCTGCACTCCCCATAACCGCCGTCTCCGTTCTGTATGTAGAGTATATATCCAGATCATCAAACCGGCATCTGCAGTATTGTTACAGTTGTAAGTCATGTAGGAAGTAGGTATATACAATCCAACAATAAACATTTCATGCGACGGGCACAACACCCATCCACCCACACTTGCACCCAACCCAACGCATCCAATGATCCAGAACCAGAATCTCAAAAAAAAACCTATCCATGGCTGCGCTCGCTGCACTGGCTGAACGGACGAGCGAACGAGCGAGCGACGGCTGCAAGAAACATGTTTACACATCCACCGCATCAACGTTTCACCATCCACGCCGACCGACCGACCGACAGAGAGACCGATCCGCTTCGAGCAGGTGTATCCAAACCAACCACTCAACCCACTCGCTGCACTGTACCAATCGGTAGACATTTTCGCTGAGACACTGTTACTCTAGTTAGAGTTTTCGATTATTCCCCTCTCCCGAGCCATTCGACGCAGGGCAGCGCAGAGCTAAAGGTTAAAAAAAAATAAAAAAAATATACGATGGAACGCGCGCGCCGGCAAGGCTTTCTTTCTTTATGCAAGGGATAGTCCCTCCCCCATTGAAGAAGCTTCGCGGCGCCATGGGGATCCTCCTGAGACACATTTTCAGCCCATAGCAGGATCCGGACGTGAGAGCAGGTGCGGTGATAGGACATGCTGTTGGGGCAGTTATGTAGGGTACTTACACCTGCATAAATGGGGTACCTTATGTATGTGCTTTTCAGCGCTCGTATATCAAGACAGATCAGTTTTTGCCGTAAGGGCAGAGTAGGTAGAGTGCTCTAGAGTAGAGTGGTGCGCGCCGCGCCGGAGATGATACATAACTCATCTTCATGCAGTGTCACTCGATTCCTGTTGGCCGGACGGACGCGCACTCGGCTCGGCCGGGTCACGTCAACAGCAAGGACATGTGCTCCATAGGTAGGTCGCCGTCTGGAGGAGGTGTACCGGGTGCTCTGCTCTCGTAGAGTAAAGTACAGTCGCACCTCGCTATGTCGTTAGCGCGTTCGAGGAGCTCAGTCCGTACGAGATAGCAAATATACGAGACAGCAAATAATAATTCCCAAGCTGACAGGGGTATGGAATCAAAAAATCTTCATTTTTGGATGGAATTTCATGCTAAATCTATCTAAATAACTAGAATTCGAACAGGTACCAAATTAGAGATAGATACAAGTATCAGTTGTTAAAATATCCTGAAATTCATATAAAGGTTATTGAGAGGTTTAACTCCTATAAATGAGAGATGGAGCGATCCTCTGAGCCTACTCTGAGCCTATGTACAGAGCAGTGCAGAATCCTCCTTAAGCTCACTTCTCTATTAGAATAGCTGCTCCCTCAACCCCCGCTATAACTGCTTCCAAGACCTAAAAATCCGAGATAGCAAATATTATTTGTATGGAGACAGGGGATATCTGTTCTCAATTTTCCGTACGATCCGAAAAGTGCCAAAATACGAGATAGCAAATAGGTTTTGGTGTGGAAAACAAGTAGCAGGCCAATTCGTACGAGACAGCAAGAGATCCGGGACATCGAGATACGACATAGCGAGGTGCGACTGTACCTACATACTCAGGTACGAGGGTTAGAACGAGAACATGCAATGAGGTTATTTGTATGGCAGAGCGGCGCCACTCCATACAAATAATCCCTGTCTCTTCACTTGCATGTTCTGGTTCTTATTGCTACACCCGAGTACTCGCAGCAGGTAACAAGTACCCGAAAATGCACGTCCTAATCTGCAATTTCCATTGGAGTAGAAGTCAAAAATACACCAAAAACTTGCAGCTGCATATTCGGGTACTTCATGCCTGTCGCGAGTAGAGTATCTGCACCTCAACTCAATCTGTGTATGCAGGTAGGCAGGCTAGCAGATAGGCTGGCCGGCTGGCTTAGACAGAGCTACTGAGCTAGATAGAGTATGTACCAAAGACCCGTCTCCCCTCGCGCTGAAGGGCAGTCTAGAAGAAAATAACACAGGTACCGAAGAAAGAAAGTAGCAGCGCAGGTGTACATACACCGGCGCCGGGTAGGGCGCTGAAACAGTACTCTAGAGCAGGTACATTATGTATCGGGGCAGGCAAGAAGAACCTGAAAATGACTTTTTATGGTAACGACCTCTGATTCGCGGCTGGCGAAAAGCTACACCAAATTGAGCCCCTGCTTGCAGCTTGCATTTTCAGGTTCTTATTGCCTGCCCCGAGTACCTAGGTACACGAGTCAACTGTGCTCTACTGTATCACGACGACGACGACCACGACTGTCCTCGTGTGTAACCTACATCGATAGCCATCACCACAGTCGATCTAGTTAGACGCGTTTTTTTTTTGTCAATTTGTCGATGTTCAAACAAGTTGGTCCCCGGGCCTTCCGGAGGGTTTTCGCGATAGCCTAATCTTCAGACGGGGGTTATCCCCGGTTCCCTCCAATCTGGACAGCCACATGGCGATTCGCTTGTAATAAACACTAGCCAAAGGAAATTATCGAGAGACAATCATTACGCAAAGGTGTGACGCGCTTTTTTCGGCTCTTCATTCCAGGGGACAGGCACCTACAGTCATACGACTGTAGTAGCTACTCTACTTCAGACCAAGTAGAGTACTAGAGCACATACCTACTCTAGAAGAATAGAGTAATGTACGATGTCAGAGTAGATAGGTCACCGCTAGGCCTGTGGGTAAATAACATGTAGTGGTCTTGTTTTTTTTTACTTATTTGACTTTTGATCAATGCTCCGAACCCGTGGGGCCAGAAGAGCTTTTTTGGGGTGCGAGATCGTACTTCTTTTGATTCTTCAGCAGCCTCGACCTCAAAGGGCAAAAAAACGGGAAGCAGATTGATCCCCTTTGGTCTTTTGACATCGCATGCCTGCGCCTGAACGGAGCAGCACGGCAGTTGCACAGAAGGGGAGGACAACCAGCAGGTCAATCATAACTTTGTCATGAGTTGTTTCGTTTCTTTTCTCCTCCCTAGCTGTTTTCTCTCCCCCCACCTCCCTTTGACTTCAGCTGCTCCCGGCGAGGAATTTAGGTTTCGGTGCCGCTGTATGTAGATTCCCACGTAGATTAAAAAAGTAAAATAACGTAAAATACCTAGAAGTAGGAAGAGAAGATGAACAACTCACTTCCAGGCAGGCTAGAAGAGGCAGAGGCAGGCATCACCCTTGCCGGGCGGCTTTTGGTCAATCTAACGAGTGGGAAGCAGTGGAGAGTACTGGGTGAATGATCATACTTACGTACATGTAGCTACACGTAGTATTCTACCGTAGCTGACAATCAGGTACCTAGAGTATGGTATGTATGTATGTATGTATGTATGTATGTAGGTATGTGCCTGGAGCTATTAATTGTCGGCTGCAGTGATTGTTCCAGCGAGTCGAGCCCATCACCCAATTGCGTGGGTTCCTGAGTGACAGGCACAGTTACTTACTAAATGACTCTGGTGCCTGAGATTAGTAAAGCCTTGGCATTAAAAACACTTACTCCTACACTACTGCGGCCCGGATTAGGGCCCAGCGATCTCGAGCTGTGTAACATTGCGACGGGATCAAGCGAGTGGGCGAAAGGCTTCTTGAATAAAATCCTAGGCTGGCGGCGCTGGAAATCATGGTAATTTCCCCTTCCACCGGGGGGTGGAGAAAATGGCGGGGGTTGCATTGGCTTGCGTTCGTTAGTGGATGCCTCTGTTCCTGAAACTTGGTTGATTGATGATGATGGATAAGAATGTCTGTGCAGAAATCAGAGGGGAGGGTGGGTGGGTTGTAGTGGCCTTCAAGGATAGCTTGACTTGCGACGTCTGTTGGTTCGGACTGCGAGAGAGGAGGAGGATGGTGAGCTTGATGCTGCATATCATGTCGCTTCAACCTGGAACGAGGGTGAGTGAGTTCTGGGGAAGGAAGGAATGAAGGAAGGGAAGGGTGGGAGTACTAGCGTGCTCTGCTCTATTGTGGAGTGCTAATACTGTACTGCAGACTGGTTTCAGCAAGTATTACGCTTCACGATTGGGTTCCACCCATACGAGGCGGGGAACCCATTGATCAATACTGTTGGGTAGAGTTACCTTCACTACTCTAAAAGCAGATGAAAACAATGATCTGATAGGCCTTCTAAAAATTGTTTTGCCCACCCACAATCATGTAAATAATTCTGTAACCAAATAACCCTTTTATGCACCTGTGTTGCCGTTACAATTGGGTTGAAGGGGGTGATCTAGCTCTGTCTCTGTATGTAGGATCCTGGAGTGCCTGTTCCTTCCACCATTGCTTCTTTTTTTTCCCTTTCCCTTTTCTCTCTCCCTCCGCAGACTGTTGTTCATCCTGCATGATCAACCGTGGACCGGGCAGTATTCTAGGTAATTCTTCTCAGCCGTTCGTTCCTACTATTGTCACGTCACTGCATTGAAGCACAGTACCTCACACGCTTTTTTCTGCCCCATCTCGATCCATTCCCGTCACTCGACTCGCTCAACCAACCACCAATTCACCGTAATCCATTCTTTTGTTGTCTTTTTCAACTGTCTGTTTACTCCACATTACACTCATTCACTTGCCCACCCTCTTCTTCCTTTTTATTTTCTTTTACAATCCCATCTCACCGCGGAGCGAGCGTACGGCTACTTCCTGGACACATGTTTTAGTCGTCTCTCGACATTAAAGTTACCTACCTAGAGATCAACTTGATCTCCCTACCCCTCCACTCCATTTATAATATAATATTTGTCCCTTTCCCTGCAGCGTTTTATATATCCGCCGCGGCCATGCGTTTTGGCCGTCTGTTTGTCCTGTTCGCAATTGTTGCGCTATCACTCCTGGAACTCAATGGGCTCGTGTCCTCGAGGGGAGTAGGAGTCGTGCGTCGACAGGAACAGAATAGTGTTTCTGCTAGCACTTCTTCCGAGAATAACGGACCTTCTTCAACATCTTCCTCTGCCACGTCCTCGAGTACGGGCGAGAATGAGATTTCTTCAACATCTAGCAGTGTGAGGCAGACAGCTTCTGCGACAGCTTCAAATACACCTGAAGGGACAACTGTTGCGAGTAATTTTGGTTCTCCAAATAGTGCGTGCTTGGACATTTGTTTTGTTGCATTTATGAGGAGTTTAGAGAACTGACGGCATATTGTATAGTAGTAAATCCTGAAGATGAAGTCTACAAAGGTGGGCTCCCCATCAAGCCTAAAGTCACCCCAGGAATGGCTGTTGCAGGCGTTGCCCTACTGCTCACTGGAGTTCCCTATTGCCTAATTGGCATAAAGATAAAATTGTATGTTTTTCCAAAAGAGAAAAAAAAAAGAGAATATATGGTTGTGCTAACAAAGATGAAAAACATAGTCTACAAATATTCTTATCGACGTTTTTCCTATCTGGACTCGGCGTCACGGTCTTAATCGTCTACGTTATGAACCCACCAGTCGTAGACGCAATTCAGGGCGCATACGTCACTGCAGTTATTATAACAGGGATCCTAACGGGCGGCCTCGCTGTTGTTTTTCCAGAGGTTACAGAGGCACTGGGTTGTCTTCTTGGTGGTTTCTGTGTTTCCATGTGGTGTACGTCCAGTCATATCTCGCCGATAGACCCCAAGAGGTCACCGCATGAGACAAGCTAACGGGTAGTTGCTGCATGCATATAGTTCTTGTGCTCAAGCCGGGTGGGCTTGTAGACTCGATTTATGGAAAACTGGTGATTGTTGCGGTTTTTTGTTTCCTGACATTCTCGCTAGCGTTTCATCGGGTTACTAGGCCATATGCGTTGATATTTTCGCTCTCGTTCTCGGGGGCCACGGCAATCGTGTTGGGAATTGATTGCTTTTCTACGGCTGGGTTGAAAGAGTTTTGGATATATATCTGGGGTAATGCTTATTCCCAACAATAACGCGGAGGTTGGTAATGTGTTATTTGTTTGGCTAACACCTGCGTGGATAGATCTCAATGATAATATATTCCCTCTTGAGACTAACACCTACCCCCACACACGTGGTATCCGCGTTGAGATTGCCGTAATAATTCTCATAACCGCATTCGGAATTATGTCCCAGGTTAAACTCTGGAAAATCCTCAAAGAGCGCCGTGAAGCTAAAGACGCCGAGAAACGTCAACAAGTAGCCGACCTTGAAGCACTTGATGAAGATGTTGGCCGAAGAGTGGAAGAGGGTAATAGGGAGGAACGTGCCCAATGGGAAATGGTTTATGGCGGAAAATCCTCAGAGGAAGTCACTGTGAACGAGAGACCGAACACCGGTAAGATGAGTCGCACAGATTCTGGAATTGGAGACGATGATCTCAGAAAGAAGAGCGGGGAAGCCAAGAACGGAGAAACAGAGGAGTTCATAGAGACTGAGGAAATGAGAAGAGAACGAGATGAACATATGGCAATGGAGAATGGAAACCAGTCGACTGAGGTTCCAGGCCAACAAGCCGGACAAGAAGACCAGGATAGGATCATGCCCATACCGGTAGGCACGGACGAGTCCACCAACGAAGTTGCACACCATTCCGAGGAAATCAAAATGCGTAGGTCGAGTCAATCTCAGAGAGTCCCACCCCAGCCCGCGTCTCTGGCACCGGAAACACCCACCGACAGGAGAGTTCTCACACCAACACCCGAGGTCATACCCCTACCAATCCCGATACCTATAGAAGACGATGAAAAGGATGAAGACGATATCTCTTCACTTGCTACATGGGCAGGAGAGTCTAATAGGAGCGATATGCAGGAAGGTCAAATACTTGTAGACATCATCACCACACCCAGGTTTCTCAAGCGAGAGCAAGAAGAAGAGGAGGACAGAGCTTCTAGTCTGGCTGCAACTTTAGACGAAGAGGATGATGCAATGGCTTCCCAAGTAGACCTACCTAGTCTCAACGAGGCGGAAGATGTAGTATCTCCATTCTCAGCTGATGATGATACAAGTCCTACCGTCACATCAGCCAATTTCGCGACCAATCTGAATAGTCTGGAGATAACCCCAGCAACAACTCCAGATACGACCCCCAAGAGGGAAGACCCACAGTATCTTCCGCTTCTTGGGCTGAGGACCTTTGAGGGTGGCAAAGACTCGATCGTAAGTTCGTGGGATAAGGGTATATTCACAGGTGATCACTCGAAAGCGAACTCGACTCATCCGACCACACCTACTGTTACATCGCCTCCATCAGTTGCTGATACATCATTGAAGGTTCAAAAGTTTCCGGTTAACTTGGCACCTGCGTCGTCTCCTAAAGAAGATGAACCGGAATCTTCGACAGTTGGTGTTCCCCAACTACCTGCAAAGTGCTCTAGGGTTGTAAAAAACTACCGTACAAATGAATGGGCAAAGCATTTGGGCGACGCCGAAAAGCCAGATTTGGATGAGTTAGCAGAGCCAGTTCAGGATGACACCAATGATATCAAGATTGAGGTTTCGGCCCCGGTTCATATGAGAGAGCTCCAGGAGACATCTGATGTTCCATCTCTGCCAACCTCGAGAGCTCCGTCAAGGATGTCGTTGGCAGAGCAATTTGTTCCGACTTTGGAGTCGTCAAATAGCTTTCCTTCGACAACAACTCCTCCGATCGTTCGTACTCAACGTTTATCCTCCACGTCGGAGTTGCCACAGGACGAAAGGTCATACACATCTTCTCCTGCTGAGCGCTGTATCTCGCCTACTGAGCGTTGCATCTCGCCCGCCGAACGCTGCATCTCACCATCAGGTCGACAAACACCTTCGCCGCTACCGCAGCATACCCTTATAGGGAAACGAGAGAGTATGGTCCGTAGTCGCCAAAACTTTACTCCTCTTCCGGAATACCCGGAGTATGGCTCTCCCTATACAGCAGAGAACCAAGATGGTTTCAGGGTGAAAACACCAGGTCTCATAAACCATCCTTTCATGAACCAGCGTACATCCACGCCTCATCCGGCAATGCTTCCCGCTACCGACAGTGCAAATTCTCCAAGTCACCAGTACCGGGCTGCCGTTCTCAATGATGACATGTCTCTTAGAGACCGTCGCAATGAGCTCATCAATTCGGGCTCTCATAATGTGTTTAATCAAGGGCGTCGAGCTTTCTCGCCTGTACAAAAGCCAGCGGATAAGCGTGAAACAATGCTCCAGACGTGGAGGGATAATCTTAAGACCGATTCGAGCATCCCCAATAACACCATGCGCGTGGCCTCAGGAGAAAGGGGTGAGATCCCGAGTGAACGTCAACAACGTGTGTTGGCAGTGGCGGCGGAGAGGGTGAAGGAGACTATCGTTGATGATACGACTGATGAGAGGATGAGGCAGAAAGATATGCTCGAACTCCACAGGGAAGCGATGAGAAGGATGCAGGCGGGTGCTAACAAGCACATCAAAAAATGAAACAAGTGAGGTTGTTTCGTTGATTGAGAAATAAAATAATAGGGTGGTATTGTCATTTTGCTACTTTTTATATTTTTCTCTTGCTGGTGGCGTTTTTTCTTTCTTTCTTTTCTTTCGCTTGATTTGTGAGTATTTAAGCTCGGCAATCTTTTTCTGCGAAATTCTTGAAGGCAATTGCATAGGGATCTTTACGGGAGAGGAATTTTTATGTCGGTGACGGATTTCAAGTTTCTTATGTCAATATTTTTTTTTTTATAGTGGTCGTAATGCTTCTTTCCCCCACTACAACTTTGCATATCCAGCTTTCTTCTAATCTAGGGCTTTCTTTATTCAGGGGGATTTACTAAGGCGTTCAGTAAAAGGTCGTGGCCTTTTACTGAACGCCTTAGTACATACATTATACAATGCATGCTTGGCTTCAATCGCCCAATCACTCTCGTTTCTTTCATTTCATTTGGGGCTGGCTTTGATTAAATACTTCTGGTTATCAAGTCTCCATTTATTTAGGTTTTTATATAAAAGTGTGAGAATAAGAGGTCTTGTTAGTTTAAAGTTCAGAACAAAGTTATAACTAGTAGTAATAAGAGAAGTTTTGTGTGACAAGCAAATACCCTTTTAGTTTGCACTTTCAGGAAGACGCGTTGGGCTCTGGTGTGTATGCGTGACTTCAATAAAATAATTTAAAATCATTAAAAGCAGGGGAACGCAAGCTCTGGACGTAAACTTGGGACTTGACAATATTCGCTCAAAGCATGTGGTACCAAAGATTATATAAATTGGGTCTAAAGTCCTGTGAGCCTATTTCGTTGACCTTGGGTTTGTCAAACTTGAGTGGTGGTTAAACATGTCGTGTTTGCCTGGTTGTAAAGTTTCATGCCCTTGTTTATGCGCAAGCAGCAAGGCTATGAAATAAGGCTAGCGCGACGCGGGCTACCACAACTTTACGGGGATGTGTATTTAATTCGGGGCGTACATATACTGAATAATATAAGCTTCCCGCGACAGCATACTAGCGCAGTATGGGCACAGGGTTAGTCAAAATTTCAGAATGTGGCGGCGGCGGCGGCGGAGCACGGGTGCTGCAGGTGCTGTGTCACTGCCGAAAAGTTAAATCGATCGAGTGATACCTCATGAAGGAAGCGGTTTTTTTTTTTTTTGTTTAATTCATTAATTATGAAGGAAGCGTTTAATAGGAACAACGCAAAAGAGTTGACGTAGATTATGGGATTGTAGGCTTCTTTGATATATATACACAACTCTCGACGGCAATGTCAGTGTGGGTGGTTGGCTCGGAGCCAAGTAGCGCTAAGGGACAAATATTCTAATCGTGGGTTCTCACTCGGATGATGACTAAGGAAATAGTTGAAGTATCCGAGCGTTTATGGGGAACTCCATGGAGGTCCGAGTTAATACGAACATACATGTACACATTTACATGTATGGGTGAAAGTTGAGAATATTTATTTATTTAAGACAACCCACTTCGTCTTTTTACCTCAACCAAAAATCACTGTGCCATAATCATATTTGCTCTGAAAGCTTTCCCCATAAATCTCTTGTGACATTTCAAGCACCGAGGTAATTGAACTGTTGGTTGGTAGAGCATAAAATTTACTAAAGACATAGTTTGACTGTATAACCGGTAGTACTGTTTTGCACAGTTGCTTTTCGGGTGTGTTCGTGGCTTAAGTTTGGTAGACGTTTCACACGTTGGCTTTTCGTAGATACGAAACCAAGTCTTTGTCGTAGAGTGCTGCGCTACCATCAAGTATTTTTTTTAAGGAATATGTGGTTTTGGACCGCTCCATCTTCCACATTGCCTAATGCGTTGGGGTATTAGGTCGCCATCACATCACTAACACTTTGTACCTCTTCTACCTAGTCCCTAAACGCTTACTATCGCAACACACTCCTCGCGAATTCGGTCAATGAGAAGATATGTATGGAAGAAGGGTAGGCGGTAGATTTCCGTACATACATGCAATCAAGAGTAGAACTTTATTTTTAGAATAAACAAGTAAATATTCGTTCACTCCCTACTATAATTACAGCATCCTCATAACATTATTGAAAAACGTGACGAAATCAGGAAAGAAAAAGGGAAAAACACCATATTTCTCCTGTTACCAAGGAAAGTTAAGCAAGATACCCGGACAATTCAGAAGAGGCGGACAAAAGAGCAAGGAAGAAAGAAAAAGCAAAGATGGGGTGAGATCAAATATGGATATAGGAGATTGGAAACCCAAAATGAAGAACGGCTTTTATGAAACACGATGATGGGTATTTAGTCTAATAGCCGATGAAAAAAAGAAAAAAAATCCTTGGATCAAGTGTTCTTTGCAGTCAACTTGGCCCTCTTTCTATCTGCAAGTCTCTGCTCCGCTGCCGCCTTTCGTGCAGGATCCATGCTCAGTCTGGAAGAAGCACCACCACTCGTAGCCCTTCTCGTGACAACTTTTCCAACACCAGAAACCTTTCGTGTAGATGCAGGAGCTGGAGGAGACATCGGCATGTGAACAATCTTAGGCCTAGGACTCTCTTTTTGGCGGCGGTGCGAGTAGAACTCATCCACAGTATTCTCAGATGCCTTGGGAGTTTGCATAAAGCCAGAGAGATCTGGTGGTGTTGCCATGATGTCAGTGTTTTCTTTCTGAGAAATTTCATCAGAGTACGATCTTTTCTGGCGGTTTGCGAGAGCCGGAACTGGAGGCGAGTTGAAATTAAATGTTGAGGCTTCCGTAAGATGGTTCTTAGCTCTGGGAGTAAAACTAGAAACATCTGCGATAGAATCCGCGCCCGCTTTTGCCCAGCGATCGAAACTACCATCAACTGCACTGTCATCGCTTGTGTTTTCAATTCCCTTGGTCTCTGCCGGGGTCGAGGTTGACTTCAAGGATAGGCCAGGCCTAGTTTCCATCCTAGCTTCTTTGAGGGTCTCTATCTCTATTTTCGCATCCTTCAATCGTTCTTCCACCTGCGCTTTCTGAGTTCTGAGTATTGAAGCTTCTTCCTTTGCTCTTCTTAGCTCTTGCAGTGTTGACCTCTGTTTCATTTGCCATTCTCTCGCACCATCATCCTTGGCAGGGGTATCACTGAAGAGCTTTTTCTTCAACTCGTTGTTCTCCTTCTTTATGGTTTCTAGCTCTCTCTCTAACCTTGTCGCGTATTCCTTCAAGTCCTTCACCTCAAATTCTAGCTTCTCCACACTCCACCCGCTCCCAACCTTTACTCTCAATTCTGCCAACTCTGCCTTTAGTTGTCTCTCAGACTCCCTCCTGTCTTTGGCATCAGCGAGAGTCTTTTCCTTCATTTCCGCCCTCAAGTCCCTCTTGGTTTTTTCCAGAACTTCAATTTGCTGCCTTAGGCGATTTTCAGATTGTGAGCGTTTGGCTGCACCCATCTCACCTGCATCTGCCCTAAGCCGTTCTAATTCTTGTTCCATCTCCGTTTTCTCCTCTGTAGCATTCATAAAACCACGTTCCAGGCTATCGACCCTGCCCCTCAGGTTGCGTGCTTCCTGCTTCACTATGCCTAGCTCTTTGACCTCCTGCTTCGCAGCCCGAAGCTTCTTTTTCAAGTCTATTACGACCTGACCTAAATCTTCATCCTCGTGACCAGTGTACATGCTCATAGACAGTTCCGTAATCTTATTCTCCCTGTTATCAAGCATCTCCTCAAAGGCCTCCAGCCTTTCCTTATATCTTTGGATAACGTTCTCCATGTGCGCCTTCTCGGCCATGTCGGAGGCGATTTGTGCCTCTTTCTCTTCTATGGTATTCATGGCCTCCTCAAGTGCATGACTATGACCGGTAGCCCTAGAAGAAGTGGTTCCGCTGGAGGCATAATTACCTGCAGTGCTGCCAGATTGTGCACTAATTCGTTTAAGCTCTGCTTTCAACCTTTTGTTCTTCTCCATGACCTCTCGCATTTTTTCGGCGAGATCAACACAAAGTTCATCCTTCTTCTTGGCGTACCCAGTAGCGATCTTGCAACGGGCTTTAAGTTTGTCGACCTTCTCCAAGGCAGCAGCTTCGACTTTCTGTGTACGCTCTTTCCAAAATTGCGCAGAACTGGACCGAGGACCACCCATATCAGTGTTGATATTTTTATTAACTTCGTGCATCGATGTTTCCATTTGTAATTGCTGGGCGGCTCTCTCATCATCTGAGTCTTCTAGGTAGTCTGCGATACGACTATCCTCTCCGACCTCGTAATAGCCGGTTGGATTTGAGGCAGTGGATCTCTCCGGCTTCTTGCCTTTTGATTTTCCCTTATCCAGATTCAATGGCCCCTCTTCAAATGTAAGAGTGCGAGTCGGGCTTTCAGGCCCAGGAATAGACATAGATCGTCTGTGCTGCGGAGTGTTTTTTTTAATCCAAGGGCTTGGAAACTTCCCCGGGAATTCTTCCGGAAGTCCAGACCGGATATAATTCTTCGGTGGAGGTGTGGTTTCGCCAATTGAAGGATGAAAAGACACGGCCTTCTTCCTTGCCAATGCAGTACCCGGGGTCATCAAAATGCCCTTCGAGGGTGAGGAAGGCTGAGCAGGAGTGGGCACATCAAATATTGGCGGGAGGTGTGTGTTTGATGACGACGATGGGTCAAAGAGATTGAGTTTCGGGGAGATTCTGAATGGAATTGGATCCAGGCCCTTAGAATTCCTCAAAGGCCTGGTTGATGCAAAGATACCCTTTTGCTCAGCAGGCGATGGTTCCTTCTTTTTTTCCCGTTCCTCCTTTGCTGCAGTTACATTTCTTTTGGACCTTGGCGATGCCTTTTTCCTTCGGGCAGGACGCTCTCGAGGCTTTGGTGGGGCTGGTGTACCCCATACTACCGTTCGGATTGCCTTCAAGGCAAACATGGGCGCTGGAGTTTGCTGCGGTTGTATGTCATCGATAGTAACATCTGCGCGGCCTGTCAGGATTTATTCTTCGCCTCCAGAAAGTCATGGCAAAGGACAAATGGTTACGACCTTCATCGTCTTCTGAAGACATGTCTGTATAGGCATCCTCGTCCTGCGGGGTACCCGAGTTTCTGCTTCGGAGGTCTTGGTGGTTGGTAGAACCGAACATGTTCGCGTCGTGTGAAGCAGAGGCAGCTGGACCGCCTTTGAGCCAACTGAGCATGGTAGTAATTGCGAATGGGTCCTAGATGTAGCCAGACAGGGGAAAATTGCTGGATGTTGTGTATTGAATTCCACTACCTTTGTGAATGTAATGGAATTGTTTGAGTGACTACCAATTATTACTAGGATGGAGTCTCCGGGAATGTGGGCAGGTATGTGGTGGGGGTGGCAGCGGGTCGGGCAAAACTAGGGGGTGCTAGTGTCACAGGAACGCACTGCCGTGCCTGTGTATGCGTGTTGGTGTTTATGGGAGAAGCAGAAAAGAAGGAACAAAGAAAAAAAGAGCCCCGGTACATATGGGTACAACATGTATAAAGCTCATCCGGACGCGAACGCGTTGCTATAACAACGCGATGAGATTACATACGATCATGCAGGGTCAGCTGATGGTCACCCGAAACTGAGGTTGGAGGTGGGCATCCAAAGTGACGGGTCACTCACCCAACGGTTTAAGGTGTCATAGAGTAGCTACATGATGATAAAATCACCTAGCCCCTCCCCCGTTTCCTGCATGGAGCAGAGTCGAGCACTTGTTTGCCTGAGTCTTGGCAACAAACTAACCTTTCCCTATCATAGGATCAACAACTCACTACCCGGCTAGCCAGCGTTTCGTATCGCATTGCATATAAATCTCTCTCACCCCTCTTACAATAAACATCAATCCCCAGATACAACACAAAAACAATACCCGCCCCTTTTCAATAACGTCCATGGCTTCTCGCTGCTTCTAGAGCCCACGGCTTAGAAGCTATTGTGATATCTCAGAAGAGGAAGAAAAATCCTCCTACCTACCCATCTCACCTTCGCCTCTCTTGAATGATACGTACCTCCCCGATCGATCGAATAAAAAGAACATAACCATCCCCCACCAATCAAGGAGAGAGGAAGAAAGCTAGAAGCAAAAGAGAAAAGTATAACAATAACTGTGTGAGAATATTAACTCCCCTCCTTCCGGGATTTTATCCAGAACTATATCGCAGCATGCCGGCTCAAAACAAAATACCACGAACTCCACAAACAAACAAAACTAACCCTAAGAAGGCGTCTCAAAACAACGGTGGTCACAACCGTACTCCGTCCGCAGCAGCGACACCACTGGGAAACAATACCGCAAAACGGAGCTCTGTGAATATCCCCAGACCGCAGCTTCAATCGATGGCACCTACTGCTACCCCCGCTGCCGCTGCTGGCCTTGGCTATGATAAGATCCAGCGGGATGAGGTGGAGGCGCTTAAGGCAATCTTCGGGGATGACTATGAGCACGTAGAGACGGCGAGTGCTTGGAATGTGAGCCAGCCAGAATTTTGCTTTGAAATAAATATATCAATCTAATACGACATTTCTGTACACGATATAGATATCCAATATCTCCTTTAAAATCCGCATAAAGGCTCCATCAGATAAAGAAGTTTCCTGTGTACTCTCTGCTACCTTGACCGCTACTTATCCAAAGACTGGTGAGTAATGTTACTGTACAATCAAATACAGTAGGGCCTTACATGCTTACAATATACATTAGCCCCAAATTTACGCCTGACTGAGTATAAATCTATCCGCCCATACCAGCTTGGGACGCTCGAGTCAATCATCAAGGAGACCCCAAAAACATTACTCGGCGAAGAAATGATACATGCTATTGCCGTAGCAATTGAGGATGCACTTGAGGATATCGTTAGATCAAGAATAGCATCTCAAGAGAAACCTTCTCTAGATGAAGAGCGGACGCAAAAAGCAAAAGCAGCACAGCTACAGGCCCAGCAAGAAGAGGAAAGGAAACGAAAATTGAAGGAAAAGGAAGAATTAGAAAAGCAACGCCAACTCGAAAGACAGATTGCCGAGGAGCTCAGACGACAGAGGGAACAAGCTCGAGAGTCCCACGAGAAACATAAGCCGTTAGATCTCGAATACGAGGATGCCGATACAACTGAGGACTATATTCTGTTCGACCGTAAGGTCGAGATCAAGCGGGGAGTTTCGGGTACTTCATATGTTTTCCGCAAAGTTTGCGGAATGGTGAAGATAGCTACAGGGCCCACCATGTCCGTATACACAGTCCGACCTGTTCTCCAATCAAGCGAAGTAAACGATCTTCCACTTGTTCTCAAAGAGGTAGACATACACGACCGCTATATAACAAGTGTAGATGGCAAGCAAGAAATCACAAAACTAGAGGTTGAGCTGGAAGCTCTGAAGTCCCTAAAACACAGTAGTGTAGTCGAACTATACGAGAGTAAAGTCTCCCGCACCACAGAACCAGAAGCAGGATGGAGGATTTCTGTCTTGATGGAATATTCAAATAGAGGAAGCCTTCACGACCTGCTGGAAACCGTGGATACTGTCAATGTTGCTACAGCCCGATCCTGGACAATTTCTCTCCTAGAAGCGCTCGACTATATTCACAATAGGAATGCAGTCCATAGAGCAGTACACGCCGGAAATATTCTACTCTTCCGTCAAAGCATTGGAAATTCAACTATCCCTAAATTCACAGATATAGGTTATACTGCGTCGCTTCTTCACATAATAGACCGTGTTGACGATGTATCCCCCACTGCATCCTCTCTATCCTCCCCCAAATCAGCATTCTGGTTTCCCCCGGAACTATCACACGAAAAGAACTCTCGCCCAAACCGTAAGACCGATATATGGAATCTTGGTGTCGTATTCCTACAAATGATTTTTGGCTTGAACATTGTCCAGAAGTACAACTCTCCTGGGGCTTTATTAGAGTCTGTCGAAGTGTCGGATTCACTCTCAGATTTTCTTCAATGTATTTTTAAGCACGACCCCAAGAAGCGTCCTACCGCATTTGAGCTCTTGCCGTCCGAGTTTCTCCGTAATGATGACCCTATTTACCCTCCAGAGGCCCCGCCTTCACCTATGACTTCGCGTGCGCGCATCTCATGGTCCAATTCTGGTTCTGGTGCCAAGAATAACGGTAAACACCGCCGTGATTCTATTAGCGGTCCCGTGGGCGGATCAAGTAGGTACGAGAACGATTTCACCGAGCTTGGAAGCCTTGGAAAAGGAGGATTTGGAAAGGTTGTGAAGGCTAGGAATAGGCTAGATGGAGGGGTCTATGCGATCAAAAAAATCACCCAAAAAAGTGGGACGATGTTGACTCACATCCTACACGAGGTGATGCTGTTAAGTCGTTTGAATCATAAATATGTTGTTCGCTACTTTACGGCATGGCTCGAGGAGGAATATCAAGGCACAGGAAAAAGCGGACGTGGGATGAAGGGCACAGAGGAAGAAGAGGAGGACAGTGAAGACGATAGTGAAGACGATAGTGAGGAAGATAGTGAGGAAGATGATGATGATAGCAATAGCCAAGCTATCAGCTTCGGGGAGAGTTCTGATGCAGCCGAAAGGCAGGGAAAGAGCAGTCGTGCTAGCGATGGCGGGGTAGAGTTTATTGCGAGTAGTACCGGTGGGTTAGATTTTATTTCCAGCGGCGGATACCCAAAAATTCAGTTTGGGTATGATGACAGTGATGAAACGGAAGAATCCGAGAGCTCGGAAGAAGGGACCCCACCGGGAGGGGATGCGAAAAGCAGTAGTGGATCCGGAACTAGGAGTCCTAAACATCGGGTTGTCCAGAGGAGGATGAGTAATGATAAGAGCAGAAGGTGCAACATTACGTTGTACATTCAGATGTCTCTCGCTGAACGCCAGGTACGTTCATAAAGCTCTTTCATATATCCTGCGGTTTGTCTAATTTCTCTCCTAGACTCTACGTGATCGTATCCGTCATGGTCTAGAGGTTGATGAGGCGTGGAGGTTACTCCGCCAAGTCCTAGAAGGACTGGCTCATATCCATGGGCTTGGGATAATCCACCGGGACCTAAAACCGGAAAATATATTCATTGATCTTGCGGGAGACCCCCAAATTGGTGACTTTGGGCTTGCTACGACTGGGCAGGTCACAAGTAAACATGGTACCGGTAATGGATCACCGGACAATATGGATTCGGAAGACTTGACGACGAATGTTGGAACAGCATTGTACACCGCGCCAGAATTGAGGGAGAAAGCTGGGAAGTATAACGAAAAGGTAGATATGTATTCCTTAGGCGTTATATTTTTCGAGATGTGCTATCCTCTCAGGACTGGCATGGAGCGCGATGCTGTGGTCCGCAAGCTACGTGAAAAAGAAATCGAGTTTCCAGCAGAATTCTGGACGGAGAAGAGATCAGTACAAGGGTTGATCATCAAATCGCTATTGAATCATGATCCTGCTGAGCGTCCATCCAGTACAGAACTTCTCAATTCAGGGAAGTTGCCACTGAAGGTTGAAGACGAGACCATCCGATTGGCGTTACAAAGTCTTTCAGATCCTGGTACACCTTATCACCAACAAGTCATGTCTGCACTTTTTTCACAAAGCACAAAGGAGTATAAAGACCATACATACGACCCGGGAAAGAGCAATCTCACTGCTCAAGACTTATTGCTTCAGAGTATGGTCAAAGAGCGCTTGCGAACGATTTTTCGACATCACGGCGCTGTCGAGACTACTCGACCATTGCTTCTTCCAAGGAGTAAGTTCTACAATCACGATGTTGTCCAGCTCCTTGATTCTAGTGGGGCATTGGTGCAGTTACCTTATGATTTTACATTGCCGCATGCACGGTCACTCGCAAGGCAGGAAGCGCCAAGTCCAAAGACATTCACTTTTGGGACAGTATATAGAGAAAACATCGCAGGCGGACAGCCGAAGAGTCATGGAGAACTAGACTTTGATATTGTCTCGTATGACTCTTTGGACTTGGCTCTTAAGGAGGCAGAGGTGTTAAAGGTGATTGACGAGATCATTGATGCGTTTCCGAGCCTAAAATCGGCACAAATGTGCTATCATATCAATCACGCAGACCTTCTCGACTTGGTAATGGATTTTTGCCGAATCAATCCTGTTCATAGACCTGTTGCTAAGGAGATATTGAGTAAACTCAATACGGGACAATGGCAATTGCCACGCATTCGGAGTGAACTCATTACATCAAAGCTGGGGATTTTACCCACAAGTCTTGATGATCTTGCGAGATTCGACTGGAGAGACGAGTCGGAAAAGGCGTTTCAACGGTTGCAAGCGCTATTCGAAGAGTCTCACTTAGGGAATAAAGCAAAGGCTGTGTTTACGCACATAAACTCTGTTATTCATTATATGAAACGCTTCGGCATCAGTCGCAAAATCTATGTCAACCCTCTTGGAACTTGGAACGACAAATTCTACCGTGGTGGGATTGTATTCCAATGCATTGTGGACTCGAAGAAACGAGATGTCTTCGCAGCAGGTGGGAGGTATGATAGTCTAATTCAGAGCCTTCGTCCGAAAATGAGAGGACTTGGAGAGGAAACCCATGCGGTGGGATTCAACCTTGGATGGGAGAAACTTACTATATCTATGTCCCGATATCAACGCTCATTTTCAAAATCTCAGAGTAAGAAAGGCGAGGATGAGAATATTGGTACCTGGGCTACTCGAAGATGCGATGTTCTCGTTGCATCCTTTGACAGCACTACACTCAGGACCCAGGGAACAGCGCTACTCCAGGAGCTGTGGTCGAATGGTATTAATGCCGAATTAGCAGGTGATGCAACTTCAAACGAAAAACTTGTGAATATGCATCGAGGCGATGGAATCTCATACATCATTATCATCAAGCAAGGCCTTGTTGGTCCTGGCGAAAGAAATCTCAAGGTTAGAAATCTCTTCAGAAAAGAGGATATAGAACTTCGCACCACAGACCTCATCACATATCTTAAGAGCGAGCTCGCGGAACGTGATCGCAAAGAACGCAGCAACCCCAATTCTCGTCTACCTCGCCACAACAGCACCAATGAAATCCCTCGCAGCAGTGGAGTAGACGATGTTGACATGGATGTTCGCATCCTTACCCGCGATAGGAAAGGGCGAAAGATCACTCGAAATACAATTATTGATGGAGCCCAAAATGCAGCACAAGAACAAGTCAAAGGGTTCCGCTCAGCTCCTATCGTGGCTGTTGACATCCGCGATGATCTTCTAGAGGCGATCAAGTTCACAACGATGAATGGCGAGGTCTGGAAGAAGGTTATACAGAATGCACCCGCAGCAGACAGGCGATATGTGCAGCAGCTTCATGAAATGCTAGAAAATCTTGCTACGGAGGGCGAAAAAAGCTGTTTCATCTATAACTATAGGACGGGGGCTATGGTGTTTTATTATCTGGCGTAAATGATTTTAGTGTCTTCATTGGTTTTGTTCAAGTCACCACTTGCGTTCTGCAATTGTCATTCCAGTCACGTACCTGTTTAATTTGTTTTGTTTTGGTGTGTGGTCACATATTGGCGGTCGGTCTGGAGGGGTTACTGGCGTACTATGCAAACTTTGTTTAGGTGTTTCCTGTGTTCACTGGATGTCATAATCATCCATATCCTTGTACGGGTTCTTTTTTATCTTTTCTATCACAGGGTCTCTTCTCTCATATGTATCGTGAGTCTTTTTTAATACCTAGCACCTTGTGCTTCTCTTCTTTCATCAAGTACGAAAGTACCAAATTTTTGGGAACCGGAGCTACTATCACCACTAGCGTTCCAACCTAATTGCGTTATTTTGAATGGACCAAGAACTCCAGGATAAACGAAAGACAGGTGCACGTTTATGTGATGTACAATATCAACTAAATCAGCCTAAGCGGCATAGCCATTGAACGGAATTCCCCAGGTTCATAGCACGCATCTATGACCTTTACACATACATGCACCTAAGCTTACTCAAACGTACAATGCCTCACTGCTCCCTCTCCCCAAAGCGACTCGACTGGCCCTGTCAAAGTATTCCGTGCCATGCCCTCTTTTCTCTCCAAATACCCCGTTGCCTTCGTAATCCCTTCCTCGCCTCTATCACTCCAATACCAAAAACAATTGAACCCCTTCAGCTTAACTTGTTTGCCTATGAGTGACTTCAGACTCTTGCATGTGGTTTTGTCCTTCTTGTTGCCCGACTTCCAGGCAATAGCGAACCAGTTCTTCTCGGCTTGGATAGTCTCATAGCATGTTCTAAGGAGGCTAGGGTCCATGGAGCGGCGTGTGAAAAGGTCCGGTAATGCGGTGGAAGGAGCTATGAGCGCAGTTATAACTTTGGGGACATATATAAGTCAGTAGCTATATCAGCAGCCCTGGACCGGGGGTGTAGGGTGTAGGTACGTATACATAGTGCAATGACGAGAACATACACTACCCTCATTATGACATGCAGTAGTAGTATATATATTGAAATACATATAGCCGTGAATGCCTTATCCTGTCGTCTTGGGGAGGCGTTCGCAATTGACGAAAGACCTCGAGCTCCAGTGATGGCACGATTGCGTTATCTCATATTCTCCGTGAAAGGTGAGATGTGTCAATCTTTACATGGCCATGATCTGTCGGGCCAAGTGACTTATATTCGATGACGAAGCTACAGACAGGTAGGTATGTTTCGAGAGTTGTTTCAATGTGGCAGTTCATGAAAGATCACTCGCAGTCGGATCATGGACGGATTACATGTATTCATCCTTGGCCCCATGCAAGCTAAGTACATACCCACATCCATATGCCTACATGTACTTTACTTGAGAACTAAGCCCGTATTCCAATGAACTCTAGATATGATACAAGGTGTTTAAAGATAACGCGGAATATACTAGTGCCGGAGAGGTTTGTTAAATTATAGCGGTATTAACTCTTTTACGATATTTCTGGCAGTATGTGGAGTTTATCCCGTATTCTCACACAATGCCGCGTGACTAACGATGCGAATTACATCGCATTTTTCCGTATTGCAGTTAATCTAAAAACCTACATAGTTGTTACTGAGGTATCTAGAAGAGAGACGTTGATAGTTTCCATTCCAGGACAGCCAAGACATTCCATAGCGGCAGTCCCAGGGCTAAACCCTCACCCGCCCACACACCCCAACTGCAACTTTTCCAATCCGCAAATTCGAGACCACCACGAAACGGCCGACGACGACGACAATCCTCAACCTCACCACCACCACTTACCGAAACTACCCCCTTTCAACTAAATAACCATCATCAAAAATGGGTCGCGGTACGTTCAGTTCACACCATGGGGCGGGGGGAATTAAAACCTCCCCCTTCTCCAAAACCCTGGTCTCCCCTTAACCGGGTTGTAGGCCAAAGTAGGGTTAAAACTGATCAATCGAATCTATAGTTCGCACCAAGACCGTCAAGAAGTCCTCCAAGGTCATCATTGAGAGGTACTACCCCAAGCTCACTCTCGACTTCGAGACCAACAAGAGGATTTGCGATGAGATCGCCATCATCGCCTCCAAGAGGCTGAGGAACAAGGTCTGTTTATTTTTGCATAAAGGCCTCCCGGGAAGAATGTATTCTGACAGGCGGTTTAGATTGCTGGGTACACCACCCACTTGATGAAGCGTATTCAGCGTGGACCCGTCCGTGGTATCTCCTTCAAGCTCCAGGAGGAGGAGCGTGAGAGGAAGGACCAGTACGTCCCCGAGGTCTCCGCTCTCGACACCAACGAGAACGGTCTTGAGATCGATGCCGACACCAAGGACTTGTTGAAGAACTTGGGCGTAAGTTTTCCCCTCCTCTTTATATATCTTGCTTTGCGGAAATGGGGAGTTTGGAGATGCTGACAAGGTTCCTTTTTATGCAAACAGTTCGACTCTATCCCCGTCACCGTCGTTGCCGTTTCCCAGCAGCAGCCCCAGGACACCAGGAGGTTCCGTGGTGACCGCCCCCCAAGAAGGGATTAGATAGCGCCTATCTAATTTGGTCTGTGTGTGGTGGAAAATAAAAAAACAATCAAATGTAACACCTTCGTGGTCCTACAATTTAAAAGTTCGGGATATCTTTTTTTTTGTTCTTTCTTTAGGGAATTGGGTGGTCTGGAGTATCGGGCTTTTGAAATCAGGAAATTCTGGAAAAACAAATATCATCCCCCTTTTCTCTCAGAGTACGCGGTTGTGGATCCCATGGGAATTGTGGAATGTTGAAATCCCAGTATCGAGGGATGGGCTATGCCACTGGATGGATCTTTAAATGCCGACCTTTATACGCCTAAACTGCCTAAACATGATCTGTTTATAAAAGTGATAATAGATCTCCCTATGCACGTTCCCATAGTGCCACATCTCAAAAGTAAATACTATTCAAGAATTGTTCCAGAAACCGAACTACATTTTGTATGCGCCGAACCCAGCCCGTAGATAGCTATAATCCCTTCCTAAATACGTCCCACATAAGTGAAACCGACAATTTTTTTTACTAAACAGCCCTCCAAAGAAAGAGAAAGAAAACGAGGCGGAGTTTTTTAGTGAAATAAGACATCCCATCTATGTCAAAAAAACCTCTATCACGAGGCGCTTTTGGTGAATATATATTCTTGTCCAGTTTCAAAAATGCCACAAGCTCGATCATCCCCAGTCTATGCTAAACGATTTGATTGTAGGTACGCGGGTTCCATCACAGTTAATATCCCCGTGAGTGATAGTCCATGATTTAAATATAGGACTAACTCAACGGTTGATATGCGTAATAGAAAACCACACCCCACTCCCTAAAACACAGAGAGCGAAAAGCGAGCCTGTACCTGCATGTCTTCTTTATATCCCGCCGTACCTACCGCGGCTTATAGTAATAGTGCTTCTACATTAATCCTGGACGTGCTCTCTTAATATTCCTTTTTTTTTTTTTTTTTTAAATAGGTTACGACCAGGGCAGTTCGTCGAGTGAGATCGTGTGATCCGACTCTAGATAGGCTTGCCTGGGAAAGAAGTCGAACGTCTTATCAGTCTTGCTGCCTCTGCTACTATCGAGAGGTGTTTCCCACGCAGAAGGGTCTGACGCGTCGATTCGACGGTGGAGTAAGGTGTGCGGTTGTGTGTATGTGAGTCTGGGAAACTTTAAACACTACCTCTGCTAAGGACAGAGGGGATGATTTTCGCCATGACAACGTACGTATGTAGGTACAAGCACGTTTCCAGCCCCTGTGCTGCAAACTGTCCAGAGGAGATGGATGGGTACGGGACTACGTGATCAAACCTATCGTGTCCCGAGAAGCCACTCCCCCCCCCGGGCGACCGGGCAGGCGCGAGCCGGCCAACACGCCGAGCGGCCGCGCCCACGCAGAGCGCCGCAAACCCCGAATCTTTCTCTCGGATGATTCCGCTGGGCATTATAAACGTGAGTTTACCTATCCTGGCCATGGCTCAACATTTCCCGCCCGAAAATAAAAAACAGCACCGCCGAACGACCGCCCAAGCTGATGCTCCTAAGGAAGAAGGTCGGGATCTGTTCGTGTGGACTATCTCGGACGCTTTACCAATCCGTTATAGTGAGAAGGGGCTCTTGCGCTGACTATAGCCTTGGGGTTGGGGGTCTATACGTATGTTCTTTTCTCAAGGTGGATGTATATATATACTAATATCGACGGTTTGACTACCACTAGATATGCGTTTGAATGGATCAATAGACTGTTGGGTGAGAGTGGGATCATAACCACGAACCGTTAGGACCAGATATAGTTGGGCATCTAGAACTATGGTCTCGATGACTGTGCTGATATGTCGAGAATCGGGTTCCGAATGGGCTCCTATGTATGCGGTAGCCATGGGGCATGAGGACCACATCCGACACACAATCCTCGAAGAGACAGCCATAGTCTTATTACTAGTATCTTGAAAACTTACACCAGCTGTGCCTTTGTAGTAGCTACGATCCAATGCATTATGGCATGCGAAAGATATTGCTGAGCTGTCTCGAGGTGCCGCAGGATAATCGATGCCTTGATTTACTTTTTTTTATATATCTATACGAGAGGTGATTCCTCAAGACTAGCAATATAGGTTTCTGTAGTTCAGGTGGAGCTGAGGTCGTTGGGGAGTCTCTACTCTAGCACTTTTTTTTTTTTTGTGTGTGGATATAAATAACGTTGCTAACATGTACCCGTGAATATATCTATGGATGATATCCATCAGTGTTTTTCTCTGGTAATCGCAAGTAATTGATTGGCTTGGGGACAACTATATATCTACCAATCCCGACAAAGCTAGCATAATACACATCTCTATTCACAAATACCCCAAAAGCTCAACTAAGAAACCCACGCATTCTGAGTGTTTCTGGAATACTGATCTGTCTGGATTCTGCATTGTGGTAAATCTAGTATTCACTATCTGAAGGCACAAAGAGCAATAGTACCCGACTTATATGATTATGCCAGCACCTACCATTAAAAGAAGGCTAGATTATTGAGCGGGAAAGTAAACTGGCGGAGTAGTAGCTTTGGTTTAATATCATGAGCCACCTAACAAATAGAGTTTGTGTACGTACATACTAATGGTGCCGGAATATAAGATGATATCTTCACCACGTCGAGAGGATTGGTTTTCATATAGGACCCATTTCAAAATCAATTTGAATGTGTAGATTCCCTTTCACAACTGTTATCAATGATTTTATATCCAGGCTCTTTACTAACTACATGTGCGTATACCCACGTACCTCTAGCTCTACTTAGAAGTGCTCTATTATTTGGGTCATGGCCTGTCTACGTACTACGTACATGTAACGTAGCTGGGGACTATAATCCGCGGATCCGCCCATCTATGCAAACCACCGCATGCCAACAGAAATCATCGTCTTTTTGTATTATTTGCCCCAACCCAACTGCAATATAATAATTCACAGATCATTCCCAGAGTATTGTGCACTACATACATGTATGTATAAAACCTTAGTATCAGTAGTATACTATATCACTCGAACCTAGCCCTATTCAAGGATGGTATTATTGAACGAGCCCTAAATGCAAAGGAGGAGAAGGAAGCACCTTCAAATATCTACTTATGTACTTAGTAGGTGGCGGGTTCATCCAAGCGAAAATCTTGTAATTTACGTGACGGCCCTTATGGTTTGTATTGACGCTTACATCAGTTTTATATCACATTAGTAATCTACAAATTATCGATCGATGATAAAGGCCTAACTATGGCGTTTCTTTTTTGGGGACAATCAATTATTTCATGGGATTATTGGGAGGCTCAATGTATACTACAATCAACGAACGGTATGCATTGATAGGGCAAAGCGTTATGTACCTCATGAAGCTGAAAAGAGTACCTACATGTTCATGATACAAAATTCCGAAAGAGCTAAAGAATCGTGGACTGATTGGACTCATGGGTTGATTGAATCTTTGCTCGTATTAAAAATACGCGTTTCCAGATCTAAAATACCGGTTGAATCATTGTATCCTCTAGCAAAAACTACCCTCACGGCATGAGAAGTGAGCAATACTAGTTGACCAGTGGCAACCCAGAATAATGATTCACAACGCCGTCATATTTAAAGCAAAAGAATCCTAGGAAAAGAAACATGGGTACATGCGCATCCCTCCACCAAAGAAAAATACAAGAGGCAGAACCAGAAAGAATCGTAATCGTCGTGAACTCCATGGCCCTTACTTTACGACGTGTCTTTACTAAACAAATAGCCGTCCTGCTACCAACAAAAGAATTACCCCGCTATTCATATGACAACCTTCCACCTCTCCATTGAAAGTGTAACATGGTTTCTATGATGATGTTTGTTGGAGGTTGAATTCGGATTTGGCATTTAGTTCGGCATTTAGCGGCTACAAACAAACTTGGTCAATATCACTGATCAAGAGGAAATGACTTGGCATTGGTAATAGGATGGGCGGAACTTACTCCTCGGCCCACTCGTTCTCACGCCTAATCTGCTCCTCCTCTTCAGGAGTGAAATCATTTTGAATGTTGAAGGTCTTTCTGATCTCGTCGGGGGACTTGCCCTTAATCATGTTGGCGACGGTCTTGCAGCCGACGTCAAGAAGTGGCTTGATGTCAAGGTAATTGGCAGCCTGTAAGACAATGTTAACATCAATGAAACATTAAGCGAGCACAATATATGAGCAAAATTTGGAGGCGCGACTTACTAGAATGATCTCAAAGAGCATCTCTTGGTCGACTTGCATGAACTTTTGGTCCCACTCGTCGATGTCTGTGGATTTCTTCCGACTGTCGGAGTCATCATCGGCTTGCGCAGGCGGGTCGCCCTTGTGGTGCTCACACCACTCAATAACCTTTTTGAGGACAGATTCGTTCACCTTTTCAATATTAGTAAACCGATGACGAGGGTATTATAATAAAAGACACAAGCCAGAGTGAAATATACATTAGGAATGGGAATGGCCTCGGTGACTTCACCGACATCCTCAAGCATGTTCTTGATAAGGATGGAGCGCTCGGCAACCTCCTTCTCTATTCATCACGAAGTAACGGGTATTAGCAGAGTAAAGCAGGATGGTGTTGATAGAATGATTGAAACTTACGGACGGTGATTGTCGCTTGATCTGAGCTGAGAAGCTTTATTTCAGACATGCTTGTTGTTAGTTTCGTGAAAGATTTAGGTAGGATAAGTTGTGAGGAGTTGTTATTGATGGGAAGGAGGTTGGAGTGCTGTGGTTGTTCGTTAAGAAGAGATAGATGGAGAAGAAGTGGTGGGGGGGATGATGGAGAGGAGGAGGGGGGTTACCGCTACCTTGCACATTTATGAGGGCTTAGCCTCAAGAGACGCCAAGATAGGTTTAGAATGGATGACTCCTCCATCATCCTCTTCGCCGTAAATACTGACCGGATTACCTTGTTTCAATATTCTACGCTTCACTCAATCCCTTCAACCAGCATCTTTGAGGCCATCAAGCTAGCTCATGCATATTTTTTTTGTGTTTTTGAGGCTTCTTACCCAATTCTATTATCTTTGGTGCCAAGCCTAAGCTTCCAGAGCTCTGAGAGCTTCGTTGGGCGCACATCTAAATTTAGGCGTTTGTGACCCTGTAAACCAGATGGCTCACCCCAAAAATGTATCATACATACTACATTTACGTAGATTCAATGTAGGCTTTGTACGCATTTACATACTACAGGCCCGTATTCGTCGTTGAAGACTTGAAGTGTTGCTTTAACCTACTTGTATTTATGAGCCCCTCATGATCAGTTGTCGCCAAATTATTGTGGTTGCACAGACAATATTAGGTCACAGAAGTCTGCAGATCTGCCCTTGCCTACCGGTGTATCAGCTGTCTATCGATAGCACATGTAGCTAGATGTATCTATTTTGCGTAGGTAGCCATTTTCTCATCCGTTCTTTGCACTTTCTCCCTTGCCCCTCATTCAACACTCTTTTTCGCTTCTCTCCTCCGGCGACAGCATCATAATCGCCCAGGATGTGGAGGCGCGTCTATCTTTTTCTCGCGCTCGTGAGACTTTACTTTGCCCTTTCACCGTCCTATATTCATCCCGACGAGCACTTCCAGGGGCCTGAAGTGATAGCTGGTATGTTTCCGAACCCCTTTGTATTTCACCGCGCCGCATCCTTAGTCTTTGAAATTAACCATACTGCGCACTGCAGGCGATATATTCGACTGGCGCATCACTAAAACCTGGGAGTTTACTTCCGCAGCTCCCATACGAAGCGTCTTTCCATTATGGGCAGCATATGGCATCCCTATGCATTTGGTGCGCTGGATAATGCCCGGAGATGAATCGCCCAGTCCAATACTTGTTTTCTACAGCTTGCGCATTTTATTCTTCTTGATATCTTTCGTTTTAGGTATGGGCGTTATTTCATATTTATTATGGAGAGAAAAGGAGTGGTTGATAGTTGATGGTGGGTGGGTTGGAGGTGTTATAGAAACATGAACTGACACTAAGAAGAGGACTGGGCTATTCAAGAGCTCATCGCATCGCCGAGAGGTCGACGCATCAGCCTTTTATTACTAGCCAGCAGCTACGTAACATGGACATACCAAACTCATACCTTCTCCAACTCGATCGAGACTATTGGAGTGGCATGGTCATTGGTCCTGATTCGGAGAATTTCGTCCTCAAAAGTACATTTGACTCAGATAGAATATATCGATTTCCTAAAAGCGTATAGGACTGATTCACATACTCTTTCAATAGGATGCTGCATGGCTGTCGAGCGCGGCACTAGGATTTACAGTTGTATTTTCCATCTTCAACCGCATTACATTCCCGGCCTTTCTACTGCTTCCAGGGCTCACGCTAATACCCCACTTCCTCCGACATCCAACCACTGTAATTCCACTTGTCGTTTTTGGCCTGGGAGCAACGGGGCTAGCAATATACCTGGACACTGTGTATTACTCCTCATCTTTGGCACCATCATTATACGCCCTCTTCTCTCATCCACTCTCTCATCCGCTCGTGATCACACCCCTTAATAACCTCCTCTATAACTCCAAATCCTCGAATCTCTCTCTCCATGGCCTCCACCCGCGATATACTCATATACTCATCAATCTACCTCAGCTTCTAGGCCCTGCGCTGATTTCGCTCTTCACCTCATGGACGTGGCCTCTCCAGCTTCCACTTCTCTCAGCAGTCTCTGGAATCGCGGTACTGAGTGTATTCCAGCACCAAGAGGCTAGGTTCTTGATACCTCTTGTACCGTTATTATTGTCAAGCATTTCCTTGCCAAAGAACATCATCTTGCAAAGACTCTGGATAGTTAGTTGGGTGATGTTTAATGTGGTATATGGAGCCCTTATGGGTATCTTTCACCAAGGCGGGGTGGTACCTGTCCAGCTCCATATGGGAAATGTAACAAATGCAGCAAATGCGGTTTGGTGGAAAACCTACCAGCCTCCAACCTGGCTCCTCGGTGAGCCATCAAAGAACGGCAATATTCCCCAACTCCTTACTATAGATCTCATGGGTGCCAAGATCTCTGTTCTGGTCAATACCCTTCAGCCACTGGCACAGTGTGATACGGGTGAGCAACAGGCAAACAACTATCTTGTTGCTCCGTTGTCTGCTGTCGATTTAGACGAGTTTGCTCTAGGGACGAACAAAAGCCTGCCCTTTTGGCTCAAGAAGGAGTGGGAGTACCAAAACCATTTTAACATGGATGATATGGATTTTGGTGATGATGGGTTCCTCCCAACGATTGAGCGAGTGGTTGGTAGGAGGGGTTTAGGAGTGTGGAAGGTCGTCAGGACAGACTGTCCGGAGAAGGATGATCGAAAGATGAATTCGTAAAATGTTTTCTACATACATTCGATATTAGCATATAATTATCTTAAATTTTCTTGTGAACTACAGTGGAGTCCCGATAGTAGCATTCTCGATAATAGCATATCTTCGATTGTAGCATATAGTTGGGCAATCCCAAACGAGTCGGTACGGGCAAATTTGTTCTCGATACAAGCATATTCTCGATGTAGCATACGAAAATCCGTTCCCGACCATATGCTACAATCGAGACTCCATCGATCCACAGTATTTATATATGGGGCTCATCTTTTAGAGCGTATATAAAGACAAGAACCTACAGTAGTTCTTGACGGGGGAGAAAAGGTTATCAGTATCGATAATCAAACTGGCATCTCCCCGCTTGTCGAAACTGTCAAAACCGTCAAACATGTCTGGCTGGTGGGTGTATCTGATCTAGCTGGTTTTTTCCTTCTTTTCTCTCTTTTTCCTTTGGCTAATTCGGACGATAGCTGCCGTCTCAAAAGCTACATGTAAGCACCACTCTACCTAGAGTACATACATGTATACATTACCGTATAGCTCCGAACGAAAGAATAAAGTTTAGTATGTCACGTATATACTGGTATGCAAGGACCAGAAAGAGGCCCATTAGCCTCGTCCCTGGATTTCTTACAGCGTTTAACGAGCCGAATTATTTGTGAAATAAGGAACAAGGTTTGGGCAGACCAATACTCTCCAAAACTGGCCAAAATCGGCAACTTCTCTAGCTTTCAACTTGTTCTCAGATACCATGAATTCTTCGGTATAGATGTACCTAAGCGTAGTAGTACATATCTCAAGACATATTTCTATTCATCAAAAATATAAATTTGAGGTCTTGGCACGCTTTCTAAGAACAACCCAACAAAATATTGGACCATCAATTGATTAATTGATAATTCATTGATCGTATGCAGCCGTTCTACCACATCAATTCTGCAGTGACTAACCCCAAGACCCAAGACTTACAGGTGACTTTCCTGGCTGTTGGGTTGCTGGTTGTGTGTGCTACGTTAAAAGACTGCCTCTGATAGGTCTACTCGCGCGTTAATTAAAAGGTCGGAATTTTGTGTGGGGATTTGGTTGCAACGACTTCCGACCTTTTAATTGACGCGCGAGTATATGCGCATTTATCCCTGCTGCAGCGCAACGAAATTTCTCAGATTTTACGGTATTTATTAAGTCGGGTTGAGACCTCAGTGTAACGTCAAATATTATGTCATAGGCTGGAGTAGAGTAGATTCCTTTCTGTCTGTGATAGGCCGGCTCTGACGAGGCTGACGATATTTGGTGTTTGGCTGAGCTGGCAAGCACCAAACTCAATCCTCCCCGCCCCAGTGTAGGTATTAGATTCTCAGTAACACAGCACTGTCTATTTTCTTCTCGATTTTTTGGGTATGCAGAGACTTAATATCTGGAACTACAATGGAACACAGGTATGTGGGGTTCCGATGCCACATCATTGATCTAATCTAATTACAATGACAGGAAGGTTCCAAGCCGACTAGCACGACGTCTTCAATCTCGGACGAACTCCCCGAGCAACTACCAACCATAGTCCGTAAGGACTATGTAATTCACCCAAAGAGTCAGATAAGTTGGTGGGGAGCGAGAGACCAGGAGAAATGGGTGTATGTTAAAGAGCTCGGACGAGGCGGATTTGGAGTTCATCTTGAGAGAAGCAAAGACAAATGAATTGAGGGCGATAAAGAAGATATTCACATACAGAGGTTCGAAGATAGAGTATAAACGTGAACTGAGCATCTTGATTGCACTAAAGGACGTAAGTAACATCATCTTTGTCACTTTTAACCTTTCAAATGTGGCAAGAGGTAGGATAGGACAGCTAAAAGAAAAGCATATTACTAGTATAGAGATTTATTTGTGCAATTCCTCGGTTGGTACCAGGAGGATGGTTGTATTTCTCTTGCTATGGAGTATGTTGAGCATGGCGACTTGAGAGGATATCTTGAGAAATTTGGGGAACAGTCAGAAGAGAGCACTAAAGAGATTGCAATGCAAGTTCTCGAAGGACTTGTGATTTTGCAAGGACGGAGCATTTGTTATCGCGATTGGAAATCTGAGGTTAATTTACTCCCTTGTGATGTGCTATTATTAGCCAGTCACATAATACTGAGCGGTATATTAGAATATCCTTTTGTCTTCACTCTCTCCGATTCACATAAAACTTGCGGACTTCGGAATCTCAAAAAGTACGGCAGACACGCGATTAATCACCAATGTCGGTACTCATCAATATATGGCACCTGAAGTGTGGGGGATGCCACATCCAAATCTTCTAAAGTCAAACATAGAGTACTATAATTCAGTTGATCTTTGGTCGTTTGGGTGTCTTCTACATGAAGTTATGAGATTAAAGTCACCATTTACGACGGTAGAGGTAGACTCATCACGGAATGATGATAGCGCCACCATTACAGGAGTTACTTCAGCTTGTAGAGCGTTCGATCTAAGTGCCTTCTCTGATTTCTGCCGTGGGGATACGGATCTTCCAACAGGGACTTTACAGAGATTCAACATCAGCGAGAGGGGAATAGAATTTATAAAAAGCTTGTTAGTTCCTAATCCTCGGTCCCGACCATCTGCGGCAAATGCCATGAAGAGCGAATGGTTACTCAAATTACCTCAACTCTCCAATGGAGTAATATCTGACCAACAAAGGTCCAAATCCGAGATTCTACGGACTCAGATGTTACACTTTGGCATAGGAGTCAGTCATCGCACTGCTAATACCTTATTGAATGATGGGGGAGGATCGAACTCTAAAACCCTTTTTAATGAGCTATTTCCTTCATTAAAGACTAGGATTAACGATATTTTACAACGTGCACTCAAAGAGGGATATAGCCTGTTCGTATTAATAATACTTAAACAGGAACTTGACATTGACCGTAGTCTATTTGTTAATTTTTTTTATACGGCCTTAGTAGCCGGCGATTCAGGGACTATAAAAGCTCTGTCTCGGATGAGTTATAGCAGGGATGTTCGAATTCTCTATGCAACAGTAAAAGGTGGGCATGTTGAGATAGCCAAGTTGCTTCTCGAAAAAGGTGCCGACGTCAATGCGAGGAATCGTTCTGGCCGAACAGCGCTCTACGTGGTAGCGGAACGCGGGCATGACGACATGGCCAAGTTGCTTCTCGAAAAAGGTGCCGACCCCAATGCGAGGGATTGTTTTGGCCGAACAGCGCTCCAGGCAGCGGCAACAGGCAGACACGCCGGCACGGTAGCGCTGCTTCAAAACAAACAAGGTATCCGTGATCACCGAAGTATCCGTGACCACCAAAGTATCCATGACGACCGGCACATTACATATTTCCTTTTTAAAACAAAACACGATTAATGTAGAAGTCTGATCAAAGAGATTCTGTCTAGGGTCTAGGTTCCCTCATTTTCCTTACTTCACTTTTTGCAAAACCATGAATTGATATATTGATGTCATTTAATTTTGATTTCCTTTGTCTACTTCTTTTTGTCTTTCTTTCTGTAGTTTGGGTATTGGAAAGGGTGATGGGTTATGGATTTTTCCATTGTTGATCTTGTATTCCTTCTGGAATGAAGCCAGAGTACACGTGTCTGTACACATTTGCACGTAGCGATTGCGATCGAGGGCAAATATAGTAGAGGAATAGCAAGGAGAACATACATCAAATCTTAAGTCAGAAAAGCTTTTATTATGATAAGGTTACCAAAGCATGAAGCCACTGTCTATAAATCTAGGGCTCCGTCACTGACGGGTAAGTATATTGTACTTTTGGTGTTGGGATACAGCCATGGGCCGAAGTTGGATTGTAGTTTGCACCTTTACTCCAAAGAAACAGTCCCTCGGGTCATGTTCGCTCACTCGGCCAAGCCTGGTATCTTGGCCATGCGCCTTGCCCGTTATGTAATAGTTGCTCACGATCGGGCTTGCTACTACTAGTAGAGACTAGAGTAGTACGAGGTGCGTCGACGGTCAATACTACGTTCTCGTAATAAACAATAACAACTACAGACACATGCAGATGGTAAATGAAATTAAAGTATACGGTAGAGGCCAGGTACTGGAGGATGGCAGCATACAATTTTCAGAATAGGTATGCTTATACTTTGATACTAGTAGTGGCCCACCTCGCGACCGCGAGTTGCACCTTGGATTATGGGTATCAAGTGTTCAATAATTGAGAAAGGCTTTCAATGGGCCTTCGGCCCCCTTCCACCCCCCCTTCTACCTCTCTCTACAATTATGGGGACCTTCGGTCCCCTGTCTCTGTCGACCAATCAAATGCTTGGGAATTTAGAAAAGTCGAGTTTCAAGATTAGCTTCTGTGGTAAAGGTCGTTTATTCGTTGATGACGTCGCGATAAGGTCTTAGTAAAGAATACTCTACTTTGATTCATTGAATAAATTTGAGATATTTAAGAAACCATCCATACGATTTGGAAGCCTCGGCTGAGTATTTATTTGGAGTTGAATAAAGTGCGAAATGAACTGGAAATATACTGCAAAGGGGATAAGGAAGCAAAAGTGTAATCTGAGAGAAAAGTCAACACTTGGAGAATGTTTTAAGTCATAATTATGATTTTTCTTTTTCTACACAGATATGGTGGAATGGTAAGGTATCCCTAAAAGATGGCGCAGAATCAAACCCAACCCAGTACAAGACTCTCATATTGGAACCTCAAACAACGCCTACCCCAGAACGATTTCAAGAAACGAAGCACCGGAAACAGCTTGCAGGCAGTAGACTTGAAATTTCTCTAATTTTTGAGGTTAACATTTTCGCGAGCGGCAGACAGAGAAGACAGAGAACAAAGTCTCCCCATCCCCTCCTCCGCCCGAGCTCAGATCTTTTTCCCCCTTCCTCCCGTCCTATATTCATGCCGTTCCCCCCATTATTGCAAAGCCCGACCGCGAGAGAAAAGAAAAGCAGAAGAAAGCCCGACCGACCGACCCGTAACCCCAAGAGCGAAAAGACAAAACCAGCCGTTTGTTGTATGTTTTTTTTTGTTTCCGCCGGTAAAGAAAATGAGACAATGGGAAAGAAACGAGCAAGGGCGATCCGTTTAGATGCCGATGCGGGTCTTACGCCAATGCCTGCGCTTAGCGTTGTACCTATTTTGCCGAAATAGCCTCGTCAGTATTCCATTCCAAGTATGATCCAACGGCGGCCGTAGGGCGGGAGCGAAGAGGAGGGGAGGGTCTATCGGACGGACCTAATGGTGTTTCCGGTTCGGAGACGGATCCATTGGGGGATGGGACGGTTCTGCTTCTGCGCTTTGGCAAGCTTCTGCTTGGTACGGAAAGATTTGTGACTCTATTATTGAAGCAAAAACCCGACCATCAGCAAATCAAAATCCAGACCTTACGATGGAGATAGCTTTGACGAAATCTCAGAGGGGAGCAACATACAGGCATGGCTAGACTATTTGGGTGTGTCGCTCGATCGTTGGGTTTCGAGAGTGTTGTCTTCGGTCGTGATGTTGGAGTGTTCAATTTGGTATGATGTTGCTATGCGAGGTGGGCGGGTCGTGGGTGACTAGGGTTCGTGCCCTAGAAGCAGTCTCTGATTTTGTGGGGAAGCAGTCTTGGCAGCACCGATCATGTAACCTCACTCGAACAATTCTGGAGAACATCTCGCGAGGGAACTCCTAGACCGCTGTTAGGGGAAAAGGGGCGAAAGTTGACTGAGATTCTCTATTGCCGCTGTGAGAGAATACTGCTTATATCTAATTCAATGCCTATGAGCAGAGCTCAGGGCGCTGTAAATTTGGTAAAAGACTACATGAACTCAGTTGACTATACGCACCCAGTAACAAGTAACTGAAAGTCGCAAGATAATGCTTGTGGCCCTGGGTAGAGAGTAGATGGCTTGAGTGCCGTATAAGTATTATGGTACTGTTTAGGACAACACGTATTCTTCCTCCCCTTTAACGATGTGTAATTGACACAGTGTCTTCTCTACGTGTCGTTTTAGCCCGTCTCGGATTCTTCTCTACTACGATGGACTCTATTGAAGGCCTCCGATTGAAAATTCCTGGGTTCGCCTCTAATGGGATTTCGGTAAATCGATCATTGACATCTACAATAAACGCTAGTGAAGGCTTGGCAGACACACCCACCACTTACAGAGCAGATCCTCCAATAGGTTCTCACATCATAAATATGCCAGATGAAAGAACCCTCAACTGCAGAAGCCGATCCTGGTTCATCGGTTTCGAAACCCCAACATTATACACTATCAATGTCACATCATTTCCATTCTGCAGTTATCCCAGCACCACTGGATATATATTTTCCAAGCCAGCGCCTTTTACCTGTACAATACACTAGCTCCATCCTATCAAGAGCCTTTTGACGAGAATCCCAACCATGATACAAAGGGAAACAGAAGAAAACATTAGAAATAAGAACATCGGGGGAGGGGGGACCTGCATGCACCATAAAGAGGAAACGACTACCAAATGCCTAGATAGTTGAAGCCCGACCACCGTAAGGATCACTAAAAAAATAACCACCCTTTTCCAATAAAACAGAGTAAAAGAAGTAACGGCGAGAGTGGGCAGAGGGAAAAAGGAAAGATCTAATTTACTTCCACCAGCCTTCCAGAAAAGAAAATACTTTACAAAAAACACCTAGAATTACGCATTATCACCGTTTCTATTGTTGGTCGTAACCCCATCGATCATATTAAGTCTTTCTTGGGTGGATTTCTTTTTGTTGCCACCCTTCGGCCCTCTTTTTTTCGACGAGATGGGCGCACCTGAAGCAGCTGGGGTTCCAGCTTCACTGGGTTTTCCGCTATCGTCAAATCTTCCTTCCCCTTCGTGATATCTAATAAAGCGTCAATAAACCATGAATGGATTATGGGAAGTCTAAAGAACTTACAGATCCTCAAGATCTATCGCTTTAGTACCCTCTATAGCTGATGGGGCGGTCTTCTTTTTCTTGCCTCTCTTCGCACCTCCCTTGGCTTTAGCCTCCTCTGCTTCCCTCTCTTTCTCCGCCAGGGTCTTCTCTAGTTTTTCGGCATCATCATCATCAAAGAGCCAAGTGGCAACTTCTCGAGTGCCCTTGAAGTCAACATTCTTCTTGGCACCTGGGTCACCACCTTGAATGACGACACGTTGAACCTACACCGATTTGTCAGCATGGGTGATCAATCATGAGAGATGTAAGAGCAATCCTACCTCTTCTTTCTGTTGAGCGCGCATTCGAATTCGCTCCTCAATTGTTCCCCGAGTGATGAGACGGAATACACGAACTTGTTTGGTCTGACCCAATCTATGGGCACGATCCATAGCTTGACTATCGATTGTAGGATTCCAATCGCTGTCGTAAAAGATGACAGTATCGGCTGTATCAAAAATTAGTATTATCTAAAGATGAATAAGGGAAGCAAACGTACCAGCGGTAAGATTGATACCCAAGCCACCAGCACGAGTACTCAAAATGAAGATGAATATCTCTGGAGAGGTTTGCCAAGCCGCCACCATGTCACGACGATCCTCGAGCTTTGAGGATCCATCTAACCTAAGATATCTGTGATGGCGATAGGTAAGATACTCCTCACAAAGATCCATCATTCTAGTCATCTGAAAGTATAAGAGAACACGATGACCGCCAGCCTTAAGCTCTGTTAAGAGAGCATCTAGCTTTGCGAGTTTCCCAGAATCACTAACAAAGCGCCTCATAGACGGAACCTGGATACGAGCATAGCCTGCCTTCTCCGAAGACGGAGCTGGCAATGCCTTAGAAAGAGGATAGTCAGCGGGCTCAACATGGTTCTCCAAGAGATGTTTTTCCTCAGGCATCGATGGGCCGTAGAGGATCTTTCGAACGCGCGGGTTGAAGAGGTGAGTTTCCTGTTCAATCACAGCGCCTTGGTTCAAGCAAAGTAGGGCTATCGGTGGCGCAGTGGCGGCCGGGTATGATAACGGCTCCATGCAATGCATTCTGGATTCGTGGAATACATTGGTGGACACATTAAGTAACGCAGCCATATGACCTTCTACGGTAACATCCGCTGCAGGTCTCTTGTCTGCTAGTTCTGAGATGAGGAACATCGCATGAGATGGAATCCATGGCTTCTCTTCGTCGTAAACGGTAGAAAACTGGCTTAAATTTCGCCTTGTCCGCAAAGTTAAAGAGTTGTCGAATTGACTTTTGTGAAACGCTGCTGATGCTTCGCTTGCACTGGTGTCGGCAAATCGAAGCCATGAGAAGGCACTGTTCCTATCAGACCTAATCGATTTATGGATATGGTCTGGCTTCCAGATATTAAAAATGTTAGATAGCTGGAACTTTCGGCTGCCATGATTTGAATCGGGTCCTGGCAAATCTAGCCGCCCACCCTCGCGATAA